AGCAAACACATAACCTTCAACAAGGTTATATTTGCTTTCCCTTATACAGCTATATTATTTGTTATTATTTACCTGAATTTACCTAAGGGTCCCTATCTTTCCAGTGGCCTCCACGAGGACAGGAAGGCGGTGGCTGGTCACAGGTACCTCTCATTCATTTGTCCTGATGATTATATGGAGCTGAATTATTAATTGTAGAAGTGCTTAGGCATTTACGCCCCTGGCAGGTAGGCGGTTCCATGAGGTTATAATTCTATGGGTGAAAAAGCATCGTTTTCTGTCGTACATTGTGGCTTGTTGAGCTTGAAACTATTGCTCCTTGTTTATGTTACTTCTATACATTTAGATTGGATGGTAGGTCTCTCTTCTTGCAGGACGGCGTTCAATCCTCGACCGTCCAAGTAGTTGGGCATCATTCCTTTCCTTCGTCCTATCTCAATTCCTTATCCTCATTCCTTCCAAATGCTATATATAGTAGTAATGGCTTAACACTTTCTCTTGATAATTACAGTACCTTACCTTGTTTGTGTTACATATGACCTCTTAATTAAGTGATCTGGATCAATATCATCCGCATAGTTCAATAATTTATTCAATGAGATCAGTCCTGTCAAGTCTGGTTTGCAGTGTTGTTAGCCTTGTGGCTCTCATGAGAGTTCACTTAGTTCTGGAATAATTTTTGTCGGCCGATGAACTTTCTCCAAAACAGTTATGTCCTTCTGAAGATGATGTCTCCATGTTTGGATTCAATAATCCAGGTGAGGGCACAACAGAGATTTATGCAGTTGAATAACTGCATTTGTTTCCTAAAAGTCAAAGGTTCGTTTAACTATTTCTAGGATTTTTTTTTCTTTTACTGCAGCTGCCACTTGTTGTGCAACTTTCAGCGATTGATAAATATTGACTCCATAGTCCTTTTCATAATCAATCTGCTGCAAGGTAATCTTGTTGATTTGGTAGTTGTGATGTGCATTGTTATGCTTCCACATGCAATCCTTATAAAGCATTTGCCAGTCTTCCGACCATTTCTGGAGGCTATATACGACCTCGATATCAATTTCGCTTCCTAGTTTACCATAAATCTTAGTGCCAACTGCAAATTTGACGACGTGGTTTCAATATTCTGTCTCATCTATGTCAATAATGTATATGATAAAAAAGGTTGGCCCTAAAATGGAACATTGTCGTATCTCACCCATCACATTTTCTCTAAAAAAAATGTTTTCTTATTTGGAATCATCATAGTGTTTTGTTTTAATTACGAGAAAATATGTTTCTATATTTCTACAGCATGGAGATTTTGTAATAAATATCTAGAAATTTACAAATTCAGTTAATAGATTATTAGGGAACACATCAAATTCAGAGGAGCCAGTTATGTTAGAGCACATGCCTTGCAGGCAACGGTCCCAATATCACTTGCACTTTCCTGTAGCCTGGCTGGACCACCAGGCCGGGCAGGCAGCCTCATGCAGGCACAGGCAGTTGCTGCTCACCTCCGCTAGTGGCTGAGGTCAGCGTCCTACAGCCATCACAAGGTAAAATACCCTAAAACATCTAATTATACCAACTACTCCCACAGAGACTTTTTGAGCGTTCAATTAAAACTTTTTTTTAGGAAGCTAATTACGAGGCTACCTCTAACTATATTGATTATAACGGCATCGTCAAGTACGCAGGAATGGAAGAAGTAATTGTGTAGGTACTGGCGGATATAGGAATTAATTAATGACGGAATATTCAATAATGTAATGTCTGAGGGCGTGGTTCAGAAACTGAACCCCCAAAATTCACTTAGGTAAGCAAGTTACAATCTTGATACGGTAGTTATATAGTTTAATGCATATATCAATACCCTTTTATAGGAGAATTGGCTTAAGAACTGCACAACGACAGTCTTTAAGCTTATCAACTTACGTCTGCATTGAGCTAGTTACTCGTCAAATTTAAATAGCTAATCATACCCATCCGGTGAGCGCCGGCGGACTGCTTACTATCGTGTGTGTAGACTCTGATTTCATCATTATTTTATTATTATTATATGGCTTATGTGACTTATAACAGACAGAAACACATTACAGCTATTTATTTTGCCACTCTTGAGGAGTTGAGTGGCGCTCCTAGAAACCGAACCAATGATATTTTCACTCGTCTTTCTTTACGGCATAATGATGATGATACATTTGACTTTCATCCCTTCTGTCGTGCCTAATAATTTGGGGGATTCCTGTGGCACATTGGTCAGTGTGGCTGTTGTTGAACTGCCAGGGATGAACGGATGTTTGTGCCCCAGCGCCTTAACGTTCAGTCTTCCTGTGAACGTGACACCGCCCCCGTATTATATCACTTTTTAGTGAATTAAACTGAAAAAAGCAAGTTTACAATCATCTGTTGAGTTTAATAACGACGTACGTGCAGTTTGGGTTCCAAAGATAACAAAGTCGTGATATGATAATGCAAGAGTAGTTATGTTTATTAATCCTTGGAGCTTTGTAACTTTTTCAGTCACTTATATTAGAAGTTTCTCGTTACCCAATGCTTGCTAATACTCTATAGCCTCGCATCAAATTACCTTTTGTTTTTATTCCGCTGTAAATCCTCCTATATAATAGAGTAGCAGCATAAAGCGTTGTACCTAAGCTTCTAAATAAATAAATACTTAATCCGTCAAAAAAATACTTGCGGGGGCGGGTTATATACGTGCAAGGTACCACGGAGGCGAGGCAGGATACACCAGAGAGCATGACCGCCACGTCAGCCTAGCAGCCTAACCCTCACCTCTATCATGCCTCACCTTATTTTCACGCTAACTCTGCCAAGACTTTCCAATTCACACCACATACATATGAGCGGGTACCATAATACATCAAACTTCTATTGTCAATTCATTTCAATGGTGAGAGGCAGCATCAGTGTCGACATGTATTAAGTCGTGGTGCTTATAGATGGTTAACAGGAAAATACCGTACGGTACACCTCCCACCCACGTGGGCCGCTCCAGGGAAGTTGTGACGCAATACTTCCATACTATTCCCATTTTAATTATGGGTTATTAATTTAAAGAGAGAGAGAGAGAGAGAGAGAGAGAGAGAGAGAGAGAGAGAGAGAGAGAGAGAGAGAGAGAGAGAGAGAGAGAGAGAGAGAGAGAGAGAGAGAGAGAGAGGAAGGAGAGAGAGAGAGAGAGAGAGAGAGAGAGAGAGAGAGAGAGAGAGAGAGAGAGAGAGAGAGAGAGAGAGAGAGAGAGAGAGAGAGAGAGAGAAGAGAGAAAGAGAGAAAGAGAGACAGACAGACACACAGAAAGACAGACAGAGACAGAGAGAGAAAAAGAGGGGAAGGGAGAGAGAGAGGGAGAGGGGAAGTGAGAGAGAGAGAGAGAGAGATAGAGAGAGAGAGAGAGAGGAGAGAGAGAGAGAGAGAGATAGAGAGAGAGAGAGAGAGAGAGAGAGAGAGAAATATGCGGAATAAGAAGACAAATATAACCTGGCAATAATTGGTTTCCCCTTCTAGTACTAGATAAAATAATTCGGCTAATTTAATGCTTAATTCAGAGCTAATAAATAGATTTTGTATGAGTGATCATAATCGGATCTGTAGACCAGGAGAGACAATAATCTACAGCTGCAGTTGAGGCAGGAAATTCTGTAGAGAGTTAAAGACTCTCAAACGGGTGCTCAATTGCTCAAACATACATGATAGCCATTCTTGAGGCTTTAGAACACGTCCTTACTAAACCTCAATGGTACGTCATTATACATAAAGATCTGTGAATTACAACTGAAACCTTCGAGCACAATTACTTACGTGACAAAATCTATCTGATCACAAATGTTGGAATATTAATGCAAACACCATATATACACCACACACATTCTGCTGTGCTATTTACATGTACAAAACCTTGTTCCTAAATGCTCACTCTGATCTAAAACTCTTCATTGATAGATGTAATAAAACCCATGAGCACCACACCAGAAATAAATATCTCTTTGATATCCTCAGAGTCAGACTAAATCCATGGAAACACTCAATGCCAAAAAAAAAAGACCCAGTCTATGTAACTGACTCCCTACTAAATTAAAACATCTCAACCTCTACTTTATTCAAAAGTAAAACCAAAAAGTACCTAATTTCATCTTCACAGTTTCCTAATTTGCGCTTCAAACTCACACTGTATCTTGTGTTACCCATTTCCCCAATATTATAAAGTATTATAATATAATTATGGTATTATTAAAGTATTATAGTATTAATAAAGTATTATAATATTATTAATTATAGTATTATTAAAGTATTATAGTATTATTAGTACTATGCATCTTCACCAGTGTAATCATCTCCGTCAATTTATATTGTAGTTATTATGTTTAACTCAAATTTGGCTACAATATACCTATTCATCTTACCTTATCTGTTAAATTAAGGACCTGCCCAAAACGTTAGCGTGTTAGTGGCTTTGCAAGAATGTAAAAACACCAATGTTATGTACTCTCACAAACCCAATGTATCTTCTAAATAAAAACAATAAATAAAAAAAAAAATGTCTAAACTGTCTGCCTATTTTCCGACACAATTAAGCCGTTCGTTTTAACCGTACATCCAAGGAGCAAGGAAATAATGATCTAGAATAGCCACGTTTAAGTCATTATAGCTATATAGCATATATATAGAAGAAGGAATACTGATGCATTATTTTAGTCTTAGATATGACACGATTCACCAGCTTTCTGATGCAATTAGAATGTCGCGGTCGTGCCTTAATACACGTCACTCCCCAGCCTCCTCGTCGTCTTCTTCCGCCACCTAACAATCATCAACTGGGAATCCCCCCCACACGATAATTCATAATCATTATTAAACAAATATCACCCAATGATGATTAAAGAATTATAATAAGTGCTTGTTAGATAACCAATAAACTCAAGCTGTCCCGTGTGTTGAAGGGATACTACTTTATTTTGCGTAATAGTGTTTACATGGGAGGCGCGCGGCGGGCCAGCTGACGCAGAGGAGGAATGGCATTCCTAGAGTTGGTCTAGAGCGGCCCGCACGTCTCCTCCCACGCCCCCTGCCTCAAGAAACCCTTGTATAGTGTGCCATATACATCACTAACTAACTTTTTACAACCAAAAAGGATACTTGGTTTATTCGCTCTCGCTGGGAAAAGAGATATAGGACATTAAACGTTGATAGGCGAGTCAGTGACATCCTGCACCGGGTTTCTGTGATTTCACCTGAAGCGTTACCTCTAGTTTTTTTTGTGTACTGTAGACTGGAGGTTGGTGTATGGGGTGTCGGTGGTAGATATACACAGGATGCGGTGGTGGACTCCTGTCTGGCTGTTGGTAGGTGTGGTGCTGGGTGGTGCGGCGGGACAGTGGTTTGGTGGCCAGACAGTCTCCAAGGGGGACACATCCGCAGTCGAGCGATGCTTCTGCCAGGTAAGACACCGCTGGCTTTTGGGAGTGTCTCTTTACGATGTACTGGTCTTGTTAGTTAGGGTCTAACAACACCATTACTGGTTACTGGTCTAGCCCCCATAGGATACTCAGTTTTATTTATATTTATAAACATATTTAGGCATTGAATGTAATAGTTCTATCTATAAATCTATCAAAGTTTTGTATCTATGTATGTACTTTACCTGAATAAATATTTGTATTTGTATTTACTGAAAAAGTGACTGCTGCAGAGAAGTGGGGTGGGAGCTGCTGCAGTTTATTTACAAATAAAATTATATGGCTATTTTATCACACATTTTTTTTTAAGCAGAGTTTGAATGTAATTATAAACTAATTAAAGGTGTCATACAATCCTTAGGATATCAGATACATAAAGATTTTAATGATAAATGCAATACTATATTGATGACCAAACTACAGAACACGCCAGAATATGAAGAAACGACGATGTTTTGGTCCATCCTGGACCATTCTCACAATTGACTTGATAATAGTCCAGGATGGATGGAAATGTAGTAGTCTCCTCATCTTCTGGTGTGTGGTTTGATCATCATATCTTCAGCCATGTTATTTATATATATAGTGACTCATCATCTCCAATAATATTGTCAATTGTCAATTATAATACTGTTTATTAATTATGTTTAAAAACTCATCACACTTAAAGGTCAATAAAATAATGGGCCTCAGATTTATAGATAAATGGTCACTGGTTCTATTTCTGCAGCAGGCCAGATATTTGGGCATGGTTTCCATTCACATGATGCACCTGTTCACCTAGCAGTAAATAGGTACTGTTATGGGTTGCACCCTGGGGAATAGGTCATCAGTAACCTTGGTAAGCCTAATGGGAATCCTGACCTCTACAATAGACTACTAGTGGAGAAATTGACAATAATTTGTGTTTAGTATGTAGTTAGCTGAATTAAGTTAGGAAGAAGCAATGAACTTGATCAAGAAATATGATGCCATAGAAATAGTTTACTTAAAGGTTGTAATTTACAAGTTTGTATTAATAAGCAGAACATATATTATCCATTGTGAAAAAAACTTTGCTTTCATTCAAGAATTTAAAAGTAACTGGCTCAGCAGTTAAGACATGTCTGTCTTTGTGAATGGAAAGCATGAAGCTGCAGTTAGAAGATGAGAATGAATGGGTTCAGTAGGTATGTTGTTGGTTTTGAGGTTATCCAAAGATTTAAATATTTAAACCTGGTACAGTATTTAGTTTTTCATATTATGGAGGGCAGTGTACTGAAATAATGTAAGATTTTTTATTTTGTAATGAAATGGTTGGGATCATATGAGTGGTCTAGCTATGTTAATTATGGCAATTGGATATTAATTTTTATCTTTTCTTTTTATAGCTGAAAGGTGCTATAGATGATTGTTCCTGCTCTGTAGAGACAATTGACAGTTTCAACAACCTAAGAATATTCCCCAGGCTCAATAGTTTGTTACATCAAAACTTCTTCAGGTATTGGAAGGTGAGCCATAGATGAATTGAGTTTTGAAAAAAGGAAATAGCACTACACTATTGTACATATTTTTTTTTAATTCTTCTAAATAATGCTTTTATAGATTTAGTGTGGTAATTTTTGTATTGGTAAGTTTTTAAGTGTAAAAGTCACCAAGAACTCTGATCCTTGCTTAAATCAATCTACTCATCTATACCGATAGTGCTGCTCCCTTCTTTGTTTCACAAGGCCTAAACTGCTACCTTCTTTACTGCTTTTTTTTCATCCTTATCACCCTGTCTTCATATATAATCTGCATATACCCTAATTTTTGCAATTCATTTTATTAAATATATAAATAGTGTATTATTATAAACTACATAGATGGTTTTAATTAATATGTATAATATTCCATTGCTAATCAAAAATACCCTAAATTATGGCAACAGTTAGGTGTGGTATATATCTAAATTAAAGTGACAATTCTCCTAATGTGTCTGGATAGTAAAAAAATTACATAATACTAATAATATCTCGCCTCTGTGAACATGCATTCTTTGCTTTTGATTAAACTCTATTTTAAATTATTAGACATTATTCAACAAAACAATTTTGAGATACAGAGTTGTTGTGTACAGTATTTTAAAACTTGTGAAGTGTAAGAGGATGTGATACTGTATACTAAGTATGGCATAATATTACTAAGCAATGGACATTTATTTATTGACACACTTGGTATTTGCAAGTGTTTAACTCTTGCGAGCTGCAATCTTTGCCATTGATTGTATTTATTTGTAGTTGGTTACATCTTATTCGACAGTGACGAGACATTTAGACATGTCTGTCCACCTGATGCCTCTGTTCTCCTAGCAGTGTAATAGGTACTTAGGAATTGGGCAACTGTTATGGGTTGCATCCTAGGAATGGTCAGTAGCTGGCTAGAGGGACCTCAATAAGCATAACTGCAGGCTTTCTGTCCCATGGCAATGGGAATTAATATCAATAATTGGGCACCTTTTACATTATTATATATATATATACTGTATGTGGACTAAATATTGATTCAAAGCCCACACACACCTGAAAATGAAGAAATGAAGATGTTTTGGTCCATTATCAAGACTTGATAATGGACCAAAAAGGGTCCAGGATGGACTGAAACATCATTTTCTTCATTTTCATATGTGTGGGTTTTGACTCAAGACTTCAGCCACATTGTCACTCATCGTCAACTATAAATAATGTTGTAATAAGCTTTTCTCAACAGGTCAATTTAAACAAAAAATGTCCATTCTGGGAGGATGATGGCAAATGTGCAATTCGTTATTGCAGTGTACAACCATGCACAGATGTAAGTCATTTATCTTTTGATTTTTGTATGAGAGGGCAGGAGGGCAGTGGTGGGATGTATTTAATACAGGAGGTAAAGCATCCTAAGGGTTAGCAGATCTAGCTCAAATTTTATCTTCTTAACATTTTTAGCAGTACAGTTGTCATGTTGGGTAATTACTGATGACATATGTATAGTTTTGAATGATAGGTTCCTCTTATTGTGTCATTTTGCACCCAGTGGCTGATTTTAAAAATTGCTGTATGAGAGATTTTGAGTAATATCAAGAGCATAGCTACACAAAATCTTCTACACGTCTTAATGATAGGAAATTACCTCTCTTGCAAATGGTATTCTAAGAAATTTTGCAAATATATATTTTTTAATTGCTCAAAATTGTTAAAGGTGAGAATGCTACCTCCTATACTAATTATACTGTACTCCCTATACCATAGTTATCACTGTATACTGTATCACCATTGTAATAAGTAGCACATTGGTCTACATCATCAGCTCACAACTGAGGATTCAATTCCTGAGCAGGATGGACTGGTTACCACTTTTCTAAATAGGTACCTGGAGCTAGGCAACTATTATAGGTTGCTTCCTGGAGAAGGAAAAAGTGATTTCACACTTTTGTGACACCACACTCCCTCTCTACTGTAGTTGGGTTACGGGACCTCGATAAGCCAAGTGCAGGTTTCTTGAACTCGACATCGGAAAATTAATTGATGACCAAACCACACATCAGAACATGGAGACGATGACGTTTCGGTCCGTCTTGGACCATTATCAAGTCGATTGTGGAAATTAAAACTATGAAAAACTCTTAGAAACTAGAAGCAGCAGATTCAGGCCGTGAGCTGTATTTACAACAGTAGTAGTTAGCAATAATGTTCAGATGGGTGTTTTATTGAGAGTAAAGTGGAAAATTGTTGAACTTTGGAGAGCTCTGGAACACACACAGAAATGCATCCTTAGTTTTCTACTTCATTTAAAAAAGTGAATATGACATCACCTTCTAAAAATTTTAATATTTCTTGTATGTTGTATATATATACTAATAATGTCACTCTTTATTTTGCTTTTATTTATACTCGGATTTCTTTACATTGTAGCAAGAGGAATCGATTAAAGCAACCAAGAACAAAGAAAGTCAAGCAAGCAAAAGTGCAAGACTGAATTTGAATTTTATTGAAGATACGGAATCGTGTAGCAAGGTTAACGTGGATGAAACTGTAGAAACATTTAGTTTTGAGTAAATATATAAAGCAAATTTCTGAACATGACACTCAGATGCTCCCGAGGGCAAGCTCACTGAGTGTCAGATTGAACAAGATCATGAAACTCGTGGTAGGATAATATTTTGTGCTGGCATGCAAGGGAACTTTTCAAACAACCCCGACAAGTTATACTTGTGTTAGGCAAGCAGTGGAGAAAAGCTCCTCAGTGCACACCTACCCTGTCTCTTCCCTGCACACATCTTTCCCCATCTATCCTACCATACACCCTCCAAATCTTTTTCTCCCCCCCCCCCCCCCTTCTTCATCTCCCTTTCCACAGCCCCCGTCTCCCTTTCCACACTCCCTTTCTAGACCCCCCCATCTGCCTCCACACACCCTCCTCGCCTCTCTGTACACCATACCTCCCTGTCTCTAACCCCCTCCTCTCTCACCACCCATACTCCCCACCTCTCGCGCAACATATTCCCCCCCCCCCATATCCTATCCCACAATGTCTCCTCACATTATTGTAACCATTTTTCCGACACTATCTTCATCACTGTAACCAAAGTGCTGTGCCCAGATTGCAAATCTGTCGTCTGAACATATATTTTGAAAGTCAATACAGTATCTGAAATCACTAATATTTAAAGTATGTAATGTTAGAGATTTATGGGCTCATCATTTCAGTTTCAGACTTTGTCAAGAAGAGGCATTGGGGAGGTGCCCTCCCCACCCTTTAGGGGAGCACTGGGCTGATCCTGCTTCATAAAATAGATCCTGATTAATAACCATTAATCCTGCAAAGTTTAATAAGGCTAGCCTCGAACATCTGACCTCCATCCATGGACTGAAAGATCCAGATATTCTATTTTATAGATATAGATGATATCTATAAAAATAGATTATAGATAGATAATTTTATAGAGTACTCAAAAATATAGCTTTGTCCACCTCTGGCTGGGATTAATGCTTCAAGCATCAGCCTGTTGAACCAAGTTATCACAAGTCAAGCCTGGCCCCAGGCTGGACTTGGAGTAGAACAACTCCTAGAACCCACTCTGGGTATACCCCAGGATTGAGCTTTTCCCCAGTGCATTCCTGGCACCTATATGATCCATTGGAGATATTTGAAGAGGTCCTTCCTGTGCCAGCACGGAATGCCAAGCTGCCCTAGACCAGGATTCATCAAGAATTTACCTTGTGAAACCTGTACATCTTTCCTCAGTCATGGCTGCTTAATCTATATTTATTAAACAGTTTATTAGCTCTGAAGTATCACAAGGTTGTTTATAATAATATCCATTGGTTGTGAAGCATTGAAGCTCGTTAGCTGTTTAATAAATACACAGTAAGTCGACATGATTGAGGAAATACATACAGGTTTCATAAAAGGACATGTAAATGATTGATGAATAATGGTTCTGACTGTCATGATCTTGTATAATGAGATATTCAGTGAACATGCCTTTGGAGGCATCAGTGTGGAATGATCAGAATGATTTTCTTGTTAAGTTCCTCAACGTTTTAATTTTTTTTTTAAATACGGCATTAGTTACTCATTATTATATGTATCTAATAAATTTTATAACAATATCACTGGATTATGTAATATACAAGAGTATATATGAGTAACTTTTGTTAGCTAATTGAAAATATGGGTGGCACACGATTGCTTCGATAACAGCACTGGGTTTATTGTGTGTTGGATTTTTGCACATTATAAGCAAGCTCTTATATTTATATGTTTATATTTATTTATACTGAATATGATTTATTGTGTTTGGAATATATGCTCTCTATTGTCATAAAAATCTGATGAATAAAGGGGGATTTTCCTGGCACCTTTAAAGATTTCCCTAAAAATGTATCACTTATCAGGTAACTAAGTGATTTCTGATTAATTTTGTTCACAGTTCTAGGTTATGGAAATGTTTGGTCATGTATCATGACTTATTGCCCTCTTGATTACAAATTTCAAGTTTAGACTCTCCTAATATTAAAGTAATGAGTGCGTGGGTTTTACTGCAATTGTCATTAAATATTGCATCTTAAGAGCTTAAGTTTGACTGTGGTTTACCGCATTCAGATCGCTGCAGAATATATAAACTTGGTTTATGTGCTTCGGGATGCTTAATGCAAGTTTTAATCAGTTGGAAATCAACATTACGTATTCTGTGGCTACGTTGGGGCTTGCATTAGTGTGGTTGTTGACTGTAATTTTAAATAACACCTTTGTATAAGACAATTATTATTATTGTTTTAAAAGCAACAAACTCTTTTTGTTACATTAAATCTAGGTCCCAGAAGGCATCAAGGGAGCAGTCACACCTAATGGAATTGACACGTCACAAAGGCAAATGAAGAAATCTCCACCGACTGCAACAGACTGTGATGCCGAGAATGATTTGGGTTACCTCAACACAACGCTCAGGTAAGGGCAAGATGTAATACTGTTATGAAAGATGTGGAAGGTGAAAATCTGACCTGTGTAACTGAGGACATTGTACTTAGAATGGTATGGCTCTCTAAATAATTGGATAAGGATTGATGAAAAGGATGCAAGTGATATTGAGATTGGAGGAGGAGAAGGCCAAACACATGAGGAACTATGGAAATTGAGCAGTAAAAGGTGTAGAGATGGACGACAAAGATAATTGCAGACATAAGGAATTTAAATAAAAGCTTATTCATTAGTATCTGTGCCTTGGTTGGAGAGCAACCCGTCCTCTTAAAAAGAACGTCACTTTTGGCTCGTATGCGCGCTATGGCCAAATTTGGACGTAATTTGAAATGAAATCCACTCACAAAAGTGACGTTCTGTTCCGTTTTCTATTTGAGTCGTCCGGCGTATGCGCAGGGGTTATAAAAGGACACTTTAAATTCACGTTTTTCATAACGTTTTGAAAATTTATGAGAATTTCCTGCCCACCTAACCTATCAGAGGACCCTTAACTTACTGTTGTTGAAAAAAAAAATCCCAAATTTATTTTCATATTTTTTTCTATTTCAAATTACGTCCAAATTCGGCCATACGGGCAAACGGCCAAAAGCGACGTTCTTTTTAAGAGGACAGGTTGTGGAGAGAGACTTGGGTGTTAATTCATCAATATCCATATGTGCTGGGTTAAAATTGTGCACAATGTTCATCCACAAACTGCACTTAACATGTACATCTGTATCCCATTGATCCATACTAGTTAATTTACAGTACAGTAAATACTGTACAGAAAAATAGAATAAATACATTCAATAATTCAGGAAAATTAACAATGGTAACACAGTCTTTCATTTGGTAGGTACTGGACTATTTCTTATAATCCCCTCCCTCCCTGGATGCTCCCTGAGTCAATTCCCCTTAGATGCTCCCGCCGAGATCCCTTTCCCGGAGGCTCCCCGAGTCCCCTACCTCAGAAACATCACTGTAAGTGGAGCGGAGCCAATGTATGCAAGGAAAGGGATGTCGACTGAGAATCCCAAATGTGGCCCAATCAGGTCTGAATCTTGGATGGAACCAACTGGGACTTCTACCAGTTTACCTGAATCTGGTGTGCTGGGAAAGAAACGGATTCCTGTCCAGCTTGTTCTAATTTTGAGGCCACATAAGAGCCTAGTGGAGGCAAGAGACCTGGGTGAACCATAATGATTCAAGCTTGGGAAACATCTAAGAAAGTGGCTCGGAAAAGAATTTCACTACTCTCACCACCATCCTATATTTAGTTTTTTATAAACTTGCTTAAATATTAACAAACTTTCATGTAATTCAGCAATAATACATTGAAAATGTAAAAAAACTATTCACCTTACAATTTGGAATGTTTTTATTTCCAGTAAAGAGTCTATTGATGGGTTTGAGCGGTGGGCTGCTCATGACGATGCTCAGGATAGTTTTTGCTACCTAGATGATGATTCGTCCCTAGACAGTGAGTATGTGGACCTCCTGCTAAACCCCGAGAGATTCACAGGTTATGCTGGAGACTCTACACATCGTATCTGGAGAGCTATATATCAGGAAAATTGTTTCAAGTGAGTGAAATGTTTGTATATATTGTTTAAATTAAAGCTAAGATTGTAGTCCAAGGTAATTTTAACTTTTTTTATAAATTATTTTTTGGGAGGGGAAAAAAAAGTCTAGGTACGAAAGTTTTTAAATAACTTTAGATATTATGAAATGTTGTTTTGGGGAGTTAAGAATATTGAGGGGGTTATAATGCATGCAGAATATTATCATAAATACCTAAATGGAAACAAAATGAAATAAAATTTTAACTTCAAATCACCCTAACCAAGAAAAGGCCTCCAAAAAGGGGCAAAGAATCAGAACAGGCTACAGCAAGGTAAAAAATCCATATAAACAAAGCTCCAAGAATCATGAACCACTTGGTGGTAAAGCCATTCTGACTTTACTTGCATCTTTGCACCACCAGATGGCTGTGTACCTTCCTCCTCAAATCGCCAACCTTGAAGCCTAAGCTAACTTTGTTTTATATTCATTAATGAAGCTTTGAACCAGAAAAAAGACTCATCATGAATACTTTTTTCTTGACAGACCTACAAGAAGTTTTCGGCCATATGCAGACTTCAGTAATATTGGAGGTAAGTGAATAATTTTTACTTTGAGTTGCTCAGGATTGCTTCATTAGGCAATTTCATGCTGTTTTAGAGAAGTGAACTAGATGGAGTAATGCAGCATCTTCAAGTATGAATTGGTTTTATGCTCTGTGTCTGTCAAAAAAGTGTAAAAGTATTTGCATCTTTAAAAAGCAACAAACTTTCAAGCCCTTCATCAACACTAAGCAATTCGTTGCATACAGGTATAAGTATGTTTAAACGGAGGCGAAGCAAGGCTGGCATTTGGCTACCTGTATTATGAATGTTGTATAAAGAAGTGGATAGGTGAACATTTTGGCCCTGGTCTAAGCCCTGAGATCACGAATTTAATCAATGTGTATAGTCGAGGGCTCGTGTATCAATAACTACTGACAATCTTAGGGAACCCACAAACATGATAATAAATACATTATTGTCGATAACATTGTCAGAGCTCTCGACCTAAACAACCTTTCCAATTTTATGAAGCTTTGATGTGAAAAACATCACAAATAGTTTTCCTTTTCCAGTTGAGAAAAGTTGGAAATATTTGTTTGGAAAATATACTAGGAGACTGGAGAATTTAATTTCTTCAAGAAAGATAGGGGTTGTCTGTAGAATTTTAAAGGAAATGGGGAAAGCAAAATTTTTTTGTTTATGGCCACTCTAGTGACATGTGCGTGCGGCTACCCTAATGGTCCAATGTTTGCTGTACCTGTAGCTTAACACTTTCGCGCTTATATTAGAGATAACTCGTCACTGGTTTTTCTTACGATTCCGCATAACTGCCTACTTTTCTCGTCAATCGAAAAAATATTTCTATAAATTCCATTTTTTAACTGAAATGGATGGGGATACTTTTGTTTTGTAGAGAATTTATTTGCGAAGTTTTTGGTACCAGAATGAATATTATATCACATAAACTTCTATGAGTAAAAAAAAAATACACAAAGTATGTTTGGGGGTGTGGCGAGCGTGTGGCAGTGGGTTCCCTTTAGCCGTTGATATATCCAACACGTGGGAAATATTTGTATGTGTTATGTATATGTCTGTGTAGGGAATTTTACTGCGATCACTGTCATACAAATTATAAAATGTTTCAACAAGTATAAACATGACAAACATCAAACGAACGAAAACAATGCATTCGTTTCTGCCGCGAACGCATACTGAGCGACGTGGTTCTATATTTGGCGCTTCTCTTACACATGCTTTGTACCAATGTTATACAGTTCATCTTATAGAAAATTTTATTGCGAACACATTGGTATAAAAAAGAAATACGTACATAGAAAAGTAGGGTCAGGAAACGTATAAACTTTCCAAGCATGATTTCCCCCGTGTTTTCGCCAGTGCGCTCGCGGCTAACTACTCTCCACTTCACACACTCTTGCGGGTGGGCAATTACCTATATTAAACATTCATATGCATATGTCCGCGTAGAGAATTTTATTGCGATTCCAATGATACCAAAATTAGCGATGTAGGACAACTGTAGGCTTCGCAACCATTAAGAAAGTGGAAACATTTTGTTGCTGTTTGGCGCTCTCGGCGAGTGATCTGCATAGTTTTTTATTTGGTGTTGATACTCCTTATGCTTGGGCGGCATTTTATAGGTATGCTCTTATAGACAATTTCATTGCGAACACAGTGATACCAAATTTAAATACGTGCGCCTTCAATTATTGTCAGGACAGTCAAAAGAGTGTACACTTTTTCGGTCTTACCGCGTAGGCGCGCGAAGTGCCGAAAGCATCTGGGGTATTGTTTTTTTTTTGAGCGCCGAGAGCGCGAAAGTGTTAACAACCATATTTGTTTAATGCATAAGTATTTTGGTGTATATTTTTTTCCCCCCTCTTCTACCCAATCTTAAATAAAAAATATGAATGTCTTGAACTACAATATTTTCACCTAAATCGTTGTATTCATTTTGGTCTGTTTAGAATAATAAAAGGAAATGTCGTAAGTTTTTTACTAAGTCTGATATATATTTAATATTTTTCTCCCATTTACCATAATTACAGCAGATGACTTTCTAAAAGGTAAGCAAGTTATCTGTAGATTGATGTGCTTTATTTTACTGTAGAAATTATCAGACTTGTCTTGAAAGTACTGCGTAACTGTTAAGTAAGGCTGACATTTATGGGTTAAGTTTTAATTGCAAGTTTTGTTAATCAATTTATTACAGAAGACCAGATCTAGAGTACAGTAAACCTTAAAACCGTAACCTTTGTAACTTTAAAAACACAGCTCTACCGAGTTTTGTTTTAGCAATAATTCTGTGTTTTCTGCTTGAATGGATTAATTGGCTTAAGGTTTTCTATTTCATCCAATTTTGGCATACTTAACTTTTTATTTTAATGCAATGAATAGAACACCTATATTAGCACTTTGAAGTTGCAAACGAGTAACATAATATTTTTAATTTTTAATAAAATGTAAAACTAATTAGGTAAATAAAACAGTAAATATGAAAAGCAGCTATTTGAGCAGTTTACACCTTTGCTCGCTAAGGTAAGAACAACGGTTTCTTAAAGACAAGGTCGTGCTGTTAGAATCATTAACATTCTAGCACAGACACTGCAGGGAATTTCCGAAACGGTCCCTGCAGGATCATATTGGTGCTAAGGAGCAATGAATATTGAATCCAGCTTGGAATGACCTCTAGGATGAGTTACAAATTTGCTTGTCCACGTCTTACATTCTTGCGCCTTGTATTTTACCGATTTCATATTAGTATCACTCGGTGCCATCAATATTACTTTGATACTGAACTTATTGGAAGATATTAATCCAGATCACTTCTTTAAAAGATCAATGTAATGCATTTGAGGGGCAACAGCTTCAAGCCACAAATCAGAACTGGAAACCGGATATGTTTTTTTTACCCATACGGTAATAATAATAAACCTATAGAATTGCCTACCTGCTGAAACCATAAATGCTAGGATATTACTTCAGTTTAACAATAAATTGAAAAAAATCAGGAATAATGGGGGGGGGGGGGGTGGATCTTTGACAAGCCACTGGCTTCCTGTCCCCATCACGGCCATTAGATATGTTGGCCCTTCATGAACTAGAGTCATATTCTCTCATGATTGTTATAAGTTGCTTTCATTTATCTAACTCCTTCTTGTTCCTGTTACTCCTGGTGGGCTTTAGGCATTTATGATTATTAATTTTTTTGTATAGTTTAACATTTTATCACCGTTACATCCTGTGGGTTATTGTGTTCGGTAATATATTATTTAATTTAAATGTGTTTTCCTTAATCCTTGCACTGTGCAAATACACAAGCAAATGGGCTTTCACAGGACAAGAGTCCAATGGATGGCAAACACTTGGCTAGAATTAATTCAAAGATGTTTAGCATCTCCAGGAGCAGTCCACACAGGCGGTCATCATGCGGAAGACTGATTAGTGTTGGCATGGAAACCAGCCTCTTCCGGGGTTCTGCCACCTGGCAGTTGCCACTTGTAACTGTGAGGGTTCAACTGATTACCGAGTGGTTTATTTGCAGTTGTTTGCGCCTTATTTATCTTTTCTGTGAATTTTGTGATTGGCCTTTTTGGCTTATCCCATTTTTAGGATGCTTCCTTAGGTGTGGGTGATCTTTCCCTGACCACCTCAGGAGGTTCCTGAGGAGTTTTCCTTCCCCATGATTTTGAGGTTTTTCTAGCATTTCTGATCACGTCTGTTATTGTTTTGCCCCATTCAGTGTCACTCATATGGGGTCATTCTTCACCTCCTTATGCATACTGATTCTTCTATATTCATTTTCTTTTGTTGAGAGGATTGTTACTACACCTACAATTTTCTCCAGGTCAAAGGCACCCTGCTCTCCTGGACCAAAAACTCTCATAATCAGAGAAGCAAGAGTAAAACCTCATGGCACAGTCTCTGAATACAGCATACATGAAAATGGTACACTGCAAGGAGGCATTCTCAGACCCTTTATTCTTTCAATTAAGCAGTTAAAGAGAAATGAGGCTGAAACTCCCACAGCACTGCACTGCAGGCTGCTAAACTATGCGAACAACTTTGTCATCATCATAAAAGGACGGGATGCAGAGCCTTGCACCCAAATGCTTAGAATGCATCAGTGAAGTGGCAAAGCAGATTGGTATAAACTCCATCAAGACAAAAGACATGCCCATAAAAATAGTGAAGCCTAACAAACAACTCAAAGTACAGGGTCAGCCAACACTGGGTGGACACTTATAAGTATCTAGGAATAATTCTGGACACAGGAATTTTAATGCTGAGGTCACTTACTTGAGAAAGAGAACTGTGGTCCGGACAGCCATCCTCGGGTCACTGCCCGCCAAACACACACCGAAACTACGACGTTGGTACAACGTTCGAACAAATTTTAACACCTAATCAGTTATAACAACCAATATAGCAAGTTGTAGCAACGTTCTAATACGTCATAAACACGTTAAGCCAAGATGTAACAAGCGGGAAAATAGACAGTTTCGGTTTATGTTTCCAGGGTGACCTTCCTCTTTAGAGGAGCCAATGCGCAAGTTCTTCGCACACATTATGTACAGCAGTCAGTGATCGACTATGCAGCACCTTCACTAACAAGACTATTACATTGGAACATTGGAGTATCACAACAACAGTGGAAAAACCGTGAAGTAGCTCAAAACAATGCTATGAGAGATGGCCTGGGAGTTCCTATGTGGAGCAAGCTTGAAACTCTTAAGACTGGAAACAGGTTTGTCCTCTCTTCAAGAAAGAATATCTCAAAGAACAGCTACGATTATCAGTAAAATAATTGTTTCCCCTGATCCAATTCCAGTACGACAGGCCTTGGTGGTTGGACTTTGCCAAAACATTGGTAACTCTTGGGCTGCCAGAGCCGGAGAAGTCATAAACAAACTACAATTAATTAGCATTATTCTGGATAGAGAACGTGATCAACCACACCTTGGTATAGTGGCTAGCGTGCTGACCCACCCATCTCGCGAGTGTGAACAACCCGAGTTCAGGTCCTGGGCAGGGAAGGACAAATCTGACATCAATGCCCCTGTTCATCCAGCAATAATTTGAGATTGCATTTAATGGAACATGTTCTGGGGAAAATTAGTACTGTAGGGCAAGTCTTCCAATGAGATGTGGGAGGAAGAGATTTTAGCATGCAAACAAGATGCAAAAGATCTCTGGTTATAGTTAAAAAAAAAAAAAAAAAAAAAAAAAAAAAAGTTGCAAGTTCATACTGCAGCAGAAATTTAGCATTTTCGTAAGCCGTTTATGCAAGGAATATGGGCAAGATTTCTCTCTGCGAGAATTTCCTTATAACTTCATAATCTATCCCCATCAGCCATTGTGTTAGGCTGTGTAAAAAGAAATTCATTAGCAAGTTAATGAATATATTTAACAGTTGTATAGACTGTAAATTTTCATAAATATTACCATGTAAAAATGTAACGAGACATAACTAGGTATGGATGTTTTTGATGACAGCTTATTAGTTATGAATAATTGTTACAAATATAGGAATACAGTATAGCTAGTATTATTTGTCTATAAATATTTTTGCATGTTATTCAGCCATTTTTAAAGACAAATTTTGTATGACATTTGGATTTGGAAACTTCTGTTTTGCCCATAAACGGTCAAAGACAAACAGTTTATAACTAAGAGCTTATTTTATATTTTTTCAGATTTATGCTTAGAAAAGCGTGCATTCTACCGAGCCATCTCGGGCCTCCACACCAGCATCAACATTCATCTGTCTGCACATTATCTCCTCTCTGGTATTTATATTGCTAAGTATTTACAGTCAGATTTGGTTTCAGATCTTAAAAGCCAGAGGCAACACATTAATTTATTTATGAATATACGGTAATGTATTAATTAAACTACGAGTGCTGTACATCTTGCATTTTTCAATCTTTTTTATGACACCAGTATTGTATTTGATATTAAGTTGTCTGGTAAACATATGCCAAGTAAGTAAATCTGCTGCCAAGTTGTGCTTATCTATAAATCTTTAACATGCAGGCATACTGTGAAGCTTAGTTTAATTAATCTGAAAGTAAATTTTCTGGCGTAAAAGATAAGAGTAAAAATGAAAGTAACACAAATGTCAAGTGTTGTATTCAGCTGCCTCAAGAGCATAATGGATGAAATGTTGAATATTTTTCCTTGCATTTTCCTGATTCATTAGCGATTCTTGAACAGTTAGATACATACAATTAATGATTTGTTATTTTAGTTCTGTACTAAATTACAGTATACCAAATACTATTTCAATACACAATGTATTTTTATAAACAGATAAAAATGGTTTTGCCGAATCCAAGGACGGAGTGTGGGGTCACAATTTAGAGGAGTTTCAGCGCAGATTTGATCCAGAGATGACGGGAGGAGAAGGACCGCTTCGTCTCAAGAACTTGTATTTTGTTTACTTGCTCGGTAAGTAGAATTTCTCAATACAAGGGGACCATTTAATATTCACATTCATATTTTTTGTTAACTGTTCATAGCAACAGGTAGAGCTATGCTCCTGGTGTTCCATCTTCTTGATATCTTTAAGAATAGTTTTAAACCTTGAGGTGGTGTTAGCTCATGCACCACTTTCTGAAATATGTTTATACTGTAATGTCAACAACTCTTGGTGGCAAAAAGCACTGTGTTCTGTCTACATGTTTTCTTCTGGAGTTTACAACTATGACTTACAGTTCTGCTTGTTTATGGTTCCAGCTGGTCTTCCCTGTCTTTTCTTTGCTGCTAGTATTTCTTAGTTCTGGAATCCATTTCATTGCATGATCTTAGACTTGTTGTGTTTCTTTAGGGATGGTCACTATACCACAGTTCCATAAATTAGTTTAAATTTGATGTACTATACAGTAAATTGTAAATATTTTTTTATTATTCTATACCCCCATACATAAAAGGTTTGTATCTCAGAGGTGTGCTATTCTCTCATTCCTAGAACTTCGAGCATTAGCCAAAGCAGCACCATACTTGGAAAGCCTCGAGTTTTACACTGGGAATGAAGCTGAAGACAGTGATGTAAGAAAGGCAGTCACAGATCTCCTGACTGTTGTAAAGTGAGTAATTAAAATGTTAATAATTCTCAAGGCCCACATTTATTATTATTGAACACGTTCATTTGAACACATTTCATTCATTCATCTTTTACTATATCATTTAAAATAATGATATACTATACAGTATTCAGTTTATTTCCACTATTCTGTATATTTTGTATCCAAATTAATTTTATAAAGGAACTTTATTTTTTTTGTGTGTGTATAGGCAGACATAAGGAAAATAACCAGGAGTATACCAGAAGGGGCTCTTGGTCTTTCTCACATTAATGAGCCACTTCTTGAATATGTCAGTAAATAAATAATATATATTACACACACACACACACACATTGGATTATTATTAAAAAAGTAATACTGTAACTGGATTTTTTTCTCTAGAATATTGTAGCTAATGGCCATTTCCATAAACTTTTCAGGAGTTTTCCAGAGCACTTTAAGGAAGAAACAATGTTCACTGGGGGACTACAAGCCACCAAGCTTAAAGAACAATTCCGTGAACATTTCCGCAACATTAGTCGTATCATGGACTGTGTAGGATGTGACAAATGTCGACTGTGGGGCAAGTTACAGGTAGGGAAACAAGCCACAAGTGTGTGTGTCCCTTTTATTCCACTTCCCTCCCTCATTGTGTGTTGGAAATAAACATATTTTCATAAGTTAAGATTCCGACTTTGTGGGAGGTTTGTACAATATTATACTATCGGGTAATATGTATTATGTTGCAGGTTACTGGCTTGGGGACAGCTTTAAAGATACTATTCTCAGGCAACTTTGACCAACCTTTGGATCAGCAATTAAATTTATCAGCAGTGAAGCAAACCAAGTTTCAACTGTCACGAGGAGAAATTGTTTCTCTATTCAATGCATTTGGGAGGTGAGTTGATTTTATCTTGTTAGGTATCCCCAGTAGTTATTTATCTTAGGTCATGTATTTGTTTTCTTAAGAGATTTCCATACACTATTTGGAGAATGTTTAATTGCATTAACTTGTATTTTAACACTACAGTAGTTCATACCTTGATCTGTGGGTTAATATCATTTTTATTTTGGTTATCACCCGGTAAATAAATACTTATATATGATATTTATTTACATCACTCGTATGATATTTACATACATGTGATGTAAATATCATTATAATACTGTACATTTATATGCATGTAACAGAGTTATCCTAGACCCATAAACAAATTCTGCTATCTTGAATTGCTTACTATCGACGAGGTTATCTTGTACCACAGATAATGCGATTACTATATTGTCAATGCTCAATTTGATTTTTACCCACTGGTGTAAGGAAATTTTCATTCCCCTATATAAGTGGTTGGCAAGTGGAATGCACTAAAGGTAAAGGTTGTTGAAGTGAATTCCATCCACAACTTTTTTTAATGTTTTCATTGTATTTTAATGTTGAGAGCAGTAATTATCATGCCAGGTATAAATGGCTAGGAAATGGTATAAAGATTACACACACAAATCACAATAGCGTGATGCATCAAATGAACAAATCCTCATCACTGCCTTTGTGGATTTGTTCATTTCCTCCGCCCCCATCACTAAAAAATCTTCAATACTTGTGGTCTTCTCTGTAGATACCTTAACCCCCCACCCCACCCTCTCCATATCCTCCAACCTACTACACTCCCTATCTCCTCCCAACACACGTGCCATTCACCCCCCCCCCCTTCCCCCACAATCTCCCTGACCCAACATATGCTTATCCTGTATCCTCCCTACCTACCAAAACACGCTCTTTGTCAGTTTCCTCCCTACTTGCAAACACCCCCCCCCCCAAATCTCATCCTTCTCTGCTCACACATGTTCTTTCACCCATTTCTCTTTCCCTGAACATATGCCCTTCGGTTTCCTTCCCTACCCACACATACCCTTACCTCATCAATATAAGCACAATGTTGCACTCAGAATGCAAATATGTCATCAGAACATGCCTTGAAAGTCAACATACAAGTACAGTACTGTATTATTATTTAAAATAATAAAGTCTATAGACTTGACACTGACCATTTCCCATCTACAGACTTTGAGAAGAGAGTCCACTGGGATGATCCCCCAACTACCTATGACTCCTGATAAAATAGCCATTAATCCATTGAAGTTTAACAAGACTAGCCTCAAACATTTCGCCCCCAGCCTTGCACATTCTCCTTTATACACTATCAATGTCTATAAGTATCCACATCTGAAATATTAAACAAAAATTTGAAACTTTGTATTTCAACACATTTTTAACACTTTCGCGCTCTCGGCGCTCAAAAAAAAAACAATACCCCAGATGCTTTCGGCACTTCGCGCGCCTACGCGGTAAGACCGAAAAAGTGTACACTCTTTTGACTGTCCTGACAATAATTGAAGGCGCACGTATTTAAATTTGGTATCACTGTGTTCGCAATGAAATTGTCTATAAGAGCATACCTATAAAATGCCGCCCAAGCATAAGGAGTATCAACACCAAATAAAAAACTATGCAGATCACTCGCCGAGAGCGCCAAACAGCAACAAAATGTTTCCACTCTCTTAATGGTTGCGAAGCCTACAGTTGTCCTACATCGCTAATTTTGGTATCATTGGAATCGCAATAAAATTCTCTACACGGACATATGCATATGAATGTTTAATATAGGTAATTGCCCACCCGCAAGAGTGTGTGAATTGGAGAGTAGTTAGCCGCGAGCGCACTGGCGAAAACACAGGGGGGGAATCATGCTTGGAAATTTTATACGTTTCCTGACCCTACTTTTCTATGTACGTATTTCTTTTTTATACCAATGTGTTCGCAATAAAATTTTCTATAAGATGAACTGTATAACATTTGTACAAAGCATGTGTAAGAGAAGCGCCAAATATAGAACCACGTCGCTCAGTATGCGTTCGCGGCAGAAACGAACGCATTGTTTTCGTTCGTTTGATGTTTGTCATGTTTATACTTGTTGAAACATTTTATAATTTGTATGACAGTGATCACAGTAAAATTCCCTACACAGACATATATATAACACATACAAATATTTCCCACGTGTTGGATATATCAACGGCTAAAGGGAACCCACTGCCACACGTTCGCCACACCCCCAAACATACTTTGTGTATTTTTTTTTTTACTCATAGAAGTTTATGTGATATAATATTCATTCTGGTACCAAAAAATTCGCAAATAAATTCTTTACAAAACAAAAGTATCCCCATCCATTTCGGTTAAAAAATGGAATTTATAGAAATATTTTTTCGATGGATGAGAAAAGTAGGCTGTTATGCGGAATCGTAAGAAAAAACGGCGACGAGTTATCTCTAATCTAAAGCGCGAAAGTGTTAAGTATGTTGTTGCTTTAGATTCAGCTACTTGGAGCAAAATTTCCATGTAGCATGGACTAAAATGAGCCCATGATTTTCAAGGAATACAGGAATCTTATATTCATCGAAAATGCACCGAAACGTGAAATTGTTTGGAATATTTGTTTAATTATTCCTATATGGATACTTGTGCATAATTTAATAGCATGTTTTTGTGATTATTCATGCATAATTAGCAGTGTATATGCCAAAACTCACTCTGCTTCTCTTACAATATTACTAATTACATAACACAATTACACAATAATGTGTTGTGCAGGTTAAGGGTTAAAGCTACTGTATATAGATATAATAAGCCCTCAGACTCGCCATATCCATTGCAGTGCAGCCACACACAATGGATTTAATGACAATTTGGAGATATTATTTTTCTTATATTCTCATAATCGAGTTATGCCTTGTATGGTATGCATATGATATGTAATGCAATGCATTTCACAGTATGAAAACCATTTGATCCTGCTTGGCACCTCACTAAATGTTTGTATTTTTCAGGTTATCACGCAGCATCATGGAACTTGAAAACTTTCGCCAAAAAAGCCTAAGATAATAATGGCAATGATCTCGATGAACATTTTCTGTGATATTTGTTATACATAATATTTGTACTGTCACACATTGTTATGATAAACAGTGGGTTCATAATGACCTGTTGAGCAGTTGTGAAAATAATGTGCTGCACTTTAAATACCTTTATTATAATTTGCTATTTTAAAAAGGAACAAGTAGCCTCTTTATTGGATGCAACAAAGAACATTATTATGTAATACTACGTACATATACGTGTACTACAGTACTCTTATCAGTTGAATATTAACAGACTACAAAATCACACATTTTATCTGATAATTGACACCTTTGACAGCAGACTATCACAGATTATCCCCACTACTGTACTATGTCTGTAGTATGGTATCCCAGCCGTCCCTAGCGATAGTTTGGGTGCTTGGTGTAGGAGACACAGGATACATTTCTCGATTGCCTCTTATAAAAATCATACCTGATGATTTTCAAGGATGTCATAATTTTTATAATTAAAGTGGCTAAAAAAATATTTAAGTATAATTTTGTGCTATTACTGTGACTGATATTATAGCGAGACTTGCACAACAAAATGTATTAATGCTATCACCGAATAACTCGTTGATGTTTCCTTTGTATAAGAGGACAGTGCATTCGGTAAACAGTGTTTGTCTTGTGATTATTATATAGGTAAACTGACAAGTTGGATTTTGAGCATATTTGTGTTCTGTGACATATTGATATATTATCTGGTTCTAGAGACCAATTGTGGTAAAGGGAACATTTATGAATAACTGCTAAATATTTTTGACTATACAGTATGGTAGTTGCTTTTTTAATTTTTTATTGATACGGGATTTAGGGGAAATATATATTTAATTGCATATGACTACTGACTAATATGAGCAGCGTGGTTGGTTCTGTCCACTTTTTCCAGATTCACGTTGTAATCACCTATTTATTACAGCATCATTGTATTCTACCATAAATGCATATGATTTTTTTTTTAATGCTTAGAATTAAGGTGCACAAAGATAAAGGGACTAGAGGCCTAATAGGCATGATAATGCATCTGTCAGTAACACTAAGCTCAGTATTAAATAAATTTATTTTATTGATCAAATAAATGTTTTTGCTTTCATAAGTCTTTTGGTCAGTGAGGTGAAGCACTGAGTCTGATCAGTAACTGAATGGGTGACTGCACAGGCAGCCATGTCTGTGCGTGGATAAATACATTTTTCTATAAAAACCATATTTCTTAAATATAAAATTTAGTGAAATTTGCTTTCCCCAAGAAACAGAACTGGTTTGAAAAATATTGGACAGAATAATCCTAAAACCACAAAGACAATGGGGATAATAAGATTTGTCTACCTACCTAATAATGGTAGCTTGGCCACTTGGTTGACTACTCGATCAGTCAGGATCTCGGTACAGTACTTGGATGCAGTGACTACTTCATATTATTTGTTTTCAAGATGTAATGTTAATTTGGAAGTATGTTAATTCCCCATTTTATTTAAAACATTTAGACCCCTTGTATTTGTTATCTGTAACTTTTAGCAAATATTGAAAACTTTGTTTCCATAATATATAGATAACGCATAAAGGATTGTGACAATAATACAGCAACAGACCTCCAAAAGTTGTGATTATGACAACAAAAAGTAGCACCAGTGGGAGAAATGTTTAATGCTGTTTTATTTCTCTAATGCAGAATGAACAATAATAAATTTATCACCATCAATATACTTGCACATGCTGTACTGTATTTAGAAAATACTCTTATGATAAACTACATTAATGAGATTCATTAATAAAGTTGGCATGAACTTAATATTAAGGCTTTAGTTTGAATTAATTAGCCCTACTATTCATTTAGTGTTTAGCCATATTTATGGAACATGAATGATAACCAGATACTGTTCAGGATGCACCCTAAGAATTAAGAAACTTAGAACGAGTGATGCTTAAGATATATTCACCAAGGATTTAATCGAGACGTGACTCAAAAGCATATAGGCAAAGCAAGACACTCTTGCTTTGAACTTTCAGGATGACCAGAAAGACATCCTGAAAGTCGGAACAATCTACAAAACGTTGCACATCTAAGTGGCCTAATGCACTGACACCAAGATGCTGGGAAGAGCCTATGGCCAATATGCAACCTTGCTAGAATCCTTTTCCACCTCATGTTATGGTGGAATAATGAAAGCTACCGGGTTGTCATATTTAACACTACAGTTTGTTATTCATAATAACCAACTATTTATCCAATAGTTGCAGATTATGCTTCACTGGGTAGGAATTCATTTTTGACCAATGATTGGCATGAATAGATTTTTAGCAAGGATATCCACAAGTTCATTCAATATGGGAAGAAACCCAGCAAAATTGAACTCTGCTAAATCTGAGGAATAGCCAGTATTGCATTTCGATCACCACAAAACAGGAGGGGGTTAAGTCTAACAGCCACAATAGCTGGCCAACTTAGTGGCCTGATAGCCGAGTGGACAGCGTTCTGGACTTGTAGTCCTAGGGTCTGGGTTCAATCCCCGGTGATGGCAGAAACAAAATGGGCAGTTTCTTTCACTCTAATGCCCCTGTTACTTAACAGTAAATAGGTACCACACGGCCAATACAAAAACCAAACCAACGGACCCAGCAGATGAGCCGGGCGACCCGAACCTCAGAACAGGAGGGAAGGGAACCTGGGCAAACCAAAACGCACCCACGGCCCAGAGGCCAAGATGAGCAGACAACATCGAAGAGCCGCAACCGAACACAACATACAAATCACCCCCAGCCTGAACAACCAAGCAGCAACCCAAGGACCCCTCCGGAAAACAGCAGACCCAGCCTTCACCCGAAAAGGATACCGCAGCTAACAACCTACCACCAGGACCAAATGAGCAGAAAAAACACACCAGAACCGAAGGTGTCGCTACAAACTGAGGAGAAGAAAGAAGAGAGACCATCCGGGCCAACGACCAGGACAGCACCAGAAGTGCATGAGCAGGTCAGAAGTGAAACAACGAACTTAACAGCTTGCGGAACGGAGCAGAAGGAAAAGCAACACCGAACGCATGCTGGGGCAGTGGCCCCGCCAGCGCCGCCTGAAACGAGGCGACAGTATTCGGCATCAAACGACGGTCCAGGAACAACCCCGAAGGGAAGGACATAACAACCCCATCAGAGACTGCGGGACACCTACGCAGTGATAAGAAAACCGGAAGGACCGCCAGGAAACTACACACTGCCGCCAAGACGAAGCACGCAGGTGGAAGACCAACAACGAAGCCATCAGTGCCCACACAAGCGACAAGAACTCGATACACGAAGACTCGAGGGGAAAACGAACCAGCCTCGTACTGGGCTGGACCGATCCGTAAAAAAAGGAGCGGAGCCATGGGAATACCTTCAGGAACAGACACCGAGCCAAACAGTGCCCCCAACCAAGGCTGGCAAAGAACCAGAAGGAACGGCCGCCAGGTAACCAGGAACCCAAACCCGGCGAGACTGGAAGGACCCAACCCGGGCGAGCAGACACACCCCGCCCAGGACTACTGAAGGACCAACAAGGCCGAAAACAGATGGCAATGAGAAGAATCCGCCAGCCGAAAGAACCGAACTGCAGACACCACAACAGCTAGGATCAAATGGCGATGAAAACTGAAGAGCCAGGGCCCAGGCAGAGGCCAACGAGGAAAACAAACGCCACGAACTGAATCACGAGACTCGAAGCAAAAAACAGCGACCCCCGCAACCCGTAGGAGCAGCGCAACCAACAGGGAAGAACGATGCACACGTCTCCAAGTTATATATGAGGAGAACCACTCAAGACGTGTGCTGCACTAAAACAAAAATGTACGTTCTGGAAAAGGAACAAAAAGACAACCTGTAGTCAGGACCACAATCCTAGCACCCTCGTCCCAACAAAAAGGAACCTAGGGGCAGGAGTGATCGATCGGAGAGCTACATCCACCCGCAGACATTGCAACACCGAAGCGGGCAGTGACAGACAAGGAAAAATGAAAAAACATAGGTCCATAACTGAACACTGGGGCAGTCCCTAATCAGGGAATTGAACATGTACAGAGGCCAACTGAGCACCAACATCAGTATAGCCAATAAGCACCTACCAAGACACACAACAATGTGTAGTATAGAGGTAGGAAATATGGAATTAGGCAATGAAAAGACCCTAATGTTGCACAGCCGAGCCGTGCAACATACCAGGAACATCGCTATGGGAGCATGTCCAGGGGAACAGGCACAGAAGACGACGAGGTGCAGCACAGAGGTGGAGGTGGCGCCTTCAACCTCGCAAAAAGCGAGGGAACTCAAGGGTCACATCCACCAGACCACAGAGCCCCCGCGGGGTTTCCCAGGGCCCTTAGCATTTTAACACGCTAAGGGAAGCCCAGGCAGGGTACTGCAAACCGGCGCCCAAGTCTACCAAACAAACTGCTAAAATCTGAACCCCCAGGGTATGTCCATTCATGGGGGCCAAGCAGGGGATACCACCAACCACAAACTATATATATACACCCCCAACAGCTAAGGGGAAATATGCAGGCAGAGCCCACCCCCCCAACCAGGCAGAAAACAAAAACAAAAGAAAAACCCCGCAAGAGGACTACGCACCCAAGCGGAACAGTCGGCTGCTATAATTGGTGAAAACTAGCTGTGAAAATCCCCACACTCCTACCAGTGACAAACTACCCCCCCTTACCCAATGACACAAGGCAAGAAAATCCCAGTAGACCCCAAGGGCGGCAAAGTACCGAGCAGTAAAAGGCACAGCGGAGGCAGATCCCAAGGTGACTTGTGGAAGGTGGCCCAAAGCCCCAAGGGCAGTACTTACAGGGCACTTAGGGAAGATAACCCTAGACGCATGCAGCCCGAGTACCGTGGAATATTACTCCAAGCACATTGACCGATGCCAGAAAGTTACACATATCCATTCAGCCTGAATAGCTCCGGGGAGCTGACAGGGCTATCCCCCAGAAAAAATGGTTTTTAGCAAAATACATTTACTGTACAGTATATGCAATTATTTGCATAGTCTTCAAAGGATATGAAAATAAATACATGTCTTTGATTGGTTACTAAAAAAATGTTTTATTAAAATATATTTGAATTTTTATCACATACTGATAATATTAAGCCAAGTAATGTATCGCAGTACAGCATAAATGAAGTAGAATGTACATTTAAACAAAGTGAGTTGTAGTAATGATACTCTACCTAATGATCATCCTTTTAACAACATTGGTTGTAAGCTTGGTATTAAAGGCTGCTGCTTGCAAATATTGTAGATACTGTACAAGATGCATACAGTGCGGTAGTCTAATTTACTCCAATATGAGGTGTGCTCAGCTATACAGAATTAACTACAGCATTGAAATGCATAACCTGAAGTCATTATCCATTATCTCAGGACCTGGCAACTTTGAAATGAATTGCACAAAATATTTTCTGCATTGTACTATGTAAAATGAGAGTGGAAAAAAGACCGTTACATAAATACTGCCTAATCTGCACAGCTTATCTAGTGCATCAATGATACTAAAACGAGTCATCCATCTTGAAAAACCCCTGAATTTTTTTTTTATTTGGGAAGGGTGGGGCGGGGAGCATTGTGGGCATAGGTTATCAGGGGACCAACCAAGGTTTGAGGAACCATTACAAAATCACCTCGGCCAACTACTTATCGCCTAAAATTGATAATTTTTTTTTTTACTTTTGAGTACCTGTATTTCACATTGCAAATTACCTGCCAAAACAGTGTGAAAGTCCCGTTTGTTTCTTCTTATTGCAATATAGAAAAATCATGTGCGTACATTTCCCTATTTTTTAATTTTATGTTGAAAAATATATGAGGAATGTTAAAATGTTAAATATTAATCTACTGTACAGTATATGCACACAGTTTAATGCTAAATTTCTAGTTACAACCCAAAACCGAGAAAACGCATATATAAAAAAAAATCTTTTTAAAGATTTTAGGAGTTGCTGACCAGAACCTGAAGATTCCCGGAATGTTTACAGTTGCGTAAGCACTGGTGGCGGGATGGAACATTAAAGACAGGGATGTGGACCAAGACACCAGGCATGAGTTCGCATATTGCTTTTCACTTTAGCAATCCAAAGTGTTTGTACTGTAGTCTGAGTATACTATACTTAACCTTGGAAAACAGTATGATAATTTTAGCAAGAAAAACTATGAATATACAGTACTGTACTATAATAATGCATATTAAACAAAATTCCATTTTTTTTTTCAATAAATTTGTTAATTCAACTATGAAACATGAAACAAGACATGCCTATTTAGAGATGATTCTGAACTTCTATATAATAATCAGTTGAGATTAAATATCCCAAGACACTTAAAAGAACCTGGTCACTCAAAAAAGACAAAGCTTGTAAAGCTCTGAACTTTAGATATGACATTGTTAATTGATAACCCAGCCTCATTTTCTTTACACAAGCTACAAATATTGATTATAAAGTCAACAAGTTATATATATAATGTGCTGTAACATTATTTAACTAGAACAGTTGCCATAAAATTATACAATGATCTAAACACCCTCCTGAAGTAAGTAATTATCAAAGAAGACACCAAGCTGGTTTTTGCAGGTAAGTAACCGGCACTTACCTGAAACATATCTTGACTTCCAAATTATCATTAGAAGTAAGTTTCATTAATAACATAGTTATAAAAGAATCTTTAAAATTTCTTTTGGAGAACAAAAGGTATGAATTTTGTGATAATTTTTAGGGGCTGCTGTTCAAATGATATGACATCAACTATACATACCATAATACTGTAACATTTACATTTAACAAATTAATACACTCATTTTATTTAAACTAATAAGGTTTAGATCTATGTGCTTTGGTAAGCTTAGGAAGTGTGTGTTTGCCAACATTTTCAGTAGACTCTGGCTTCCACACCCTGACCACTCCACATTCCCCAGCAGTGATATAAGAGTTTGTCTCCAAATGATGCAATGCTACCCGTGTCATTAGTAGCTTCTGATTAGAAATAAAGGATCCTTTTGGCTTCAGTTGGCCAGTATGAATGTCAAGTTTCAATGTAGAGAGGCAATCACTTCCATCACCAGTGTGCGAGCCACTCAGCACAACAGGGTTGTCCCCATCATTAGACATGTGCATAGCCACTAGGTAACATTCGTCCGGTGTATTGCGCTTCATAGCACTAGCTATTTCTTCCCTGTTATACTTGTACAATGGTGCAGCCTCCTTGATATCCCAGTATTGCAAAGACTCCATGTCAGTTACTGCAGATAACCTTTCGTGTTTGCCATTTTGACTCGACCATGATAATTTCCCAACTGTCACTTCAGCATTCATGCAATATGTAAGAGCTTCATCCTCAGTATTTTGTGAGATGTCAAACACATTAATAAGTCCATCTGTAGCAGCTGTAGCCATAGTGTCTGCTTGTGTAGGGTTGAATTTAACTTGAGTGATGTCATCTGTGTGACATTCCCAATAACTCCCTAACATTTTATCACCTCTGATATCCCAGAATAAAAGGAAAACACTAGTTTCAACTAATTCAGTTCCTGCACATAATATCCTTTCATTATAAGACATATCAAAACATGTGATAGGCTTTAACACAGTTGAATCCTTAGTCATTCCTTTCAACTCTTTTTCACATTTATTGGACCTGATGTCCCACATTTTGACCAAGCCATTTCTGCTACTGGACCAAAGAAGGTTGCTGTTACTGGGAGAGAACCCTATTCCCGTGATACATTTTTGGTGGGGTTCAAAGCTGGACACTTTTTGAAGATTTTCCCTCTTCAGTACAGACACGGAATTATCCGACACCGAAACAGCTACGTTTTCCCAGCTGGCATCATGTGCTAAATGCAAACAATATTCCTTCTCCGAGAGAGTTGTGCTTGTCACAGCTCCATACTTAGTGGGGAAAAATGCTGCAATTTCCTTTTCTAGATTTGTGCTTGAACTTGCTGGCTTAGCACCTGCATTTTTTTCTAAAAGCAAAAGAAAAATAATATGCTATTAAAAACTATGATAATGTTACTGTATTAATATAATACAGTACAAGTGTTTAAAATCATCAATGAGCATGACAATGCTAATGCAGAGAAGACATTTTAATTTCGCACAGATAAACATAACTTGTTGAAGTATTTAAACTTACAAGAAAATTATTTCACTCTAATGAGGCTAAATATTACTTCTTTACCCGAGTGGTAAACATTTAGTACAGCTTACTAGGAGATAATGATAATAATAAGAATAATAATGATGATGAGAAAATCCATAGGAGCCGTAATGATGGTTTGAACCTATGTGGTGAGTGTTCCCACGCACATGCTCTAGCGACTAGACCACGACATGATATAAGGATTACAACCTGGATTTCTACTAAACACACAAGGGTTTCCCGAGGCAAAAGTGTTACTAATTTTTTGTGGGTAATTTATATTACAAATCCATATGTTAAAATAGTGCTTGTTTATTTACCTGAAGGCCACTAGCTCTAGTGGCATGACAAGGACAGAAAGCCAGCAGGTTGTCAAGGGTCCCCACATGTCTTGAGGATTTTATTGAGCTGAATTTTAAAATTTAGCCTTTTTGCATTTATGGGTCTGATGGGTAGGCAGTTCCAAGCATTAATTAATAACCCTATTGTTGAAAACATATCTCCTGTTTTCTACCCCCTTGTATGTGTTACACTGACCTTTTGAAGAAGTGGTCTGCATCAATATCCTCCAAATTATTCAGTACATGTACTGCATTTTAAAACTTTATATTAACTCATAGTGAATATCTTTGAGAAAGTCAGAGTTGATTTTTTCTACAAGTATTAAGTCTGCGCAATAGTTTTACTCCGTAAATTGTATTTTATGTCTTCATAAAATACTGTCTACAGTAAAGAATATACTGTACGAAGACCAATTACTGTATTTTCCATCTACCTCAGCAACTGTATACACCAATACAACATTAAAATAACAACCACAAACACAACAAACTCCCTTCATTTATTTTTTATTTATTTATTTATATATACAAGAGTTCTTACATTCTTGTACAGTCACTAGCACGCATAGCATTTCGGGGTAGATTTTTAATTATAATGATCCCCGGAATACGACCGCCGAATCATTTAACAACCAGGTACCCATTCACTGTAGGGTGAACAGAGGCTATAGTTATGGATTGGCGCCCAGTCAATCCTCTCCGGCCAGGATACGAACCCAGGACAAAGCACTAGCAAAACGCCAGGCAAATGTCTTACCACTTCGCCATGGACTGCATTGTTTCATAGCAATGTCTTCTTAAATATTAAGCATCTGATTGACAATAGTTTATCTCATCAATAAAACCTAAACACTGGCACTGAAAACAGCCTCACCTGGCAAGAGACACCAGTCACACACACCTGACAACACTAGGCCTACCACACACCACTAGGCCTACCACACCTAACGCAACACTAGGCTTATCACACTATTAGGCCTACCATAAACCCGAGTATCAGTGCTTTTAAATAATGTCAGGTTTACCTATGAACTCACAGAACAGTTACAGCCCCGCTCCTGTGCCAGGTAAGTCCACTACGGGCTCACCATAGCCCGTGCTACTTACCCCGCTCCTGTGCCAGCTAAGTTACGAGCTCACCATAGCCCGTGCTACTTGGAAATTTGTTCCCAGTAGCTGAATGTTAAACAACAACCTATGACCTCCCCACTAGGCCTACCACAGGAACAAATGACCATCAGCTGACACAACTTGCTGCTTACCTGCTGAATTCATCTGGGTCATGGTTGTGTGTCCTGCTGTGGCTCTTTATGGTAGTTGTGGTAGAGGAGGCGGCGGCAGCAGCGCCTGCAGGAGCCTGGTGGTGGAGGAGCAGCAGTGGCCGGAGTCCCAGCGTGGCCGCCCGCTGTTGTGCAGAGAGGGATACAAGCCAGTACACAAGACATTATTTTGACTATTTCGGACAGAAAACTTATATATCATTGCTCAATATTAAAACCATAATATAATAATAATTTTTTTTTAAATTTCTACTTAACAGGTATAGTTATTAAATTGAATTGAAATTGAAATAAGTTTATTGATGTAAAATACACACAAAGGGATGAAGTAGCTCAAGCTATTCTCACCCCGTTCAGTACATCGTGTTAATACATACATATACACACATTACAAACAATAAACATATTACCAAACATTCTGAGAGTTATTAAATGAAGCTGTGTAATGTAATGGACATAATCCGGGCTTCATAAGAACGACGCCGGCATGAGTAAACCCTTCACATCTGAAGGCCCACAAACATGGTCGAACGCACAAAACACTAGACCATGGCCAGTTTTTGGGTAGACTCCTATTACATTTACTGTGATAGTTATACTTGTATATAATAATATATATATATATATATATATATATATATATATATATATATATATATATATATATATATATATATATATATATATATATATATATATATATATATATTTTAAGGGTAAACGCCTAACATGTATTATTAACTAATAAAAAAAAAAAAGTCAGAAGCAACACGCCTGTCTCCACGTGTCTTATGTGTTGGTCAAAAAACAAAGCAAACAAAAAATCCCATGTCAGGGACTAGGGGCCAGTGTCTTAGTTTTTTTTTTTTTTTTTTTTTTTTTTTTGAGATATATACAAGAGTTGTTACATTCTTGTACAGCCACTAGTACGCGTAGCGTTTCGGGCAGGTCCCTGGAATACGATCCCCTGCCGCGAAGAATCGTTTAAATCGTTAGTGCCCCAATATGTCAGGGACTGGGGCCCATGCCCGTGTCTTATAAGCGAGATTTATTATAATTTTTTGCTGTACTCCTGAAGCACATGATACAAAGAAATTAATGTGGTGAGAGATACTAACTAAAATCTTGAAAACGTCATGTCCGCTCACACACTCCACTTTCTCCGGAATGTCCCATAAGTTGACACTGCATCCTGAGGAGCACTGCTGCTTCTCCAGAAGTCACTGGCTAGCGGGGTCGTGTCATCCACGCCAAGGGTCGCCTTCAGTGGTTCTGTCTTCGTACCAGACCCACCAGCGTTGCTGTAAGTGCGAGAAAAGTCTCATGCATACGACAGTACCCCTGCTGCAATACTAAGAATAATCGTCGTTTAAAGTACAATGCGGCAGTAGATATTGTGATTGTCAAAACGTACAATATTCTTCTTCGCAAATTTGTGATACGTATTTAATTTAGAACAAAAATTAACTATAAAGGTTAAGACTAACGCCTGCCTAATACTACACATAATCTACCCATGGAGGACAGAAGAAAATGTATATATATGCTAATTAGCATAGTAAATGTGTGGCCACGTCTCTGTAGTAGAAAATAATAATAATAATAATAATAAATACACATAATGAAGTATGGTAAATGTACCAGTCATGTTGAGAGTAGCCGCAATACTCAGACACAACAGAAAGGAAACAAGACAAAGAATTCCTCAGGGTCTGTCTCCTGTGTAGAGGGATGCATGGTTTGTGGGGTATGCAAGAACAGCAAGAAATGCTTAATAGTCATAGAATTTTGACTATCAAATCACAATAGAATTTTGCGGAGAACATTTTGTATATTAGGAACATTGCACTAATTAAGCCTATTGGGGCATCCGGAGCAGGTTCTGTGTAATCCTACACTTATTTTTTGTACACTTGTGTATTTGTTCAGCACTAAATTAAACTTAATATTTAGATTTTCTAAGGAATGTTCTGTAAGACTTTTCACCAATTTGTTCCACATGCAATTTTCAGTTGCAAACCAATGTTTACATTTTAGTAAATCTAAAATAATCATCCTATATTTTTTAATTAAAAATTTCCCATTATTAATATTTTGTTGCAAGTTCTGCAAGGAAAGTTTTGTTATCCTGTTTGTATCATATTGTTAACGCCTTTCCTCCATGTGGAAAAGCGTGACTCCGTCAAGACTGTCCATAGCGTGACGGAGTACGCTAGGAACGAAATAGAAGCATAGTAATCTTATACTATAAGATCATATTTAACCAAATATTATGTAAACATGGACATGCCTTTGTTAATTGTTGCGGACGGAGGTGACTAGTTTATTGTGCACCCCATACTCATCCTGTGAGCGGTAGCGCATAAAAAGCATTACAGAGGGTACAAAAGGTCCTTATCAGACCTTAATGGAGATTATTTCATTAACAATTACCTTCTACCCTGCACATCTTATAATTATAATGTCAGCTAATAACAGATTGTTCCATTTCAATAGCTATGTATTTACAGTTAATTATTATACATTAATGGTAGGTATTTTCGCTAATACATAATTGTTTTAGCTATGGAACTATAGATATTATACATTCATAGAAAAGTTGCCGTTAATTATTATTAGTCTTCACAATACACTACTTGCTTCTTAATCTAATACGTCATTTATCTACTGGAAGCGAAATATGGATACAGTGCAAGAATTCAAAGTATTTTATCCTTAGTAATATGGTTTGTCATTTCATTCAACGTGAGTTTAGATTTATCTCATACGAGCTAAATTTGATTAGTCTAAGATATATTGTTCTATTGTGTCCTTGTCTCTGTCCACACACCTTACACTTTACTTCATCCAGACCCTAACACAAGCCGAACTGCCAGAGATACTTGTAGCCAAGTCTTATTCGAACTGTGACAACGTCTGTTGGTCTGCTGATTTTGTTACTCGCCCCCCATATACATGTTTTGTTTGACGTACATTGTGAAGGGCAGGAGGAGGGGTATGTGGGGCAGGAGGAGGGGTATGTGGAGCAGGAGGAGGGGCATGTGGGGCAGGAGGAGGGGTATGTGGGGCAGGAGGAGGGGTATGTGGGGCAGGAGGGGTATGTGGGGCAGGAGGAGGGGTATGTGGGGCAGGAGGAGGGGGGTATGTGGGGCAGGAGGGGTATGTGGGGCAGGAGGAGGGGTATGTGCATACCCGAGGCCGGATATCCTGGCCGCTCTGTGGCTTACATAGCACACAGGTTACACTTGCCAACAGTGTTACTTGATAAGCCATAAAGTTTTTAATACTTTTATTCACAATATTTTAAATTGTATATTTCACTATTTGGAAAGTATACAATATTTTTATATTTTAAATGCGATATTATAGGAAGATATACAATTTATTTATTTATTTATATACAAGAAGGTACATTGGGATTAACAGAGAACATAGAAATTGAGTTGATCTTACATTCTTGTAAAGCCACTAGCACGCATAGCGTTTCGGGCAAATCCTTAAACTAACAGATAATTTTAGACAATTCACAGCAAAATTGACAAAAATATGTTTACAGGTACTTTACAGCTTTACTATACAGGTACAGATAATTTTAAGAAGAATAATTACAGCAAATCGTCAAAAATGTTTACGGGAACATTGCAAGAACTTTTGACACAAAAGCAGATTAGAATAATATATCAAATCAAATCAAATCAAATCAAATTATATAATTTGTTTTCCAATAGGAAATTAACTTAAGTACCCATGACCGCTATTGGCTCCAAACACAATCATTGGTATAATTCCTATTGTATAACAACATATTTGTTATAAATCACAATTATTGCTATAATAATGACAATAATTTATTTTAATAATTTGTACCCTGGTTAAGACATCACCTGCAGAAACATCCGGGGACCTGAACTTTCTTAATCTGTTTATCTTTCCCTAGGTGATGGTCAAGTGGGTCCACTGTGCAGCCTTCCTCCAGCTTCTGTTGATGATGGCGAGGATGGTAGTTTTCCCCGTGGAATCCCAGGCCGAGGCGGTCACTGCTGGAGACAATCAAGACTCCAGAGAGCCACCTATGGTTGAAGACGAACCGCCACCCACACAGGTAGAACCCCCAGGAGATAGAGGAGGTCCTACACTCAAAGGGCCAGAACCATCCGGTGCTGGAGACGGACATCTACCCAGAGATGGTTCTGTACCCAGAGAGATACAGCCACCCTGTCTTGGAGAGGGTTCGACGCCAGGTAAGACAGAACCAATCAGTGTCGTGAATGTCTCGTCACATGCAAAGGAAGAGTCACCCATTGTTAAACATGGTTTGTCACCTGGAGGTGCAGAACGGCTCATGGGTGAGTTAGTACCACATCCTGTGGCAGTCAATCCGTCCCAGCATCAGAGAGAGTCACATACTGATGTTGATGAACAACCGGAGAATGCTCCTCCCGTGGTAGTCCTTCCTTTGTCTGAGTACAAAATACTAACCACATCGATCCTTCCGAATAGAGGAAGCAGTGACATTGAGCATAAATCAGGTAAAACCGCTTCAGTTAATGATACAAAACTACATACCACCGTCTTACCGATCATTGGATCACAAGTATACGGCTCTATCATCCTGGCCTCCTCTGACGACAACATGTTAGTAAGCTGGTCAGGGAAGCCACACGCGGCCATGTTCAGACGAAGCATTAAGTCAAAGATCTCCACGCCTAAAGAATACCCTGGTGCACAGACTTTGGGAATCTGTAAAAATGTACATAATTCTCTGTATGGAAAACCACAATCAACAATGGGATACCTTTATCGGATAAATACATTAAAGGACATACATTTGTTCGTAAATAAAACATTCGTAGATATATGCCTTCCTATTTTTCGAATACATGAGATCTGCGAAGAGTATAGATATCTGACCATATGCTCCAAGAGGAGTATAGGGTTCGTGCATTCTCATGGCTGTCAGCGTTTATCTGAAGAAGACATGTATTTCGATTTTTTTTTGGGCCTTCATGTTCTTAAAAACGATTCGGAATGTATGAAGAAAGTGTGTAATGGGTCATTTAGGTTGAGAGAATCAAGTGTAGGAGGAGTCACATACCAGATTTTTAATCTTCTCGATTTCCATGGAGGACAGAAGGCATGTAATGCCAATTTCTCACTCCACGGTTCTTACACGTCTGGCAGATACAACAAGACCTACGTGACTATAAATAACCACTGGCCGAGTTGTTGTGTTGTGTGTGTGGTCGTCTGGAGCGATCACCCGGAGGACCACGGCATCAATGGAGGTTGGAGATATCTAGACGGGAGCTGCCAAGCAACCGAGGTGGTGTTGATTATGGTGGTGGCGTGCGTGGCTGTGCTTGGGGTGGTGGGTAATGTGGTGGTGGTGGTGGTGATGGTGAGCAGTGAACACATAGGTCAGGAGTCCAGCATGCTCCGCACTACCCTGGCTGTGACTGACCTCCTTCTTGGTATCTTCGTGGTTATGCCCTCATTCTTCGCCCACATTTCGCCATTTATTACAGAAACTTCTTACAGCGATTTAAAATATCTAAATTATTTTATACGTTCAACGCATGTTAAAAAGCGGGATTTATCTGATTTTACAATCACTAATCTTTTGACATATTCAGAGGGTTACCCTTTGTTCCAGTCTCTCTTAAAAAAAACGTGTTTGACAGTATCCTTGTTAATTATATTTCTGCTGAGTGTGGAGAGATTTCTGGCGATAAGTCGGCCACTTCGCTACAGGGATTACATTACACCCGGACGAATCAAGGCAGCTATTGTGTTCTGCTGGGTAATGAGTCTCTTGGACGCGCTCATTCTCTCCTATGACAAAGACGGTCGCATCATCTCGCAATGGTCGACGTTTAACAAACTCCCGATCATAGGTTTAACGGATTACCCTGATACTTTATTGTATGCATTTTTATCCAATTTACACATAGTCCTCCTTATTGGAACTGTAATTGCCACTGTTGCCTTATCCTTGCTAGCCATCAGGAGTTTTCTTATCAAGAAAGCTCGCGAGGAAGCTGAGTGGAGACACTATGGACTTACATCAACTGAACTGTATGATAATGACAATCGTCGTATTGTAATCACGATGATCCTGATGATAATATTCTATATTATATCTCTTAGCCCAATTGGAATCCAGTTTATTCTTTACAGTTGGAACAACAGACCTTATCAAACATTTCTCTTTGAATACCTGGCCTCATGGATGTTCCTAGCCAGCACGGCTTGGAACCCGTGGGTGTTCAACATCCGGAGCACCCAGTTCGTCAGTGACATGGCTGAGTTCCTCCGCAGAGTGCTGCCGGCCAGGGTAGGCGAGAGGCTTAGGCCATACATAACTCACTCTGGACACAAGTGGGATAACTCTGAACTAACACCGCGTAGGATGAAGATGCTGCGGGAGTTGGGCATCTCAGAAACCTGATCAGCCTCGACTCCCACATGTCTTGGCCATCTTACTCACTGCTGGGATTCCCACATGTCTTGGCCATTTTACTCAGTTCTCTTTATTATCATCATTATTATGTTTATTTTCACTCATTATTATTATCATCATCATTCTTAAAGATTTTTGACATGTCATTAGAGTTACTTTGAAGTTTCGTCAAGCAAGAAGTGCACTATCAAATGCCTGTCATATGTATCTTCTTAACAGTCATTATTGTTAACAATAATGACACTTGGGTCATTATTATTAGTATTATTATTGTTGTATTATGTCACAATAACAAGTAAAACGCATGATAAATAGGAATTGTTATAAGCTAAATACATAATAAACATTGAGCAAGATATTAACTTAGTTTAGTTTTATATTTTCCTACCCATATTATCCTTATCAGACACAGGTAAACTTTGTGCCTGCAGCGGTGAAACGTGAGTACCTATAGTACCAACACAAAGCTGCTATTAGGACAATATCCCACTCTGGCCCCAGACATCACTCGGTACCCCTACTCAAATCTCTGAATATGTTAGATATTAAGTCACTGCACATTCTCTCATGTGTATTATACATATATAAAACGCTGAACTGTAATGCCAATCCTGACCTCAAAAGCTTCATTGAAGGTTGTAACAGAACCCATGAGCACCACACCAGAAATAAATACAGTTTTGATATTCCAAGAGTACGACTTAATCAAACTAGAAATGCTCTACAAATCAAGGGACCCAGAATGTGGAATGACCTTCCCAACCATGTTAAAGACTACATCTCTCAACCAGTTTAAGATAAAAACGAAGCACTACCTAATAAATTTCCTGTAACCTACCTTACCCCTCTATTGTCAATCCATGTCTGTTTTTTTTTAAACAACGGTGTTTGTCGACCTAATTGTATTTGTGCTGCTTTTTCAGCCATGTTCCCCCCTTTTTTATCTCTATTTTTATTTGTTCTCAACACATTTTATTCTTTATACTCAATTAGTATTAAGATTTAGTCATTAATGTTTTTCATGGCCGAAACGCTTTGCGTAATAGTGGCTTTAGGCACTGTATGTACTAGCTCTATCTATAATTCCATCAATCTTTGCAAAATCTCTTGTATGTATGTACCTTACCTAAATAAACATTTATTTATTTATTATTTTATTTATAGTGAGGGGAAGGAGTTACTAGTAGTGGTGGAGGGAAGGTGAGTTACTAGTAGTGGTGGAGGGAAGGTGAGTTACTAGTAGTGGTGGAGGGAAGGTGAGTTACTAGTAGTGGTGGAGGGAAGGTGAGTTACTAGTAGTGGTGGAGGGAAGGTGAGTTACTAGTAGTGGTGGAGGGAAGGTGAGTTACTAGTAGTGTGGTGGAGGGAAATAAATTTACAGTAAAGAATATACTGTACAAAGACCAATTATTTTCAATCTCCATCGGCAGCTGTATTCACCAAGACAACACATTAAAATAATAACAACAAACGCCACCATGACAACAAACTCCCTTCATTTTGTTTTTCTATTTATTTATTTATACTATATACAAGAGTTCTTACATTCTTGTACAGCCACTAGCACACATAGTGTTTCGGCCAAGTCCTCAATCCTAATGTTCCCTGGAATACGACCCGCCAAATTGTTTAACAACCAGGTACCCATTCACTGCTGGGTGAACAGAGGCTACAGTTATGGATTGGCGCCCAGTCAATCCTCCCCGGCCAGGATACGAACCCAGGACAAAGCACTCGCAAAACGCCAGGCGAATGTCTTACCACTTCGCCACGGACTGCATTGCTTCATAGCAATGTCTTCTGAAATATTAATTAAGCACCTGATTGACAATTGTTTATCTCATCAATAAAATCTAAAAATTGGCACTGAAAACAGCCTCACCTGGCGAGACACCAGTCACACACACCTGACAACACTAGGCCTACCACACACCACTAGGCCTACCACACCTAACGCAACACTAGGCCTATCACACTATTAGGCCTACCATAAACCGCTGTATCACTGGTTTTAAATAATGTCACAGTTTACCTATGAACTCCTCACTAGGCCTACCACAGGAACAAATGACCATCTGCCCAAAAGCTCACACAACTTGCTGCTTACCTGCTGAATTCATCTGGGTCATGGTTGTGTGTCCTGCTGTGGCTCTTTATGGTAGTTGTGGTAGAGGAGGCGGCGGCAGCAGCGCCTGCAGGAGCCTGGTGGTGGAGGAGCAGCAGTGGCCGGAGTCCCAGCGTGGCCGCCCGCTGACTAGTCACTTCGTACAGTATACACAAGACATTATTTTTACCATTCGGACATAAAATTAGTACATTTCGTATATTTATATATCATTGCTCAATTTTAAACTCATAATATAATAATTTGAAAAATCTTCTACTTAACAGGTATAGTTATTAAATGAAGTTGAGTAATGTAATGGACATAATCCGGGCTTCATAACAACGACGCCGGCATGAGTAAACCCTTCACATCTGAAGGCCCACAGTGCATAAGAGCGAAAAGTGACGTTATTTTTAAGAGGACAGGTTTCTTAACATGGTCGAACGCACAAAACACTGGACTCTGACGAGCAGACGTCTGGACACCACCTCCGCCTGGAAGCTGCCTGATCACGTTCTGTTTTCGCGTTTTGGCTTTGCTGCTGCCATTTGGCATCCCTATATAGCGGTCGGGTTGTACGACGCCTGGCTCACATATCACCTTGGGTCCCGGGTTTGTTGATAGATTTTTTTTACGTGTTGTGGCTGGTTCTCCCGGAGGGGTGACGGTGTCCGTCTTGGCCGAGAGGTGCCGGGGGTTGGTGGATCTTGGTGGGCTCCTGGTGTGCCTTCAGTCGTGGTGGGCGGCTGGCTTCTGCTCTGCCGGAGGACATTGGATGACTTTTGCGTTTTAGTTGGGGGCCGAGTTTTGGTTTTGCTACCCGGTGTTCTCTGTGTGGGGCGGGGCCGGTGCTTGTCACCCTGAGGGACTCCTGGGGCTCCCCAATCATCTGCCTGATCATCTTTGCCGCATGACATATTCAGAGTTTTCAGTGATTGGCGTCACTGGTTTCGCGATTAACCCTTACCGGGTACGCCGGGGCGCATCCGATCACACGATCGTCGTCGCCCCTAAATCATCAACACTAGACCGTGGCCAGTTTTTGGAGACTCCTGTAGTGCATTTACTGCGATAGTTATACTTGTATATAATAATAATAAGTATTAAGAATAAACGCCTAACATGTAATATTAATTAATAAAAAGTCAGAAGCTACACGCCTGTCTCCACATATGACTTATGTGTTATTAAAAATAAATCTCCCATATGCCAGAGACTGGGGGCCATGCCCGTGTCTTATAAGCGAGATTTATATAATATTTTTGCTGTACTCCTGAAGCTCAGGATACAAAGAAATTAATGTGATAAGCGATATCACCTAAAATCTTGAGAGCGTCATGTCCGCTCACACACGCCGCTTTCTCCGGAATGTCCCATAAGTTAGCAGTACTGCATCCTGACGAGTACTGCTGCGTCTCCAGTGGATAGTGGCTAGCAGGGTCGTGTCTTCCACGCCAAGGGTCGCCTTCAGTGCTTCTGTCTTCGTACCACAACCAGCGTTGCAGTAAGTGCGAGAAGAGGGGGTAGAAATAGCCTAAGCTACTCTATCCCTTTGAGATGTATTTCTTTCTTGTCTCAATAAACATACTTGAACTTTAAGTGCAAGAAAAGTCTCATGCATACGACAGTACCCCAGTAGTAATACTAAGAACAATCGTGGATTAAAGTACAATGCGGCAATATATATTGTGATTGTCAAAACGTACAATATTTCTTCTTCGCAAGTTTGTGATATGTATTTCATTTAGAAAAAAATAACTATATAGGTTAAGACTAACGCCTGCCTAATAATACACATAATGAAGTATGGTAAATGTTCCTATCATGGTGGGAGTAGCCGCAATACTCAGACACAACAAAAAGGAAACAAGGCAAAGAATTCCTCAGGGTCTGTCTCCTGTGTAGAGGGATGCATAGTTTGTGGGGTATGCAAGAACAGCAAGAAATGCTTAATAGTCATAGAATATTGACTATCAAATCACAATAGAATTTTGCGGAGAACATTTTGTATATTAGGAACATTGCACTAATTAAGCCTATTGGGGGAATTTTTGTCTATCAAATCACAATAGAATTTTGCGGAGAACATTTTGTATATAGGAACACTGCATTAAGCCTATTGGCGCATCCGGAGCAGGGTCTGTGTAGGCTTCCACTTAATTTTTGTACGTGTTTGTTCAGCTTAGATTTAGATTTTCTAAGGAATGTTCTTCTGTAAGGCTTTTCGGCAATTTGTTCCACACACAAAGTTCAGTTGCAAACCAGTGTTTACATTTTAGTAAATCTAAAATAATCTTCCTATATTTTTTAAATAAAAATTTCGTGTGACTCCATCACTACTTTGTCCATAGCGTGACAATCAGGCTATAGACGAAATAGAAGCATAGTAATCTTATACAATAAGATCATATTTAACCAAATATTATGTAAACATGTACATGCCTTTATTAATTGTTGCGGACGGAGGTAACTAGTTTATTGTGCACCCTATACTCATCCTGTGAGCGGTAGCGCAAAAAAGGATTACAGAGGGCAAAAAAAAAGTCTTATCAGACCTCAACGGAGATTATTTCATTAACAATTACAGTCTATCCTGCACATCTTACAATTATTATATCAGGTAGTAATAGAGATTGTTATATTTCAATAGCTATGTATTTACAGTTAATCATTATACATTAATGGTAGGTCTTTTCGCTAATACATAATTGTTTTAGCTATAGAAATATAGATATTACCGGTCATAGAAAAGCTGCCGTTAATTATTATTAGTCTTCACAATACACTACTTGCTTCTTAATTTAATACGTCATTTATCTACTGGAAGCGAAATATGGATACAGTGCAAGAATTTCAGGTATTTTATCCTTAGTAATAAGATGGTTTGCCATTTCATGCAGCGTGAGTTTAGATTTATCTCTAAATGGCTAAATTTTATTAGTCTAAAAAATAACGTTCTATTGTGTCCTTGTCTCTGTCCACACACCTTACACTTTACTTCATCTAGATCCCTACACAAGCCGAACTGCCAGAGATACTTGTAGCCTAGTCTTATTCGAGCTGTGACAACGTCTGTTGGTCTGCTGATTTTATTGTTTGCGCCATACACTTTTTTTTTATTAATATATTAGGTACATCTGCATTTGTACAGCTACCCTAGACTATATGAAGAGGAGTACAGTGTGTCAAAAAGCTAGCTACGTGATGCTAAAAAAAAATCCCCATCACACAGGATGGGTAGTCATACAGAGACATGTGATAAGTAATCTGCACTGGCGCTATGTTGATGACATTTTAGCTTTATGGCCTCATGACCTTAGTCTTTTCCAGCCATTCCTCGCCTCTCTTAACAATCTGGCTCCTTCTATCCATTTCAAAGTTGAGTGGGAATCTAATTCCCTCCTTCCTTTTCTAGACGTTCATGTTCACAGCTCTGTGTCCGGGTTCTCTTTCTCTGTCTACCGTAAACCCATGCATAGTGGCATGTACATTCACTTCTTTTCCTACCATCCTCCTTCTGTTAAGAAAAGTGTCCTCGTCTCTCTCTTCCTCTGCGCTCTACGCATCAGCGATCCTCAGTTTCTTGATTCTGAAATTGCCTTTATCTACAAATCATTCTCTCGCCTTGGTTACCCTTTGCATTTCATCAACTGTGCCTACTCTCAAGCTAAACGAAATTTCTTTCATCCTAAACCTGCTTCCAACACTAGTAGCACTGTACTATGCCTTCCCTTCATATCTGAACTCAAAACTTTTACCAATACCTTTCGTCCTCTTGACATTAAACTCGCCTTTCGACGAGTTTAAACTTCCCCTTTTACGCTGGGGAAGGAGGAAGGGCATGTGGGACAGGAGGAGGGGTATGTGGGACAGGAGGAGGGGTATGTGGGGAAGGAGGAGGGGTATGTGGGGAAGGAGGAGGGGTATGTGGAACAGGAGGGGTATGTGCATACCCGAGGCCGGATATCCTGGCCGCTCTGTGGCTTACATAGCACACGGGTTACACTTGCCAAATGTGTTACTTGATAAGCCAACTACGAATGTTTTAATACTTTTATTCACAGTATTTTAAATTGTATATTTCATTATTTGGAAAGTATACAATATTTTATATATTTTAAATGCGATATTATAGGAAGATATAATTATATAATTTGTTTTTCAATAACAAATTAACTTAAGTACCCATGACCGCAATTGGCTCCAAACACAATCATTGGTATAATTCCTGTTGTATAACAACATATTTGTTATAAATCACAATTATTGCTGTAATAATGACAATAATTTATTTTAATAATTTTTACCCTGGTTAAGACATCACCTGCAGAAACATCCGGGGACCTGAACTTTCTTAATCTGTTTATCTTTCCCTAGGTGATGGTCAAGTGGGTCCACTGTGCAGCCTTCCTCCAGCTTCTGTTGATGATGGCGAGGATGGTAGTTTTCCCCGTGGAATCCCAGGCAGAGTCGGTCGCTGCTGGAGACAATCAAGACTCCAGAGAGCCACCAATGGTTGAAGACGAACCGCCACCCACACAGGTAGAACCCCCAGGTGATAGAGGAGGTCCTACACTCAAAGGGCCAGAACCATCCGGTGCTGGAGACGGACATCTACCCAGAGATGGTTCTGTACCCAGAGAGATACAGCCACCCTGTCTTGGAGAGGGTTCGACGCCAGGTAAGACAGAACCAATCAGTGTCATGAATGTCTCGTCACATGCAAAGGAAGAGCCACCCATTGTTAAACATGATTCGTCATCTGGAGGTGCAGAACGGCTCATGGGTGAGTTAGTACCACGTCCTGTGGCAGCCAATCCGTCCCAGCATCAGAGAGAGTCACATACTGATGTTGATGAACAACCGGAGAATGCTCCTCCCGTGGTAGTCCTTCCTTTGTCTGAGTACGAAATACTAACCACATCGATCCTTCCGAACAGAGGAAGCAGTGACATTGAGCAAAAATCAGGTAAAACTGCTTCAGTTAATGATACACAACTAGATACCATCGTCTTACCGATCACTGGCACTGGATCAGAAGTATACGGCTTTATCATCCTGACCTCCTCTGACAACGACTCGTTAGCAAACTGGTTAGAGAAGCCACACGCCGCCAAGCCACACGCCGCCATGTTCAGGCAAAGCAATAAGTCAGAGATCTCCACGCCTGAGGAATTTCCTGGTTCACAGACTTTGGGAATCTGTAGAAATATATATGATTCTCTGTATGGAAAACCACAATCATCAATGGGATACATTTATCTGATAAATTCAACAAAGTTCATATATTTCTTCGTAAATAAAACATTTGTAGATATATGCCTTCCTATTTTTCGAATATTTCATGGCTGCGAAGAGTATACATATCTGACCATATGCTCCAAAAGGACTATAGCGTTCATACATTCTCATGGATGTCAGCGTTTATCTGAAGAAGACATGTATTTCGATTTTTTTTTGGGCCTTCATGTCATTAGAGACAATGTGGAATGTATGAAGAAATTGTGTGAAGGATCATTTAGGGTTAGAGAATCAAGTGTAGGAGGAGTCACATACCAGATTTTTAGTATTTTCGATCCCTATGGAGGAAATAAGGCATGCATTACCAATATCATACTCCACGGTTCTTACACGTCTGGCAGATACAACAAGACCTACATGACTATAAATTACCACTGGCCGAGTTGTTGTGTTGGGTGTGTGGTCGTCTGGAGCGATCACCCGGAGGACCACGGCATCAATGGAGGTTGGAGATATCTAGACGGGAGCTGTCAAGCAACCGAGGTGGTGTTGATTATGGTGGTGGCGTGCGTGGCTGTGCTTGGGGTGGTGGGTAATGTGGTGGTGGTGGTGGTGATGGTGAGCAGTGAACACATAGGTCAGGAGTCCAGCATGCTCCGCACTACCCTGGCTGTGACTGACCTCCTTCTTGGTATCTTCGTGGTTATGCCCTCATTCTTCGCCCACATTTCGCCATTTATTACAGAAACTAATTATAGCGATATAAAATATCTAGATTATATTATACGTCCAACGCATGTTAAAAAGCGGGATATAGCTGATAATTCAATCAAAAGTGTTTTGACATATATTAAGGGTTACCCTTTGTTCCAGTCTCTCTTAAAAAAAACGTGTTTGACAGTATCCTTGTTAATTATATTTCTGCTGAGTGTGGAGAGATTTCTGGCGATAAGTCGGCCACTTCGCTACAGGGATTACATTACACCCGGACGAATCAAGGCAGCTATTGTGTTCTGCTGGGTAATGAGTCTCTTGGACGCGCTCATTCTCTCCTATGACAAAGACGGTCGCATCATCTCGCAATGGTCGACGTTTAACAAACTCCCGATCATAGGTTTAACGAATTACCCTGATAATTTATTGTATGCATTTCTATCCAATTTACACATAGTCCTCCTTCTTGGAACTGTAATTGCCACTGTTGCCTTATCCTTGCTAGCCATCAGGAGTTTTCTCATCAAGAAAGCTCGCGAGGAAGCTGAGTGGAGACACTATGGACTTACATCAACTGAACTGTATGATAATGACAATCGTCGTATTGTAATCACGATGATCCTGATGATAATATTCTATATTATATCTGTTAGCCCAATTGGAATCCAGTTTATTCTTTACAGTGGGAACAACAGACCTTATCAAACATTTCTCTTTGAATACCTGGCCTCATGGATGTTCCTAGCCAGCACGGCTTGGAACCCGTGGGTGTTCAACATCCGGAGCACCCAGTTCGTCAGTGACATGGCTGAGTTCCTCCGCAGAGTGCTGCCGGCCAGGGTAGGCGAGAGGCTTAGGCCATACATAACTCACTCTGGACACAAGTGGGATAACTCTGAACTAACGCCACGTAGGATGAAGATGCTGCGGGAGTTGGGCATCTCAGAAACCTGATCAGCCTCGACTCCCACATGTCTTGGCCATCTTACTCACTGCTGGGATTCCCACATGTCTTGGCCATCTTACTCACTGCTGGGATTCCCACATCTCTTAACCACTACAAATTGATATAGTTATGTATATTCATTTTTTCCATGCTTCGATTCGTATTTTGAATATGATTCTTAACAGAGTGGAATATTATAGGGAATTTTGTAATCAAATTTAAACCAGAGAAAATAGCACGAATCTCTTACAACAAATGCTCCTTTCAGTAAAGCTATGTTCCAGAGTTAGACGAATAAAGCGTTGAGCTCCAGCTCAACGCTTTGTGGATATGCTAAAACGAGGAGAATTAGAAGCAAAAATAATAGCTATTAACGTCGAACACATGGTTAATAAACGTTAATGCTAACAAATGCAATATAATGAGGAGCGGTTCAGGGTAGACAGGACTCCAGGGACAACACGGGCTGGAAATAAATTGACAAACATCAGGGAAGCCTTTCAAACCAAATAGACAAAATGGTCTTCAGAACACTATACAGAACGTACGCAAGACATACCCTTGAGTCTGCAGCTATGGCATGGAGTTCACAATCTAAAAAAAAAATATACAAATAAAACTAGAAAAGAACAGGCATGTTGGAGAGCTCAGGCAGGAGTAGTCTTGGAAGGCTTCCAAAGGTGTACCATAGCTCGTTCTCACGAGCTTTCCCAACGTCAAGAAAACGTCAATCGACTTGAGAATGGTCCAGGACGGACCGAAACGTCGTCGTCCCTTCAACTTCTAGTGTGTGGTCTGGTCAACGTCAAGAAACTGTCGTATTAAAGTGCCAGAAGCTAAGGGCCAGCTACTGATCCACGTTATTATTCGAGTACTTATATATGCGATCTTTTCCCGGAAATGCTGTGAAGCGCTGAAAAAAATCGGCTCAGTGTACTATATAAGCGATCTATGACATATGTATATATATTGGAGCTGTAAGATGGGACCCGCCTGTATGATCCGCATTCCTGAGCTCCTGAGGTACGCACATTACCATAGTTTGATCCCATTACAGGACTGTGATATGTTCTCATTGATATATATCACGTTCTCGTGATTATACTGTTTACATGTATATATATTTTATAGTTCCTTCAGATAGACTACCACTATTATTATCATCATCATCATTCTTAACAAATTTTGACATGTCATTAGAGTTACTTTGAAGTTTCGTCAAGCGAGAACTGTACTATCAAATGCCTCTTGTCATATGTATCATCTTAACAGTCATTATTGTTAACAATAATGACACTTGGGTCATTACTATTATTATTATTTGTTATTATTATTGTATTATATCACAATGAGAAATAAAACGCATGATAAATAGGAACTTGTATAAGCTAAATACAGAATAAATATTGAGAAAGATATTAACTTAGTTTTATATTTTCCTACCCACATTATCCTTATCAGACACAGGTAAACTTTGTGCCTGCAACGGTGAAGCGTGAGTGTCTAGAGTGAAGGGAAGGAGTTACTAGTAGTGTGGTGGAGGGAAGGTGTGTTACTAGTAGTGTGTGGTGGAGGAAAGGTGAGTTCACCATTTGGTCACCATTTGGTCCGGGAGACATCTCCCGTCACGCAGGGTGCAGTTGCGCCTCCACAGATCTCCAGTATCATCTTTTGATACTGGTAATGGCTCAAAAGGGCCACCACTTACGGGCTATTCATGCCCGTGCCACCTCTTGGGTGGCTTAATCTTCATCAATCATCATCATCGAAAGGTGAGTTACTAGTAGTGTGTGGTGGAGGGAAGGAAAGTTACTAGCAGTGTGTGGTGGAGGAAAGGTGAGTTACTAGTTGTGGTGGAGGGAAGGATAGTAACTAGTAGTGGTGGAGGGAAGGATAGTTACTACTAGTGTGTGGTGGAGGGAGAGGAATAGGTGGATGGTGTTGTGGGTGGGTGTGGGAGGGAGCGCGGGGAGTCATGGAACAGGAGAGAGTGAGGCTTCTTGTCGCCACACAGCGCCTGGCCACCCTGAAAACAACACCACCGTCCTCTGGAAGCCAAACAGCCAGCAACAACACTCTTGGCCTTCCCCTTGGTAAATTATTATAATTTTTTTACGTTATTACGCATATTTATCCCATTTAATGAGCTGAGAAGGATGCTAATCTTTTTACTTTTTCTGTCGCCTGTGGTGGGTTCCTGTCGTAGCCTCGCCCATGGAGAGCAATCACAGGCTAAACTTAGCATTTCTTCCAGTCCTGATAACAGTATACCAGTTTATTTGTTGTTGTTTGTCAAGAAACATATGAAACAGATGAGTTTGTGTGTCAGGACGAGAGAGGGACACAGTGTTATGGTCTCACAAGGGCGCTAATGTGGTTGTTGACGAATATCTGTACTTGTGCAGTACACCGCGGCCTTGTGTTCATGCACAGTGTTACCTGCTCAGTGCTCAAGCCTTCTGTGTCATACTGTATCACCTCCTCATTGGGAACGTTAGATCTGGCCAATCTAATCTTCCCAATTAAGTCCTTAATCCTTCACAATCAGATTTTCGAAAATCTGGCACCATAATTGGAAAACTGTCGAAGAAATGTGAGGAAATACTCAAACCCTGCATGAATTGTCAACAAATAGAATGTACTGAAAGAATGAGTTGTGGTAACCACCGCCTTACACAACTTTAAAACATTCGATTCGATTCAACAAAGAATTCGAACATAGAATAGTTAAATAATAACGCAACAGGACTAGTATGGGGGGGTACAAAAACCTTACTTACTTACGGGCTATTCATGCCCGTGCCACCCCTTGGGTGAATTAATCTTCAATCATCAAACAATCTTCACCGTAGGTCACTGTTGTGTAAGCACGAAAGGTAAGCAGTACCATCTGCTCAAGCCATGGACAAAATCCACCTTTATAAACACCATACATTTTACAATTAAGACCAAGATATATGAAAAAGTTTCGTCCTCCCTCCGTCCGTCAGTGTCAACATTGTCATGAAATATATTCCGTCCGTATGAACAGATTTACACCAAATGTGATCAATACAAGGATACCGGGAGATACACGTGATAAGGTCAAATGTGATCCCCTGGTAGCAGCTATGGGAACCTGAAGTTTGCCGCTAAGTACACGGTAGAAACACATGGTGAGGTAAGAGGTGCTCCGAGATACATGACCATCATATACCTCTTTGCAAAGTGTCCTCCAGTAAACTTTAATATAATTTTTTACGAAATACTGATGAGGTGTATGTGTGTGCTTGTATTTACTATTTGTGTCTGCAGAATCGAGCTATTAGCTCTTGGATCCCGTCTTTCTAATCAATCTATTTTTCCTCTATTATGTCTATTACATATATATCTCTTACCACACGCACGCGCACACACATCCCCAGGAAGCAGCCCGTAGAAGCTGTCTAACTGCCAGGTACCTATTTACAGTTAGGTGAACAGCGGCATTACGGGTTAAAGAAACTCTGCCCTTTTTGTTTCCGTCTCCGACGGGGATCGATCCCCGGACCCTAGGACTACGAATCCCGAGCGCTGTCCACTCAGCCGTGAGGCCCTCCAATGAGAGAGTGAGAGAGAGTGTGAGAGTGAGAGAGAGAGATAGAACAGAGACAGAGAGACAGAGCACAGGGGCGAGGGTGAAAATGATGATAGGCTTCATGCGTCTGCTTCACTTCAAGTAGTTCTCCCGACCACCTTTGTGTGATAATATTTAATAACAGAATTAATATTCTTAACACGAACGGGAGCTTTACTCAATGACACGACGCTTTTAACAAGAATGGTGGGTCATAACCCATTGGACCCGCGTTCGATTCCCTGACGAGAGAAGCTACTGTGCTACAACTTGCTACCCAAGGCTTGAGAACACTAATGCTTCTCAACTTGTATACTCTACACAAAATTTGGGGCCGTACTTTAGATAAAAACACACACCGATTTCATTGTCTATTGTAAGGAAACAATTTCTGTCTTTGCTTTTGATATTGGTTAAATGATAAAATTACACATAAAATTTACAAAAAATTGTCATTGTAGAAGAGCAGAAAAGTGTGTGTAGTGTGTAGCAGAAAAGACAAAAGTATCAGGATGACAGGAAGGATCTGTCCCTCGCCCTGCCTCCGCGCGCGTCTCTGCCACAAATGTGACAACACACGGTGTGTTGTCAACAATAACACTCGCCTGTTATTCATATCTCATGGAATAATGAGCAGACGTGCGGTTGCTTGGGCTCGGATCTCATGCAAGGACAGAGGTGGGTATGACTGGCATCTCGGAATTCGAGAAAAGTTCCATAAAATATTCCGTTGTGGCACGACTATCATTTCCCAAAACACGAACCTTCGCATTAATGTCTTGTTTGTGGACGGTGTTTAAGAACTGGTTTTAACGTCCACAGATAGTGATGACAGGGAGTCGTCGGCCTGATGTCACCGAGGAGGAGGGCTTACCCTCGGAGCTGGTCTACACCTTGGAGGACAACCCTCCCTGGTATCTCTGTGTCTTCCTCGGAGCACAGGTCAGTGTCAGTGAGGTGACTAGTTGTCACTGTCACCTTGACAATGGTGACATTAATGATCACAACTGCCACCCCCATTCAGTGCCTGTGGACGATAACATAATCCATCTTCATCACCATTATTTCCCCAACCATTGATGGTACCCTTTGAAATATTTCTTGTTGAATAACAATTCCTTTTTAAAAGTGGCATGACATACTTAGCCTGATCATGATGTGATGTGTCTGCAGCATTTCTTCACCATGGTCAGCACCACCATTCCTATCCCCTTCGTGCTGGCGTCTCTGGTGTGCCTGGAGCCCTCGGACCCCGTCCGCAGCCATCTCGTCTCCACCATCGTCTTCGTCTCCGGTCTCATTACCCTCCTCCAGTCTACTGTAGGCGTCAGGTGGGTGGTGATCAAGTCAGATGGGTGGTGGTCGAGTCAGGTCGGTTGTAGTCAGGTGGGTGATGACCGAGGCAGGTGGGTGGTGGTCGAGTCAGGTGGGTGCAGGAGTATATGATGCACAATAAACTACGCTCACAGGAGTATGGGGGTGCACAATAAAATGACCGTTAGGAAACGATAATTAATTATAGTAGCAGTTAAGATAGGCTTTGCATTTTTTTACCTATATTACCAGTAGCCGTTAGATAGGCTGCGGGTCTATAGTAGTGTGTTGGGATGCTAGCCGTGAGAGCCTATATGCAGGAGATTCTTTAAAGGTGCAGAAACTGTCACAACCCGACCATCACACACCCATGGCGAGAAGTGTTGTCTGGGTGTCGAGGGGCAGCAACGCCTGCACGCCTCACTAAGGTACCAAAATAGGTTAAGTATACGAGTGATCTGTTACCCTTCCCTTGCCACTTCTTCAACAAATACCGTGTTTTGTGGATTGAAGATCGCCGTAGGATCACAAAAAATATATTGTTTGTGGGTATTTTGAACACTATGCCTGTTAATCCAGAAAATATATAAGATGAAATATATTTGGTTTCAAACAATGAATAAATGCATCATTTTTTGTTTAGAGTGCATATACGTCCTTCCGGGAAAAATATTTTTGTTTCCTCTCCTAGGCTGCCAATTGTACAAGGCGGTAACTTCGCGTATCTCATCCCAACAATGGCGCTTTTGTCTGCAAACTTTGGGTCCTGCGAGGCCCAGTGGGCGGCCAACATTACAGCACAGGAGCAGCAGGAGGCATGGCAATCCAGGATGAGGGTCATCCAGGGTAATATTGCCGTCTCATCCCTTTTCCAGATCTTACTCGGCTTCACAGGTTCGTTCATCGAAGAGTTTCGCATTTTTTGCAGTTTACTAATCGAAGACGTCTTTTTTTTAGCGACTTTCTCTCGAGATGTTCACAATGCGTTTACCAGTTGTTTTTTGATGACTGGGTAAGCTTTTAAATTTTGCTTCAACAGCAGACATTAACACGCTGCCAAAGTGACACTAATTCTATTCTTCCAATAAACATCGATGTTCCTTAAGTAGCATATATACTTGGTCTTCTCATATTACTACTCTTCACATGACCCACAACGCTTCCCAACATGACAAAATCTTTTGCTGACATAACTTAATTTGTCTTTTAAAAATGTAACCTTGACGAAAAAGCTAAATACAAATTAAAAACGAAATACAAAAATGTACTCATGGCTATTAATCAGGTTTCATATTTAACAAAAAAAGACCTGCTAAAATGATTTAGAAATAAATCAGCTATCCAGGATACCTTAAAATTATATCATCAATATCGATAGCATAAAAACAGATCTCAACAAAATTCAGTTGTCAGAGCACCAATTAATAAACTTGAGCCTTAGACAGCATACAACACAATATTAAACTTCCAAAGAGTTTATACATAATACTACACACACTCTCTCTCTCTCCAGAACTATACTGTAGAACTAACCCAGACCCAAGACTATATAGAGGGTTGAAACAGAACCATTGGTCACCCCACAAGACCCAAGAATATAGAACTATAGTCACTATAGTCTTGGGTCACTATAGTCTTAGTCTATATCAAGACTATAATATCAGTCACCAGACAAGATCAGTCTGAGTATCTATTAAAACGAGTTACGTTTTCACACGTGGTACTAGACTTGCTCTTTGTCAGAGACTGCTAACCATCTTCGTCTGCTCATTAGGTCTAATTGGCGTACTGCTCAAGTGGATCACTCCCCTGACGATCGTTCCCACTGTCTCTCTGGTGGGCCTCTCACTCTTCGACATAGCGGCCTCCCGCTCCTCGCTACACTGGGGGGTGTCTCTCTCGTAAGTCCCTTTTGCTTTATTTCAAGTTTATGTGTTTTAGTTTTGAGATTGTGTCATTGTTACGTGCTTTTATATTTTTGTCAGGTCTGTCCTTATATATCTGGGGTTTTCATCTTTGCTCTTGGCATGAGTAAGGGGTTTTGGCATGCGTCTTCATTCTTAACATGTTTCTCTGAACTTTCGATGCGTTTTTGTTCTTGCATATTTACTTGACACACATCGATCACCTTCAGGACGACAGTGCTGATGATTCTCCTATCACAGTATATGAGGGACGTGAGCCTGAGCCTGCCCACCGGCTACCGCAGCGGCCATGGTCTTACCTACACCAAGGTCCAGATTTTCAAGATGTTCTCGGTTCGTGCAAGTGATTTCAGTTATGTACTGTGCTTGAAGCTAGGCTATAAAATTATATCTCACGCTTGAAACTAGGCTATACGATTATATACCATGCGTGAAACTAGGCTATGCAATTATATATCATGCTTGAAACTAGGCTATGCAATTATATATCATGCTTGAAACTAGGCTATACAATTATATATCATGCTTGAAACTAGGCTATACGATTATATATCACGCTTAAAACTAGACTATATAATTATAAATTATGCTTGAAACTAGGCTACACAGTTATATGTATCATGCTAGAAAGTAGGGGCGTATTATGTTTATATTCGTCAAACATGAATATCTCGTCTCAAGCAGGAACGAAACCAGCAAGTGACCATGATGAAAAGCAGTGGGCTAAGCTCGGGTCAGATCAAGCCTAGGAGAAGGGGTATAAATCACTTGCTTAGCCTCCTTGTCACCAAATACTTTCCTCCAAATTTGCGACTTTCATATCTAGTTTATCGGGCGCTACAAACGGAGGTTGGAGTTGCATCACAATGTCACTCAACACACAGGTCCTGCTGACATTGTTGGTGGCATGGCTGGTGTGTTGGGTGCTGACCATCACTGACGTGTTCCCTGAAGGATCTCCGGCACGCACCGACCTTACCTCCACCCTTCTTCAAGACACACCTTGGTTTAGAATACCTTACCCAGGTGAGTCAAGTGATAGTCCTCCACGATACCTTGCTTCAGGCTACTTTACCCATGTAAGGACATGCCATAACTACAAACAATTGGGTGCAAATAATATACATGCCTGATGAAATGCACAGAAAGTAGAAAGAGGGGGGAGAAACTCTACTCTTCTAACCATCGGTTGTCTAACGTACTGACTTCCGACCTGGTTGTAAATATGAGCTTTACCTTAACTCTGTTCTTCCTGGTGTACATGCCCAATAATGTACTTTTGCTCGGCTCTGTATCCTGGGACGCGGCTGGAGCAGGTCAGTGGGGGTGGCCGACGGCGACGGTGTCCGGGGTGCTGGGGATGATGTCAGCCGGGCTCGCCTCCATCATTGAGAGTATCGGAGACTACTACACCACCGCCAGGATCTGCGGTGAGTCTTAATTTCGCTCTATATGAAATACAAATAAAAGTATAAAGAAAATGCCATCAAATATTAATCTAAATGCCTCAGTGCTGAGGATAGAGCCGATGTGCAGTAACCAACACAGTTTTTTCTACCAGTTTAATTCATTGTTGATAGGCTACACACACGAGAAGCTTGTTTAAGGTAGGCAGGTTTCACTTGAAGCAAATCCTAATAATAATGCTGTTAAATTTAGAAATTCTTCATTCTCTAACGATCGTTTATGTAACTTTGTGCTAATTCCTTTCATGTCTTCACTGTCCAATCGCCATTTGAAACGCTACTTTGGACACAACTTTCATACTCAACTATTTTTTGCAAGTCCTACATTAGCAAAAATTCACTACAATTACCGTATTCAGGTGCGCGCGCTCCCCCTGTGCACGCCATCAACAGGGGCGTGGGGATAGAGGGCGTGGGCGTGGCTGTGGCAGGAGTCTTCGGTACCGGCAGTGGAACCAACTCCTACTCTGAAAACCTTGCTGTCATCACCGTCACCAGGGTTAGTGACCGTTATGATACTGTGCTCTATAACACTCTACCGTAGTCCTCTCCCGAGCACGGTCACATGGCTGGCCACGTTTTCTTATACCTGATGTCTCTGTCCACCTTGAAAAGATAACCGAGAACTAGGCTACTGTTGTGGGCTGTATTCAGTCGTTGGTTTGAGGAATCACGATATACCTAACAGGCTTTCTGTTCTCAACAAAGATAATTAAATCTTAAGCAATGTGTGTGGACTATAAACTATGTTTAGCAAAACATTTATCACGGGCTGATTCTCGGCAGGTGGGGAGTCGCCGAGTGGTCCAGATGAGCGCCGTCATCATGTTAGTGGCCGGGTCGGTGTGTAAGTTTGGGGCTCTCTTCGCCTCCATTCCCGAGCCAGTCGTCGCCAGCATCTTCTGGGTAATGTTCTCTCTCATTACCGCCGTCGGCCTCTCCACTCTACAGTTCGTCAATATGAACAGCAGCAGGAACCTCTTCGTAGTGGGATTCTCTCTGTTATGCAGTCTCTCCATCTCCAAGGTGACACGTTATTATAAGAAGAAACATATTGATATAGTCTCATAACAATAAGACTAAATAAATATTGATTTACAAATTTATTATGTTTCGTTGTATTAAATTTTTTGGTTTAAGATTCTAAGTATATACTTGTGAAATTGCTGTCAACTCTTCGAGACCTGGGCGTTGTTGGTGATTGATACTGATATAAATTAATGTGTGATGCGAGTTTTGGTGCATATGATGGTGTTACCGTATGTTGTGCTCGCATAAATGATGGGGAATCGTACATAAATGATTTTCAGAAACTACATATGATTCACTGCCACATCAGACCAATAAAAAATGTGTCTGCTCGAGAACTTCAGTTTTATAGGCTTCTGGTTCTTTGATATTTTGCCCTTTATTTTCTTTTAACTTTGATAATATAACCCTCTCCAGTACGTGAAGGCCAACCCCGAGAGCATCACGACGGGGCTGCCTGTGCTGGACCAGTCGCTGCAGGTGATGCTGCAAACCACCATCTTCCTAGGCTGCTTCTTAGGTTGCTTCCTCGACAACACTATTCCCGGTAGGTGGCGTTATCAGAGGGAGCGTCCCAGAGAGGAGCCGGATGGAGGGTAGTCTCATGACCAAGCCACACACATCAGAAAATGGAGAAACGATTAAGTTTTGGTCCGTCCTGGACCATTATCAGGTTGTGGACGGACCGAAACGTTGTCGTTACTTCATTTTCTGACGTGTGGTTTGGTCATCATATCTTCAGCCACGTTATTGCAACCCGTTCTCGCAAATTCGTATAGTCAATATTGACTTATTAACTACGTGCATAAGTGATATACTAAACATAATAGATACCCTTAAAAAGCTTCATAGAAAACACCGACCTTACCTAACCTTGTTAGTATCTTAAGATAAGCATCTTATTGCTTCGTAATTACAATTATTACTTAACCTATACCTATAATAGGTTAAGTAACAATTGTAATTACGAAGCTATAAGATGCTTATCTTAAGATACTAACAAGGTTAGGTAAGGTCGGTGTTTTCTATGAAGCTTTTTAAGGGTATCTTTTATGTTTAGTATGTCACCTATGCACTTATTTAATAAGTCAATATTGACTTTACGAATTTGCGAGAACGGGTTTCGTTATTGTGATTCATCGTCTGCGGAGGGAAGCGTCCAGGTGGGCGGAGAGGGCAGAGTGAGAAGGCTTCACTGGTGGCGTAGAAGGGAGAGTGAGAGAATGGGTAGGGAGGGGAAATGAGAGAAAAGAAGAATTAGAGGGAGGGCGAATGGAAGTTAATGAAAGAGAATGGGAAAATGGGAGAGAGAGGTAAAATTGGAGGGAAGAAAAGAGATAGGACGGTGGCATAGCATCACACTACTTTGTATGGTGATTTTTGTAATCTTACAAGGTGAATAGCGGCGGTCCCTTTCATCTCCTTGAAGGGAAACCGGCCTCTCATGCATCCCCTTCAAGTTTTTATGAAATATGAAACCGAAAGTCCGTAGAGTTTAATATTCATTTAAATATTAATGTAATCAGATAATGACATTCAGAAAAAATGTCCAGATGACAGAGTTGCGTCCTGGGCACAACCATCAGATTACTCCGATGTTGACAGTGTGTAGTGAAAATAGTTACACTGATAGAGGGATATGGGAAGAGTATGTACTTACCTAGTTGTGCTTGCGGGGATCGAGCATCGGCTCTTTGATCCCGCCTCTCAACTGTCACTACTGGTGTACAGGTTCCTGAGCTTATCGGGTTCTATCATATCTGCATTTGAAACTGTTTATGGAGTCAGCCTCCTCCACACCACTTCCTAATGTATTCAATTAAGTACTCTGACACTTTTTCTAATATCTGTCACTCATTTGGACACTCAGTTTCCACCTTTGTACCCTTGTGCGAGTACCACCCGTGTTAAATAATCCGTCCTTATCTTCCCTGTCAATTATCCCGAGAATTTGTATGTGTTAAGCATCATGTCCCCCTATAACTCTTCTGTGCTCCAGCGACGCGAGATGCAATTCACGCAGCCTTTCCTCGTAGCTCATGCCTCTTAGTTCTGTGACTAGGCTAGTGGCATACCTTTGAACTTTCACAAGTGAGTCTGACACAAAGCAAAACTGGAGAAAGTTCAAATGTGTGAGTGGAGAAGGGGAGAGCGTGTGTTGGAGGGAGATGGATATAGTGGGAAGATGTTTACAGTGGAGACTGTGTTGGGAAAATGCATAAAGCGAAATGGGGAAGAAGTGTGATGGGGTGACAAGAAGCGTGGATGTTGGAAGAGATGGTGTGTGTGTGTGTCTAACCTAACTTAGCCATCGATAAAATCATCAGGACAAATGGGGAGGGGGGACCTTTGACAAACCGCCGGCTTCCGATCTTGGTCGAGGCCACTATAGTGAGATGGTGGCCCTCAGTTAAATTCAGGTAGAAAATAAACACTAATTACATTGTAGTTTTGCAAGTGATTACCTCCAAGGTACCTCGACCTCCCTGAGAACTGGTTGCCGAAATTAACTTGTTTGTGGGTGGACAGGGACGGCGGAGGAGCGGGGCCTGGTAGGGTGGCAGGCGCAGCTGGACGCCGGCCGGGGAGACTCCTCCAGTTACCACCTCCCCTTCGTCATGCCTGCCCTCAGGAGGTAGGTCCCCCGACCACCAAAATACAAGTCATTCTGAAAGTATTTTAGCTTCTATTAAATAGGTTTTCCTAACAAATTTCAGGAGCTTATTTTCAGCCTACTAACGTAGGCGTATATTATATATATATATATATATATATATATATATATATATATATATATATATATATATATATATATATATATATATATATACATATATATATATATATATATATATATATATACATATACATATATATATATATATATATATATATATATATATATATATATATATATATATATATATGTCGTACCTAATAGCCAGAATGCACTTGTCAGCCTACTATGCAAGGCCCGATTTGCCTAATAAGCCAAGTTTTCCTGAATTAATATATTTTCTCTAATTTTTTTCTTATGAAATGATAAATCTACCCATTTCATTATGTATGAGGTCAATTTTTTTTATTGGAGTTTAAATTAACGTAGATATATGACCAAACCTAACCAACCCTACCTAACCTAACCTAACCTATCTTTATAGGTTAGGTTAGGTTAGGTAACCCAAAAAGTTAGGTTAGGTTAGGTAGGTTAGGTAGTCGAAAAACAATTATTTCATGAAAACTTGGCTTATTAGTCAAATTGGGCCTTGCATAGTAGGCTGATAAGTGAGTTCTGGCTACTAGGTACGATATATATATATATATATATATATATATATATATATATATATATATATATATATATATATATATATATATATATATATATATATATATATATATATATATATATATATATATATATATATATATATATATATATATATATATATACATATATATACACACATACATAATGTCATATCTAATTGCCAGAACGTACTACTTGGCCTAGTATGCAAGGCTTTATGTGCCTAACAGGCACATCGATTTTCGTTGTTTTCAAATATTTCTTTTCAAATTGGTTTGAATTAATATAATAATATTTTATTAAGACCATGAATTGCCGAACTATTTATATTAGGTTAGGTTTGATCAAATTTCAACGTTAGCTTACTCAAGAAAATGAAATGTAAAGTCAGTTATATACCAATAACCACCGCAGTAAGAGGAAGCAATAACTGTTGGGTCGAGCCTCACCCATGGTAATGCTTTCCTTGGCAGGCGAGACTAAGCTCTCCGCCCCTAGACAAACACACAACTTGCCAGGGAGGGCCAGAGTCACGCGGAGGGTTATATAGTCTCATATTATTGTCTCAAGAATGGTATGTCTGCCCCTCATGCTTTCACTCAATTTTTACTTGTGATCTTCACGAATTAGTGTGTGTACAAGAATTAATGCAAAATGTGCTTAATAATTTGATTAATATGTCAAAATTTTCCACCTTTGGTTCATTGTTTCTGTAATAATACTTTGCACTGGATTTAGGCTATTTGTAGTGTAGGCCATTTTATTAATTACCTCTGGGCTCTTTGCAATTAGTTTACCAATTGTGGCGCCCAACACAAGTTGCATAACATACAGCGATGTATTTTCTTTGTTCTCAGGATAAAATGGCTGAGATATCTACCCTGCAGCCCCACCTTTAGGGGCTTCAGACGAACGAAACGCAAAGCTGAACACGCCGCCACCACCACGGCCTCGCCTACAGCTGTACTCTCCACCACACCTGCCACCAAATTTACACGTAAAGCTGTATCTGCCACGACGCCCGATCGTGAAGCTGTGTTCTCAACCGAGCCCAACGTCGTACACGGCGCCAAGCCGACGCTTGAAGCCGCGTACATAGCAGCGTCAAGTGATGCAGAGACGTTGCTTCATGAGGCTAATGTGGCGCCAGGAATCCCGTTGTTACAGCGCTAGTGATCCCCCGGTTGGTATGGCCCCTGTTAACTCCCCGTTGTTAAGGCGCCAGTAATAATGTTGTTACGGCTCCATTAACCTCTGTTGTTATGGCGCCTGTGAAATGTCCGCCAGTCACTCAGTCAATATTCGAAGCTGTGTGGCCAGTTTCGTTAATGCCTGAAGCTGTACCCATCACCCCCACACCTGAAGCTGTTCCCAAGACCCCCTACACCTGAAGCTGTACCCAAGAACCCCACACATGAAGCTGTACCAACCCACACACACATTGTCAGGTTTGCCGACGACCGGGTCAGCTTGGGAGTGCTTCTTCAGTAAACCTGCTGCACACATAGATCACCACAGCTCTAAGCTTCGGTCTGTATGGCTTAAAAATCTTACAAAAAGGCGAAGGATCTAATGGCCGCAGGACTAACGAGGCCGAGCACCCTCACCTACACGCCCCTCCTCACACCGTGATGTCACATGGACAACTGATTACCCCGAGGCGGAGTCAAATGAGAGTCCGCTGAGGCATGACGTCATATGTCTGCTCCTATTGGTCATACTAGGTCACGTGATCTGAAAACTATCGTCGATATATATGAATTAAAATTGATAAATATGATGGCAGAGTTCTACCAGGTTTCATTTTCATTAAATAAAATTGTATGTTAAAAATGCAGATACAACTTAATTTCATCGTTATTACATAATTTTAGTTATTGTAACATAATTAAAGCATTTTCTGCCCATCTCAAGCTGTACCCAACACCCCCCACACCTGAAGCTGTACCCAACACCCCCACACCTGAAGCTGTACCCAACACCCCCACACCTGAAGCTGTACCCAACACTCCCACATCTGAAACTATTCTCACCGCCACACGTAAATCTGTAACAATACAGAAACTCTGTATTTCTCCTTTCATCAAAATCAAAGTTGGAAGGATTGTAAACATTGTCAATTCACTTAGCATGGTTATAATTACTTGGCCTCACTAACTTCTACCAACCTCTCAACGACAACTGCTCGTTTGACCCGCGCTCCCTCTGCTTTGAGCGGGAACAACGGGCCATCCCATAAGCAGTTCTGATTAGTCTTCTTAACAACATCGGAGACGCTCTTGGAAGTACTGACAAAATGCGATTATCGTCTTACTATATAACCTAGACTCACCGTTGAAGATACCAACTATATTATCCTAAACGGGTAATGACACACACACACACACCAACGCCCAGGCTTCGTGGAGCATATTCCCGAAAGCTGATGCGACTAAGTTTTTAAGCAAATTATATTGCTGGAACACATATACTTCCTGGATGATGGAACACATATACTTCCTGGATGATGGAACACAGACTTTCTGGATGATGGAACACTCGGACTCTCTGAATGATTGAACACAGACTCCCTGAATGATTGTAGAACATGATTGAACAAACTCACCACCGTAATGCTATGCTGTACTCAGGGTTAACATAATTCATCAGTTATATTTAATTTAAATATATATATATGGGGGGAATGCAGAGTAAATAGAAAGGAGACGAGTTAGCATTCTAATGCAGCATGGTGACTCAGCCAGCTCCTGGCTCGCCGTCAAAGACATAAGTCAGCAAGCGCACGGGACCTACAGACAAACTCAGGAGATCTCTACCTAGAATTGTTTGGCCATAATGATCTTGGCACAGGTCACACCAGACTCGCGCCACAGCAGCAGCAGCCTTGAAGGGATTATTCTCACACTTCTCTCTCGGCGTCGCAATGAACTAGATTGTTAATGGGCGGCTTTTAATCTGAGGTAACATAGTGTGTCGTCGTAGTTCTGTCTGTCTGTCCAAAGTAGGAGGCCAGACTGTTGGGGCTAGCTTTATCAACCTTTCCAGTATGACACATCTCGGATATGTGAGTGTCATAGGCACGTCGGGGTCGGCCCTAGTGCTACGCTTTAAGAAATAACGGCGTCTTTAACGACCCCCCTGCTGTTTTTATGACACTTGAAATCTGGGATTTATTTTTCGTATAGTTCTCAGCAGTTGTTCAGTGCTTTGTAATTTTTGTTTAGAGAGAGAGAGAGAGAGAGAGAGGGGAGGAGGAGAGTGAGAAGAGGGCACATGGGGGGGGGAACTGGGAGAGAGGGGGAGAAAAGTGGAGAGGTGAGAGGGGGGGAAGAAAGGAAGAGAGTGGGAAGAATAGGGGAAGAAAGATGAAAGAAAGGGGAGATTGGGAGATAAGGAAGGGACTAAGAGACCAGGGTTCACCATGTATTATACCTGTATGCCTGTTCGAGGATGGAAACTAAATGCTTTTGGACTAGCTTCCCACAAATTTTCCCAGTAATTACTGCTAGGTACGTGCCCGACATGGACAGGTAGTGATTGCAATCAAATAAAAAATGTGTCACATGACATTAGTGACTCACCTAAAATTTCGCTTTACTGTCATGATTCAACTTTTACCATATTATTAAACGTTATGCACTGATCACAAAATAATCATTATACAAAAAAACTAGTCATAAGTAAAATTAGATGATACGGTTTTTTTCTCCTGAGTCTTTCTGAGAGTTAAGGTATTCTTAGTGTTGTATAGTTCTAATAGATCCATATCTCCTCTCTTCTTCTTCTCTCTCCTTCCTCTTCCCCGCCCTCTCAATATGTCTCCGCCATCATCCCTCTTCTCTCACCTATTCTCCTCCTCTCTTTCTCCACCCGTCTTCCCCTCTCGCCTTTCCTATCTTCAAGCTTTCCCATTCTTCCCTTCTCGTCCACTTAGAAAAAGTTAACAATTCTAGGGACTCGACCAGCCACTTTTCACTATTCAGCCCAACTTCCTCTTAATTAAAAAGGACCAGAATGAGGAAGGAAGAAATAGCCTAAGCTACTCAATACTTTTGACATGTATCTTACTGTCTCAATCAACGTACTTGAACTTGACCAATATAGGATCGACCTCGACCAGCCTATGCCCATCCCATTCTCCAGACCAGGTACCTTGCAAAGTTGGGTGAGGCTAACCCCAAGCGTCTGGTCTCCAGCCTTGGACAAACAAACATTTTCTTATAGATAGAATAGATGGGGTCCCAAGTGGTGGCTTGGTTGCTGTCTCTTAGATCTTGTAATATTCTCGCGCACAACAAACGCACAATATAACCACAACATTAGTTTTACTTTCGTTACTTTGATGCAATGTTGTAACAACGCCGTCGTTGCATTGTGTGTGTGTCATGAACTGCTTAAAATATGGTAAAAAGTCTATGGAAAATCGGACCCCATTTTAGACTTCATAGGAGTCGTTGGCTGTCGCAATAGGGACCAAACATACCTAAGGAGGAGCATGGGGAGGGGTCGATCTTCACTTCCCTATTGACACTCTCCATACAGTCACAAATCACCATGGAAAGTTACATGAGGCTAACCGCAAGCGTCTGGCCTCCCACCTCGAACAACGAGACATTGTCTTTTTAAAAGATACTGATAATAATACATGTTTGGCTGTAATTATATATGATGATAATATCTCCCGAGGAGCCTGGAGCCGGAGACGAGTGAGGAGGAAGGTGGTCGAGTGTGGCGTCTTCACAACCAGGAAATAAGAACGAGGGGTGAAGATGGCACCATCTATAAAAAGTGCTAATGTGTGCAGGTGGCGATGGCCGGGAGGGTGGGGTCTGATTGATGTGTGGTGGTGGGGGGGAGGGGGTGCATGTTTTAAGAGGTTGGAGACGGTTGCTAACTGGTTGCTAACGGAAAGGTGAGGAGAGGGGGGGGGTGGGGTCGTGGTTGAGGGATGGGGCTCGTGTAGTGGTAAGGTCGTTGGGAGCGTGATGATGGGGTTATGGTATGGGGGAAGACCTGAATAGGGGAGGGGCTTAATGGGTGGCGGTGCGTGTCTTGATGTAGGAGGTATCATGGAAGAGGTGATGATGGGGGTTATGGGAGTGGTGGTGATGATGGGGGGGGGGGGTTATGGGAGGGGTGGTGATGATGGGAGGGGTAGGTGATGGGAGGGAGGTGGGTGATGGGAGAGAGAGAGTGAGTCAACAGGCAGCAATGGGACCTTGGTAAACATGGCCGATTGCCATCCCCTTCTTGCTTACTCTATCTGTTTTCCTTCGTTTTCGAACACATTATTTTTTATAGCGTTGTTTTTTGTTTCACAGATAAGCATAAGGAATGAGGAAGCGAGCCAAGCCGCGGTCTTTATTTATACCCCACTAGGCTGCCTGCCTGCTGGCTATAAACTCTAAACCTCCTATAGTAAGGCCTATGTAAACAAATGAATCACTTGCTTTTTGCTGTAAACTTGCCAAATACAGATGATCTATATTACAGAAAACGCTGGTTCAGCAGGCTCAAAATTCTTTTCCCAAATATGTACTTCTTGGGTTCCCAAATCCAACAATATTGGGGCAATAATTTCAATACGTTTAGAATGGATGATTGAAAGAAATCCATTACACGTTACCACAATCACTTTTTCTACAGCTGGCATGTTAGCAACATGGGGCAGGGAGCTAATTTCTTAAACTCACGAAATTAATGGTATATTCTATGTTTTCACTACCTTATTGGGCGAGGTGCAGCCGGGTGACCTGTACCAGCTCTGTACCAGCCACTGTACCAGCTACACCCGCCACTGTGTTTCACAACTTGCCTTGCAAATAAGGTAAAGTTGTGACTACTTTACCTTACTTGCAAGGTAAGTAAGGTAAGGATCCTAACTTCCGTTTCAAGGATTCTTTACCGCCTTAGGCTAGCAATATGCATCATGTAATGTTGTATAAGGTTTGGATTGGTTAAAAAATGTCAGTTTGTTTGTTGAGATGTCCTACCGGGACCTTTATTATGCCAGATAATCCTGGACACTATTAGGAAGTTATTATATCAATTAAAACATCAACAACACAGGTTGTGTTATTGTTCAAATGTATAAGAAACATTAATTTTCTTGAATGATACATGTATGTGTGTGTGTCATCCACTGGCCATGTGTTTCCGAAGTCACATATATGTTGGCTGAACCCACACCCTATTGTTATAGAAGTTAAATTATTATTATGAAGTTTAAACTCAATATGTACTATACCGTAGTTGGATGTGCATACAGCATACGGAATCGTAATACAAGCGAAACATGTAGTATTGTTACTGTAATATAAAGTGAGGAATATATCATTGAATTACACTCCAGTATACATATTAAATAATGCCATTAAAACATGTAAATAAGATTCGTGTGAGGCTCACGGCTTTAGGAACACCAGCTGAGGCTTCCAGGGTGAGGTGCTCTGCCACATGAGACATTCTCCCACACACTTGCATCACATACACTGCCTCGCGCTATACACAACAAGCTGCTCACTCAATGTCTTGCGCCTGCAGCACTTGACTAATAAGAATCAATCAAGAGATTCTAGTCAATAGATAGGGAAGGGAAGGGAACTACTAGGAAAAATCACCAAGCCATTACGACTATATGGCACTGGGAAGGGGTCAGGATAAGGATGTGGGGATGGGATTGGGGGGATGGAAGAAGGAATGGTGCCCAACCACTTGGACGGTCGGGGATTGAACGCCGACCTGCATGAATCGAGACCGTCGCCCTACCGTCCAACCCAAGTGGTTGGAGTAGTCAATAGATAAAATGACATCACTACCTGTAAGTCATTATCAAAATAAAGAGCTAAGTTATTATAGCTAAATTGAAATGTCTTTCTTACAGAATATTCATCAGGTCCAAGATATTGTTTATACATTCAAGAGATGATAAATATCCTCCAGGATGCCAAATCAGGACTTGATATATGACAGTCTTCATCCTCTAACGTTTGTACACATATCTATAGTCATTGCTATTATTTTGATCGGAAAATCTGGTTCCCAGTTACACATGTATAAACACATGCACATTTGCTATCATACAAAGGTCACGTGTATAGCAGGAGTTTGACAGCAATTACTGTCTCAACGTGTGAGCTGGTCCAGTGCTAGGCTATCTAAAATAGGCTCTTGGTGATCGTAACTAACCCGTTTGTTTTTTTCTTGCCTGAAATACGTACAAATATATTTGTTGACATCTGTTGTTTGGATACAAGTGTATGTCCTGGCGCACGTATATAAGTCTTAACGCAATGTGTGTGTGTGTGTATATTCTGTGTGTATATTTATTTAACTTAAAACCTATAAGCACATACATACCAAGTAATATTTATAAAGATATTTACTGAACAACTTTAATATTCTATACATTCCCTTGCACTGCGTACGAGCCTAACTGTAAGAAAAAGGAACTCAACAATTCAATTCAAAACCATCAACGTTTCTTAGTAGACACGTTCCTTGGAGATTTATTTCATATAACCCAACTCACACATGTAAAGTGCAATGAGTAACAATGTTTCGGTACATCTTGGACCTTTAACAAGTCACACTAAGGGTTCAGAAGGGGCCGAAACGTCGTCAATTGCATTTAAGTTCAATTATGTGGGTTACGTTATTTCTTTCAAGCACACTGTTTTGACATTCTTTGGCTTTATTTCATCTTGGGGCCGACAATTGTGAGGACGCCCTCAGCCGACATGACAGCGGAGACGGCCTCCAAGTCACAGTCGTCAGGGAGGATGAAGCCTCGCATGAAGCTGAAGGAGACCACAGACACGCCCTCTTGTCTGTTCCCGCGTCCCTCCACCTTGATCTCTTGTCCGTTGATCACCTGCACCTTCACACCACCGACGAAGTCGCACACGTCAATCACAGCCTGGGGGGGATAATGCAAGGAAATGTTGCTGTAATCGCTAGTGTTTCCCACGAAGTGCAAGTTATAGCATTGGGAATACAGCTTGAGGTTACCTTGAGGTGTTTCCGGGGCTTAGCGTCTCCGCGGCCCGGGAGGCCTGGTCGGCCTACAGTTTAATACTATCGGGAAAAAATCCTAGGAAATATATTCGTAATCTTATGTGTAAATGTTCCTTACCTTCCAAACGTCTTCAGTGTCCTTAACGCAAAACGCTTGATTTTCATTCTTGGGGTTCCTCTTGCGGAAGTTTCTGTACGCGGTGAACTGGTCTGTGCTAGTTGTTTCTATCTTAAACTTCTCCACGACAGTTTTGATGGATGACTGGAATTCTTGGCGAACGTCCTCAAAGGTTGTGTCGCTGAAGAAGGCTCCCTTGACCACGATGGTGAGAACCTTGTTGAAGGTGCTGCGGTCAACTGTCTTGCTGGTCACTTTCTTCTCTACACTAACTTCCTTTTGTTTCGTCGTTGTGATGGTAACCTGAAAAAGTTGTTGTCACTTAAGTCTCACGAGACAGAGAAACACAGGAGAGGATAAGTGACTGAAATGTCAAGAAAACCTGAGAGATTTTGAATTAGGAGTCCAAGGTGTACATGGACGGACATCACCTCTGTACAGCAGTAATACCGGCCTCATGGGTCGAGAAAGGCCCTAACTAGGCAACCTCAAATAACGATTTATACTATCTCAGGCTCTTTACAACGATAACGTGGACCAACACGACACTACACGGCGATGTGAACCTACACGATGACACGAAACTACACAATTGCATGAACCTACACAATAAAACGAAACTACACGACATGAAACTACAAATCGAACAATTAATACACGGTAATAGGCATGTTGGTACATAACAAAATCTAACTTTCCCCCCTCATCTTGGCAGCCCGAGCTCACCTTCTTTCTGGTTATAATGGTAAGGACGCCGTCAGCGGACATCACAGCAGACGCGGACTTCGCGTCCGTATCCTCCGGCAGGACAAATCGTTTACAGAAGCGTTTGGTCGTGGTGGTCTTCACCTCCTGCTTCTCTATGCGACCTTCCACCACCACCTCCTTCTCGTTCACTATCTTCACCGTCACCTCCCCGCCGTTCACGAAGTCTTGGACGTCAACAATTATCTGAAAGAACACCTCTTCGTATATCTTGTACGAGTTACGACGATTGTCTATCGGTTATTTAATAACATTATGACATGTTGCACCTACTTTCATGTACTGTTCTCTACCATAAAATATAATCCACCAACCTTATGATTTTGCTGGTCTTCGTTGACTGTATTGGCTTGGTTCTCTTCCCTCAGGTCCCGACGGCGAAGATTCCGGTAAGTGGTAATTTCGTCAGTTTGAGTAGTTGTCTCGTGGAACGTTTCCAGGACGCGTCTCACTGCTGACTGGAACAGTTTGCGGGAGTCTTCGAAGAAAGAGTCGCTGAAGAAATTACCCTTTCTGATGATGGTCAATATCCTAATGACAGTGTCGCTGGTGGTGCTGTCTGTCACTCTCTTGACCTGTTGGGTAACAGTCGAGACGGTCTTATCTTTGGCAGGAGCGGGTTCACTAACATCCTGTCCTGATGTTGTTATGGTTGATGTCTGTAGTGTCTTCTTAGTTTGTGTTGTCTCTGTGCTGTCCTCAATCTGCTTTGTGGACGGTGTCTGTGAATTATGATGTTGTTCATATTTTATTGTTGTGTATTATTATGCTGTCATGCATATATGTGCCTGAGTACCACAAGAAAGGAAACTAAAAGCTTGTATATTAACACGTTAGAGTACAACTATACATATATATATATATATATATATATATATATATATATATATATATATATATATATATATATATGTCGTACCTAATAGCCAGAACGCACTTCTCAGCCTACTATGCAAGGCCCGATTTGCCTAATAAGCCAAGTTTTCATGAATTAATTGTTTTTCGACTACCTAACCTACCTAACCTAACCTAACCTAACTTTTTCGGCTACCACACCGAACCTAACCTATAAAGATAGGTTAGGTTAGGTTAGGTAGGGTTGGTTAGGTTCGGTCATATATCTACGTTAATTTTAACTCCAAAAAAACAAAATTGACTTCATACATAATGAAATGGGTAGCTTTATCAAATCATAAGAAAAAAATTAGAGAAAATATATTAATTCAGAAAAACTTGGCTTATTAGGCAAATCGGGCCTTGCATAGTAGGCTGAGAAGTGCGTTCTGGCTACTAGGTACGACATATATATATATATATATATATATATATATATATATATATATATATATATATATATATATATATATATATATATATATATATATATATATATATATATTGTGTTGTTACTAACACCCAGCTTTTCCCCGTCTTCTAACGTGTGGGTCTAGAGTTTGTTTACAAATATGTAGTGATGATACTGTATGCCCGATGTGAAGGACAAGTCAGAATACCTCAGATATACGTCACAAGATATGAGACCGAAGGCGTATACGGAGCCAGCTGTTGGGTCATGTTTGTGTTACGATAGAAATACCATTTACCTTTCTTGGAGCAGTGATGGTCAGGACGCCATCAGTCGACACAACAGACGTAACAGATTCCACTTCAATATCTTCGGAAAGAATGAAACGTTTACAGAAGCGCTTGGAAGACTTTCTGTTGCCCTCCTGCTTCTCAATGTGACCTTCCACCACCACCTCTCTGCCGTTCACTGTCTTCACCGTCACCTCTCCGCCGTTCACAAAATCTTGCACGTCTACGATCATCTGGAAGTCAAATATATAACTATCATTAATACTGACATAATATGGACGATACTGCATTATGCAATCATGTTTTAAACACTTGTTCAGCATGCAGGGTATTTTATATTTTACAAATTAAATTATGCTCATGAATGAGTGATTGTTAACAATATTTCTGAATTCAAAACAGAAGGGGCTGTAATGGAAATAGTACAGCCTACTGTAGCTTGAACTGGCCACTGACACGAAACTATTGTCAGACAATTGTCGCATTGCTATGCATGGTTAAACAGATTGTAATACACAAATGTATTCATACAGTTTGTGGCACGAACCTTTTGAGACGTCTGATCTTCGTTGACAGTGACGGCTTGGTTTTCCTCTCTCAGGTCACGCTGACGCAACTTCCTGTAGGTGGTGATGTCGTCAGTTTGGGAAGACGTCTCGTTGAACTGTTCCAGGACTCTCCTCACAGCTGTCTGGAAAAGCTGGCGAGAGTCCTCGAAGAAAGAGTCGTCAAAGAAGGAACCTTTCTTGATGATGGTTATAACCCTTGTGACAGTGCCCCTTGTGGTGCTGTCCGTCACTGTTGTGTCCTGTTGGTTCACCGTTGACACTGTTTTCTCTGTATCAACTTTACGAGTGACAACATTTTCATCAGATGTTTTCACAACTTCTTTTGGTTTGACAGGAGTGGGTTCATCGTCTTCCCGTCCTTCTATTGTCGTAATGGTTGTGGTTTTCACTGTTTTCTTAGTGTGTGTTGTCTCAGTGCCACCATCTATCTGCTTCGTTGTTGGCTGTGAAATATAAATATACGACTGAAACTTGACAAATAAATCCGATTTAAATCTATATTCAATTAAGAACAAAAAAGGTACGAGTATAACGTGATTATGAAAGCACATTTTCTATCTTTTAGTATCTTTATGACTGTATCTTTTTAAATAAATACAAATAAGCACTCACTTTTCTGGGAGCAGTGATCGTGAGGACTCCATCAGCCGAGACCACACACGTCAGTGACTCCACGTCAATGTCCTCCGACAGGACAAAGCGTTTACAGAAGCGCTTGGAAGATTTTCTGTTGCCCTCCTGCTTCTCTATGTGACCCTCAATCACCACCTCCCTGTCGTTCACTGTCTTCACCGTCACCTCCCCGCCGTTCACAAAATCTTGCACGTCTACAATCATCTTAAAACCAGAGCGCACATCGGTTAATTCGAACCACCATGATGTTAAAGTTAATGAAGACTATGCAATTTGACAGTTGAAATGAAAAAGTTAGGTTATATCCAATAATATATCCAATTTTAAGCAGAATACGGCAAGAGAGAGTGGGAACAAGTGCGGAGAGAGCATTGACTACAGGTCAACGGTTGATAACGCATTAACACTTCCCATTAACCCCTAAAATGCGGCTGTCATAACTGTGTGTGGGGGGGGGGAAATATTATGTTCCTGTCATATTATACATTTGCATGGAAAGAGTAAGGAAAATGCAGAAAACACAAATGTCGAAAACTTTCTTGCTTGGTGCACATCAGGAGGAGCAACGGTTGTGAGAGCTGTGTGGTGATTGGTGGCTTAGGGCCGGTTGTGAGGGCTGTGTGGTGATTGGTGGCTTGGAGCAACGGTTGTGAGAGCTGTGTGGTGATTGGTGGCTTGGAGCAACGGTTGTGAGAGCTGTGTGGTGATTGGTGGCTTGGAGCAACGGTTGTGAGAGCTGTGTGGTGATTGGTGGCTTGGAGCAACGGTTGTGAGGGCTGTGTGGTGATTGGTGGCTTCGGGACGCAATACACCTTAATCGCAGTGTAGTGGAGGGTGGGGAGGGGGGGTGATGCTCAAGTTAGATGGTTTATATGCTCCTCTTTTTCACCTTAGTTTATGCAATCAGTAGAACAATTCGTTTTATTTACACATAGTTGAAAAAAATATCTGAGTACTGTACATTGGTCTACAATGTTATATGTATACTTATTTTACATATAAATCTATTCCTGGCACAGCTAGAAGGTTATGCCTTACAACCCACTCATTCGCTACCATCCTGTCTGGGAATGTGTCTACCAATAGCTCTGAACATTAACGGGGAACACTAAACTGTATTTTGAAGAAATCCGCAACCTATGCGTGATAACGTCATCACACAGTATACAATTAAAAACGATAGCAGTATTTTTCCATGGATGCAGGTTATTAACTCCGTTTCATCCATAAACATGCATCATAACTATATTTATATTTGTATAAAAACTGGATGAAGTAAACTAAAAATAAACATATAATAATAGCCACATTACCGTAGGGGGAGGGGGGTAATAGGGGGGAAAATAGCTTAGGCTATTTCTAGCTTAGGCTAGAAATAGCCTAAGCTACTCTATCCCTTTGAGATGTAATTTTTCTTGTCTCAATAAACATACCTGAACTTGAACTTCAACTACATTACCTAGAGGAAGAAAGAACGACGACATAGCAGCATTCTATGGGATAAACTGAGGGTGAGGGCAATGGGAATGTATTCATACAGTTCGTCTCACGAACCTTTTGAGACGTCTGATCTTCGTTGACAGTGGCGGCTTGGTTTTCCTCTCTCAGGTCACGCTGACGCAACTTCCTGTAGGTGGTGATGTCGTCAGTTTGGGAAGACGTCTCGTTGAACTGTTCCAGGACTCTCCTCACAGCTGTCTGGAAAAGCTGGCGAGAGTCCTCGAAGAAAGAGTCGTCAAAGAAGGAACCTTTCTTGATGATGGTTATAACCCTTGTGACAGTGCCCCTTCTGGTGCTGTCCGTCACTGTTGTGTCCTGTTGGTTCACCGTTGATACTGTTTTCTCTGTATCAACTTTACGAGTGACAACATTTTCATCAGATGTTTTCACAACTTCTTTTGGTTTGACAGGAGTGGGTTCATCCTCTTCCAGTCCTTCCGTCGTTGTAATAGTTGTGGTTTTCACAGTTTTCTTAGTAACAGTTGTCTCAGTGGATTCTGGTTCGACAACAACAGGCTCTGGCTTGACAGGAGTGGGTTCTGGCTTGACTGGAGTGGGCTCAGGCTTGACAGGAATTGGTTCTGGCTTGACAGGAGTGGGTTCATCCTCTTCCAGTCCTTCCGTCGTTGTAATAGTTGTGGTTTTCACAGTTTTCTTAGTAACAGTTGTCTCAGTGGATTCTGGTTCGACAACAACAGGCTCTGATTTGACAGGAGTGGGTTCTGGTTTGACAGGAGTGGGTTCTGGCTTGACAGGAGTGGGTTCATCATCTTCCAGTCCTTCTACTGTTGTAATGGTTGTGGTTTTCACTGTTTTCTTAGTAACAGTTGTCTCAGTGGATTCTGGTTCGACAACAACAGGCTCTGATTTGACAGGAGTGGGTTCTGGCTTGACAGGAGTGGGCTCTGGCTTGACAGGAGTGGGTTCTGGCTTGACAGGAATTGGTTCTGGCTTGACAGGAGTGGGTTCATCCTCTTCCAGTCCTTCAGTCGTTGTAATAGTTGTGGTTTTCACTGTTTTCTTAGTAACAGTTGTCTCAGTGGATTCTGGTTCGACAACAACAGGCTCTGATTTGACAGGAGTGGGTTCTGGCTTGACTGGAGTGGGCTCAGGCTTGACAGGAATTGGTTCTGGCTTGACAGGAGTGGGTTCATCCTCTTCCAGTCCTTCCATCGTTGTAATAGTTGTGGTTTTCACTGTTTTCTTAGTAACAGTTGTCTCAGTGGATTCTGGTTCGACAACAACAGGCTCTGATTTGACAGGAGTGGGTTCTGGCTTGACAGGAGTGGGTTCTGGCTTGACAGGAATGGGTTCTGGCTTGACAGGAATGGGTTCTGGCTTGACAGGAGTGGGCTCAGGTTTGACAGGAGTGGGTTCATCCTCTTCCAGTCCTTCCGTCGTTGTAATAGTTGTGGTTTTCACTGTTTTCTTAGTAACAGTTGTCTCAATGTTACCATCTACCTGCATCGTTGTTGGCTGTAACACATGAGGACAAAACATTAATGGAAGCAATAATGCATTACCAATTAATCAAAACTATACCAAATACAATTGTTCTGTATATATCCATATAATATATATATATATGTATATGTGGAAAATTAACTACCTTTCTGGGGGCAGTGATAGTGAGGACTCCATCAGCCGAGACCACACACGTCAAGGACTCCACGTCAATATCCTCCGACAGGACAAAGCGTTTACAGAAGCTCTTGGAAGACCTTCTGTTGCCCTCCTGCTTCTCTATGTGACCCTCAATCACCACCTCCCTCTCCTCCACTGTCTTCACCGTCACCTCCCCACCGTTGATAAAGTCTTGTACATCTACTATGATCTGGAACATGAGAAACAATTATATTAATGCCACAAGATATATGTGAGAATATATAATCTGAAAAATATATTTCAGTGAAATATTTTAGTATACCAAAAAGTATCAATACATCACTGGCATTTGATCGGTTATACTCCACAATGTATAACAAGCAGTGCAGCGATGGATGCTTTCATTGCAAACTTCCTTTCATCATGACCATCTAATGGCAAGCAGTTGCTGTTTACAGGTCATGGGGTCAACAACACAGATGGGGAAAGGTCAAACTGACTAAAGAGTCCTTGTACTTTAAACAGCTAATTTATTGAGCTGGATTTTTATTTATTAGTTTTTTACTTTGGAGAAAAAATACTTGGCTTGTGGGCGGTCTTAGTGACAAGAAGTGTTGATTTACGTAAGGAAACATTACTAATCACAGTCTGAAGGACTAGTAGTGACTTACAATCCTAGTTACAAGCCACTCAGAAGGGCAAATAGCTTAAAATTTTAACCCCCTTCATTAACACATTGTATGCAAACGAAGCCATGATTTTAATTCAAAATTATTCCATTGAAATTAAATTAAATTATGGTAATTTTAAATTATGAAATAATTTATATCTAAAATCATGGCTTCATTTGCATATAGTTGTGTGTTAGTGAAGGAGTTAATAATGTTAAATTTTATGTCATTCCTTCTTTAGCACTTTAATAACCATATTAGTGTTCATACAATGACTTGTAACAAACCTTGTGAGTTTTCTGGTCTTCATCGACAGTGACAGCCTGGTTTTCCTCCTTCAGGTCACGCTGACGCAGGTTCCTGTAGGTGGTAAGGTCATCAGTTTGAGAAGAGGTCTCGTTGGTCTTTTCCAGAACTTGTCTCACAGCTTTCTGGAAAGGTTGACGAGAATCCTCAAAGAAAGAGTCATCGAAGAAGGGACCTTTCTTAGTGATTGGTAAAGGCCTGGTGCCGGCGTCGCTGGTGGTGGTGGTGTCTGTCACAGTCTTGACCTGTCGGGTCACAGTGGTCACGGTTTTCTCCTGGTTAGTGTCATCCTGTGTAACTCTTGGTGCTGGTTGTGGTGCTACTACAACTTCCTTCACGTCTTGTCCCTCAGTCGTGGTGACAGTTGATTGCTGGATTTGTTTCCTGGTTTCTGTAGTAGTGGTTCTACTAACATCTGTTACTGGCATCGCTGATGGCTGTGAAGTATATTCTGTTTTACTATTAAGTAATTATCAAATGAAAACGCAAAATCAGTATGCTATATAACACCTCGAAAGTGGTTTATGTGAAGCATGTTATATGACAAGAAAATTGTGTTAAAAGCATATGTAATGTTCATCTCGACTATAAGCAAAAAAAAAAAAAACCTTTCTGGGTGCAGTGATAGTGAGGACTCCATCAGCCGAGACCACACACGTCAAGGACTCCACGTCAATATCCTCCGACAGGACAAAGCGTTTACAGAAGCTCTTGGAAGACCTTCTGTTGCCCTCCTGCTTCTCTATGTGACCCTCAATCACCACCTCCCTCTCGTCAACTGTCTTCACCGTCACCTCCCCACCGTTGATAAAGTCTTGTACATCTACTATGATCTGGCGATTTACCATAATGTAATAATATGTTTTAATACATAAATCACATAATATAGAAATCTTAATATAAGAGTTCTAAGGATTTTTTCCTATCATAAAAGTGAGCAACTATAGTCCAGTAATTGATCATTTATAACCTCTGGTGAGATGGCAGTAACCAACCTTATGAGTTTGTTGGCCTTCGTTGACAGTGACGGCTTGGTTTTCCTCCTTCAGATCCCGCCGGCGCAGGTTCCTGTAGGTGGTGATGTCGTCAGTTTGAGAAGATTTCTCGTTGGACTTCTCAAGTACCTGCCTGACGGCTGTCTGGTACAGCTGGCGAGAGTCCTCGAAGAAAGAGTCGTCGAAGAAGAGGCCTTTCTTAGCGATCGGCAGAGGCCTACTGGCGGTGTCACTGACTGTGCCTTCAGTCACCGTTGTCACCTTCTGAGTCACTTTCTGGCTGACTACATTGTCCTGTGAAGTCTTCGTTGTCTGCTGCTTAACATTCTCAGTTTTAACAGCAAGTGTTGTATCGAGAGCTTGTCCAGTCTTCTGAGTGCTGGTGGAACTCTGCACCTGCTTCTGTACCTTCACACTTATCTGTGACGATGGCGCACTGCAAGGCTGAAATGTATGAGAGTAATACCACGAATGTATGAGAGTAACACCACAAATGTATGAGAGTAACACCACAAATGTATGAGAGTAATACCATAAATGTATGAGTAACACCACAAATCAATTGGTAATGAGGCACTAAAAACCCTATGAATTTAATAAACACATTATGTTCACACCTCGGGATGTTCAATTGCTGAACAACGATGAGACAATGTGAACATTATTGAGATCACCTGGTAAATAAATGTTTAAACATAATTTAACAGCTCAAACAACCCAGCTGCATACTCTGGGGACAAGTGAGAATCCCAACTGCATACTCTGAGGACAAGTGTGAATCCCAGCTGCATTATCTGGGGACAAGTGACAGGATGTTACTTGTCCTCAGTGCGCATTGGGCTTTATTCGCGAGGAAGTGATGTACGTGCTGATAAAGAGTGACGCTGCCCAATAAACACACCCTTTAGGGCAAAATTAACGAAATAAAATCATCCATAGTCTGAGGTAATAGCCTGGGTAGGGCCAGCAAACACTGATGAAGGCAGCCGCCCCGGGAGAGCCAAGGCTAAGTCAAAGGACAAAAAGGATAGATACACAAGAGATGTGTACCCCCACTTCTCAGTCTATATACACTGACAGTTTGCTTCAGTCCTGGCGAGAGACCCAGAGACACTTCAAGATGATACACGACCAAAGATCACATTCACTCCAAGGATCTACCACCTATACGGTCTATTTATGCCCGTGTCACCTCTTGTGGTGGCTTAATCTTCAACAACAACAACATTCAGTCCTGGACTATGTTGAGGGTTAATGTATACTCGATGGTTGGTCAGTAAGGTATTGTGGAGACATGAATAACTCTTTCCTCGGTTGGAAGGCCTTAAGGCTAACACCTTGCCCAAGTTTTGGCAATGTGCTGTGTGGGACTTAAGGTCCACATATTGATTTTTTATATTACTCTCATTTTCGAAATTCCTTTACTTAGAACTGTTGTACAGAAAACTGGTTTTTACTTGACGAAATATGCAGAGGTCGTAAAAATAAGGAACTAATGTATCTTTCCTTCCGGGTGTTAACAAACGTCTAAACTATGAATGTGGACACAAAAAAAAAATAAAAAAAAATATCTGTATTAGGCTAGTTGGCCGTCACCTCTGTGCCGCACGAAGCCTCAACTGCCAACAAAAACATACGAATGCTTATTAAATCTTACTGCACCATCTCAAAGAAAGTTTAGTCAGATGTTAGTTCTTGTTTGTGTTAGATGTTCACGTCACCAAAATCTAGACGCTCGCATTAAGCGTGACAAGACACTTGAAAGGTGTCTGACGTGTGCAACTTGGCTCTTAGGCACTCCACTTGCCAAGAGTATGACCACTCACAAGATGGGTTTGGGGTGTGCTAACACTCACAGACTGGGTGTGAGAGCACTACCACTCACAGACTGGGTATGGAGTGCATAATAATCTAACCAAACTAAAACTTTTGTTACAAATCGTGCTCGCAAACAAAAAAAATTATAAAACCAATTAGTTAATACCACATTTAAATATAAACTGTTAACATGCATTTTTGTTTAATTAACACATTTTGGTACATTACCGTTTATGCGGCTACCCAACATCATATAAAGAGCAAGCTATGTATACTAGATTTCTAACCTCTATGTGTTCAGTGTATATGATCACCACTCCCACGGCGCATCAATTTCACGTGATGACCACAGTACAGAAAACACGCGTCATTAAATACATCGTTGTCAACAGCCTACCAGAAATTTTCGTGGAACTGTGCACCCGAAATCCAATATATATCTAAGGAACATTATCAACAATAAAATTCAAAGCTAAATCCAGGCCAGATATAATAAGAATACCATAATCTAGTGAGCTCACAGCCTCAGCAAGGTCCAAAAGAGACCAGACAACAGTAGTTGGCCGAGATTCGCCCCCCTCCTCATCCAACTGGCTGAGTCACCCTTCATCCAATTGGCTGAGCTACACCCCCTCCCTTCTTCCCTCGTCCAATTGGTTAAGCTTCACCCCCTCATCCAAATGGCTGAGTCACCCGTCATCACACTGGCCGAGCTGAGCCCCTCCTACAACAGGGTAGACTATACTCGCCCCTTCAACAAGCTGGGCAGCTCCCCGTACAACAGCCAATAACACTGTAATTTTCCACACATGAATGTTTGTATTCAAAGTGGTTAGTCCTCATGTCTGCGCCTCCCATCACAAGCCTAATAATTTAAACTTAATAATTATCTAACTCTACCATCACTTCCTAACCATTAATACAATCGGAAAGTGTTATTCTGTCTCCCAAAAGTGTGCTGGTGTATCAGTTGTACTGAAAATTCTTCAATAACACTGACTTTTCCAGTACCCGCCGTGTAGTTGCAATGTACACAATCGTCCTCCTAATTGAACGTTTGCATTTTGACGTATAATCTACCTAAGGCCAAAAATTGTCATACTAGAACATAGTTGCTTAGGAGTACGGGCTGGATGTCGAGGTGTCCCCAATATCGAACTACTGACCCCATAACAGTTGTCTAACTCCCGGGTACTTTACTACAAAGTGAACAGAGCCATTAGATGAAAGGAAACGTGCCTAACATTTCTGACCTTGGTAATCGAACCCGGGATTCCCCGATTGTAAGTCGAGAACGGAGCCAACTATACTAGACCTACTACTTGCTGTATTTCGTTAGTTTGTTGTATGACGTCAACCTGCTGTATGATCACCTACCTTCTTGGGGGCTTTGATGATGAGGACACCATCGGAGGAAACCACAGCGGTAAGAGCCTCCACGTCGATGTCCTCAGGTAGAATGAAGCTTCGTTTGAAACTCTTGCTGGACCTGGTGTTGCCTTGCTTCCTCTCCACGCGGCCCTCCACCACCACCTCCCGCTCCTCTACCGTCTTCACTGTCACCTCGCCCCCGTTAATGAAGTCGTTCACGTCCACCACAATCTAGGGCGTAGCGATACAGCAAAACGGTATACTTGGCTCAAAACTTGATCGCATGAAATCAGGTATGTATTTGTTAAAAAAAAAGTCACATTTACTAATATTTCGTATGAAACATGCTTCACCTTATGGAAGAGTTCGTCGTCTGTTGACTTTATGGCTTGGTTCTCGTCCTTCAGCTCACGGCTTCGTAGGCTCCTGTAAGAAGTGATGTCGTCGCCCTTGGACGACTTGTCGCCACATTTTGTCAACACATCCTTGATGGCGTCTTGGAAATCTTGCCGCGTGTCCTCAAAGAACGAGTCACTGAAAAACTGTCCCTTCTTTGTGATTGTGAGGCTTTTGTGAGACGACACCTGAGAGGATTGTTTCACACTGGACTGGGTCTGGACCTGGCCCTGTGTCTCCGTCGTAACTTTCTTTGTTGTCCGTGTCGTCTTTTTCTGAACTGAGGCCATCTTCTCGAGCTCTGGGTCGATTCCGGATTATCACTGGGAGGTGTTCGTGCTCACGTGTGTGCGAGTGCGGGCACTGAGGGGAAGTCGCACTGGGAGATGGGCGAGGGGAGGCGGCGCACTTTATATCCGGGATGCCGCGCCCACCCACCCCTCTGTTCACCACCCAGCTGGGTATTTCGGGACCCACCGCTGCTGCCAACTGTGATCAAGGTCCAGGAAATGGTTTATGGATTCTTTCGTCTGCGCATATTTTTTGCTTGTAATCACACGGCGGAAGGAATTGAGTTGGCAGGGACCGAGGTGCCCCTCTGTCAGCATATCTGAAGACATCAGGAAAGAAATATTGTTTCCATCTGATTGCGCTATATATGGTCAACAGATATAATTGTTAAAACATTCCGTGCAACACAGCACTAAGCTCGCACTCTAATTCTGACAAGTCAGATTATAATGGTGACACAAGTCGGTTTATACTTAAGGTGTTGAAAGACGACTTATACTAATGGTGTTTCAAGGAAGATTATTCATAGGATATTGCAATATGGATTACATTCACTGTTGCAAGCCAGATTATACATAAGATGTTGCAAGGTTGCTTATACATAATGAGTTGCATGATTTTGGTTTTGAGTAAAGATGCCATAAGCAATACACAAGATGTTGAGCAAAGGTGTCATAAGTTATACACAAGATGTTGGGTACAGGTATAAGAAACCAATCCTGTTTAGATGGTACTTTTTACAACTGTGTGGACCATGTACATACATAGACGTAATGGACAATTAGATAGAATTTGGTACTATTCACTTAAAAAAAAGTCTGAAAAAAACTACAAAACCAAACTTAAACATTCCCAAGATTAGTATAGCACATATATGTACTATATTAGGCCTAGGACGGTTAGGTTAGGTTAGGTTTTCTTTGCAACATCAGCACAAACATTTTTCCGGTGGGTTCAATAAGGATTTCTATTTTCTAATTGTCTTTTACGTCAACATATGTACACTGGTCCTCATCGTTACTATAAGTATTACCTAAACAGGAGGACGGGCTGTCATGAGCTACACACAAGGTGTGGAGTACAGGTTACCTGAACAATACAGGTTACCTGAACAACATAAGGCATTAAGTAATGGTCTCTTGAGCTATAAAAGATGTTGAGGAAAGTTGGCCTGAGCAACACAAGGTGCTGAGTAAAGGTGTGCTCAGCTAGACAAGGTGTTAAGTAAAGTTATCCTAAGCTACACATGGCATTTATATTCCTTACTGATCAGATGATGCGAGGGACACACACAAGCTATTTATTTATTTATTTATTTATATACAAGAAGGTACATTGGGATTGTGAGGATACATAGCATAGTAATTACAATCTTGTAAAGCCACTAGTACGCGCAGCGTTTCGGGCAGGTCCTTAATCTAAGAAAATTTTAAGTAGGTAAATACTTGCAAAATTTATAAAAATTATAACAGCTACATAGCAAGACAAAAAATAATAATAAAACTATCACTCTCAATACTGCAAAAAATGCACTAAAGATGGTACAGAATCACTATTAAGATACAATATTGGTTTAGAGTTGGACATATGGCTTACCAAGGCCACCACAAAAGGTTACTGACAAGCCAGTAAGTATACTTCACTCTTAACACAGTTAAGACTTAAAGTAAACACACTGTATAAACACGGAGACACGGGGTGCGCCTCTAAGTGTATATATTCCCGTCATACGTGACAGGTTAATTGCTCACATCCGTCAGCCACGAGGTGTGCCACCTGGATATTCTGTTAAGTACCTACATAAAGCCCAGCTTACGTGTATGTCCTTCACGACCAAGAATGGTAGCGTTGTGTGTGTGTGTGTCGTTCATGATCAGTGCGGTACATACATGTTGGCTGTTAGTGTATGTCGTGGGGTGGGCTATACTGGTCTGAGCAGCAGTCAGTCTGTGCAGAACTAACATACTTCTCTTCCAGGTGATGCTCAGATGCTTATCTCTAACGCACCTATAAGGTTCTGCTACAAATTATATTCAAGATGCACATATCGACTCCTGCTGTGACCCAATTGTAGTTGAATAAATTAAGATAGTCTCTCTCTCTCATATATATGGGGCAACGGATGTGAGAATGAGTATTTGAATGGGGTCTGTGTCTTGAAGCAGTTGGTCAAGATATCTGGGATGCCAATGTTGGTATCAGCTGAGTGTCCCCCATGTATGTGGAACAGGGAGGCAACTTCTGAGTCCCCCTGGTGACCGGAAAAACGGTCTTGGAAGTTATGCTCAATGAGGTACTGCTAAGACCAGGGTGGCCTTGGATAGTGAAACATGATAATGTTGCAAACTGATAAAGTGAATACATTCAGGTTGGAGGCAGTTGAGCTTGCATTGCTGGCAGACGTGATTATTGACATGTAACATCCTGGATAGTTTTAAAAAAAGATAATGTGTAAATTAGTGAATTGAATAAACAGCCAGAATGATACATTTTAAATGGTGCAACAATGTCAGAAATTGGTGGTGGTCAAATGAGTAGACTTCGATTCCAACTTCAGAATTGTTTTTAAATACATTGATGGTAAAATACTAAAGAAACTGTAAAGATAAAGAAGCAATATGATCACCACCTACAAAATAATAACAGGAATCAACCAAATTGGCAAAGAGGAATTCCTGAAACCGGCAACCTCAATACCAGGAGGTCATAGATTCAAACTAAGGAAACAAAAGTGTTGAGAAATAATAAAAAGTTTTCTTTTGCAGAGTGGTAGACGGTTGGAGAAAGTTAAGTGAGAAAGTGGAGGCCAAAACCGTCAGTAGTTCAGTGTTATATGACAAAGAGTGCTGGGAAGACAGAACACTAAGAGCGTAGCTCTCATCCTCTAATTACACTTAGGTAGGTACACATACACACTGGACATCCTCCAATCCGATCACCTCGGTTCCAGCCACGATTAGATATGTAGGCGTGATCGGATATTTGGTCAAATCTCCCCAGATACGAAAAATGATAATTTTATGTACAATAGTACATAATACATTATTGCTTCACTAGATGCTTAGAGCAAATCAGTACAGAATATTGGAAATACAGTAACAATAAATATTACAGTACAGTACTTAATATGGGTACTCACCGTGTCTAGATGTTTCTCCACATATGATCTTGGAATGATGCCTAGGTGAGTATGGTAGAATTAATTAAGGGTGGAAGTAGATGCTGAGGGTTGAGGCCGAGATATTGATGGTCGAGGGTTACATGGAGGAGCAACACAAGAGGCTTAAGATCGAGCTTTTCTGGAAGCCCTCTGAAAAGTTTCTTGTGTTAATGGCTTCAAGTCATCCATATGCATTTGTGAAAAAATAGTGTAAAGTTTGTAAAATGACATCACACTCTGAAGATTGACATCAAATGTTCTCTCCATGAACTTTTAAAATTATTTCAAAGCTCTTCTCTACCTCTGCCATGCTTGCTCAAGTTCTTGTCTTCCTCTTCCTCCTCTGATAAATTTCCTAAATCCTGCAAATTTGTCTGGCTATTTAAAGTAAGTTTGTTTAGTTACTTTAAATCTATGACCTCTTGTTCTTGAATTTCTAGGTCTCGGGAATTCTTCCCTATCAATTTTATTGATTCCCGTTACTATTTTGTATGTAGTGATCACATCTCCTTTTCTTCAATCTTCTAGTTTTGGCATATTTAATACCTTTAACCTCTCCTCGTAGCTCTTGTCTTTGTGAACCAATCGCCACACTTCTTGCAAATTTAATTGGATGCCGTATTACCTATAGTAGAAAGCATATCTACACTATTATTTATTTATTTATTTATTTATTTATTTATTTATGCATATACAGTACAAGAATGTACATAAGGAATGTGAGGATACAAATATGGTAATTACAGTCTTGTAAAGCCACTAGCACGCGCAGCGTTTTGGGCAGAATGAGTAGAATGAAGTAGAATTATATAGAATGAGTAGCCACAAAACATTTAAAATTAATTAAAAAAACGTGTCTGGACGTTAAATCAACTCTAGGATAATGGTTTTGTTATATAGATGCAGATTATTATTCACTGGCATGCATTTGCTACTTAGATGTTCAGATGAATATAATGAATCACTTGGATCAATTTTAATTTCATCTAGAAACAATAAGCAAAAATGTTTTATCTGCAACCAGAAAGATAGTGCTATAAGCCAATGTAATGAATAAAATCCATCAATATGTAATACATAGTGTGTATATAGCTTGTTTTTTTTTTTGGTAAATACAAAAAAAAAAATAACTGTTAGCTGTTTATAAAATTAAAGAAAACATTTCATTTAAATTGACAATAATTCCTGCACAAAAATGAGAATAAACAGTCACAGCAACATGTACTATAGACACACAAATAAAGACACAACATGTACTATAAAGACACACAAATAAAGACACAACATGTACTATGTTACAAAATCAGCTTCTGAACATGACTGAATCTGCCATATTAGCACTAGGTAGGGAGTCGTGTGTTGTTTTTCTTTCCTGTTTTTTTTTTTTTTTACTGCTGGCTAAGGTTTAAGAATGATAATTCTGTAAAATAAGTGAAATCAAAATATCATACAGTAGTCTACATTTTATTTAAATAAACTAAATTATTTAGCATAATTCTTATAACAAAGTATAAACAAAAGTTATTTATAACATAGCATACATAAATTATTATTTGTATTACTCCCAGATAATCAGAGCGGCAACAATGACATTAACTGTGTAGTAGTATGATGCAGGTGACTGAGAGAGGCTGGTGTAGTTGAAGAGTTAGCTTCAAAATTCAATATCCTATAGACAAGATGTGCCTGTCTCAGGACTGCTGGAGTGAGAGTCACTGGCGTGGACGGTAGTTCAAGTTCTGTTACTCTTCTCTCTAAAGCAGCTTTTAATGACAACACAACTGATGGATTTGGACCCTCTAATGAAAGACACGTATGACTGCCTTTTGTTGAGCATTGAACATCAATGCAGTCATCATGATACCACAGGGAAATTTTATGTAGTGTTTTCTCACCATTTGTGTCTTCAGAGCATGGTGATGGTATAAAGCTGAGCAAGTCCCCAAATAAGGATGTAATTTTCTCATGAGTTATGCATGATGTAGAAACTTTGCAAAAAGGAGTTGGGCCCTTATTTATAATAGATTTGGAACTTGCATAGGCTTTTTCGTCTAATATTTTACGAAAGACAATGCTAGGGTTTTGTGAAGAGAGATTTGCGGTAGTCAAGTTACGCTGGCACGTCACGAAATGAAATATATCAATTTTTGTTTCACACGCAAATACCTGACATATTGGGCGAAATGATGAGAAATGCTCTAAGACCAAGTAACATTGTATACTTTTGCTACCTAGACTTTTATTAAGATTTAATGGAGGTAAGGCTACAGACATACACATATCTGTTTTGAAGCAATCCTTATCAAGTTTTGCACTTATAAAATGATCACCATTAGATCTAGGGATTACCAAACAAAGTCTCCACCACTTTCCATCTAAATCAATATTGGTTCTTTGTTTACGAAACTGTATATTTGCAAGATAAGAACTCCGTTCTTCAATATTGTGTTCCACTCTAACACTTGTTGAAAATAAAGGTAATTGTGGTTCTGCTAAAAGTCTATGTGCCAAACTCAACTGTCGAAGATACAAATCCAGAGTACAAATTCTTTTCCCTTCAGCATCCATGAGTTCTGAGCAATGCTGAATGCCTGTCATCATCCCTTCAATTGTGTGAGGCAGTTCACTATCAATCAACCTGGAATTTACCTTGTGATTGTCACTCTTACTTCCAGCAGTTATAACTTTCCAAGAGCACCTATACATTCGACCATCGCACGTAAGCATTTCAACGAGATCCACATCTTTACAAGTGATCTTTATAACTCCACAATAAGGCAATTCATGGCATTTCACTTCTGTTTGATCTCTTACAAAATAAACATGACATAACCAGCATGATATACCATCAGAGAAAACCAGAGCATTGTTCTGACCATAGCATGTCAATGCAAGTGTTGAAAGAGCCTCTAAATGCCAAACTAAGCTGCCCTTGTTATTTGTTCCATCTCTTTTAATTGAAGCGTGTAGTCCTGAAGATGGTGTTGGCCGGCCAATGGCCATCAATGCTTCTTTGCCAACGACTACAATGGCAGATGAATCACCAACTGTAACAATGAAAAAGAAAATTAATATTCTGATCGTTTTACTTGAATAAAACAGGAAACATTATATGTACGTACCTACCGTGTGACTATCTTGAGGTTCTTGAGATGATTTCGGGGCTTTTTTTTTTTTAGTGTCCCCGCGGCCCGGTCCTCGACCAGGCCTCCACCCCCAGAAAGCAGCCCGTGACAGCTGACTAACACCCAGGTACCTATTTTACTGCTAGGTAACAGGGGCATAGGGTGAAAGAACTCTGCCCATTGTTTCTCGCCGGCGCCTGGGATCGAACCCAGGACCACAGAATCACAAGTCCAGCGTGCTGTCCGCTCGGCCGACCGACTAAAGGATCATTTGCTGCATTGTTTGTTTACTTTGACAACCTTGCAGTTGTTTGTTTTGCTTTACTTCCTTTGTGGAGGTTTGTTTTTTAGGTGAGGGTGATAACTAGTCCCCCTCCTACTCCCTATGCCTCTGTGAGAGGGCCAAGTTTTGGCCTTTGGTCTCCAATAGGCTATTAATGCCTCCTAAGGCTGATGTGACTTGTATGTGTGGAACTATCTCCATGATGCTAGCTACAGCATCATGGAGATGCTGAAAGGAATGTGGAGAAAGCCACATTGCCTTCTGATGTTGTGGAAAAAATACAAAAAAATTACCATTTTTGTTTGGCCATAGTGAAGTAAAGAAATATGGATTATCACATATTTTGAGGGATAATTTTTAAGTTAACTATTTGTAATAAAGTTTTTTTATCACTGATATCACTAATAAATTTTCCCTGGGGGTGGAGGCCTGGTCGAGGACCAGGCCGCGGGGTCACTAAAAGCCCCGAAATCCTCTCAAGATAACCTCAAGATAACTTAGTACTTAGGTCATACCCCTCCACTAATTACAGCTGGCCACCATCAAATGGCAGTGCCACAGGAGCTGCCAGGTCCCCCATGTCAACAATCATCAGTTCTCCTGATGTCAGACATGTCTGACATGCTTCCTGAGATGCCAATCCTTTGAGCCACAAATATTTTAGGTAAGTGTTCGACATTCTTTGGACTTAGTCCTGTTGGGGTCCATTTACTTGCATGTCATTGAAATCTTCAATATTTGCTTCATGTACATGTGCTTACACGCCACACCTGTGTGGAATTTGGTAACTACAGTATTCCATTCGAAATGCACGTGCTTAGAGCAGTTCTTCCCTAGGCACTCGTTTGATGTTACCCTGCCAAGACAGGATTACTTCCCTGGTGGGTTTGGGTGTTCATCCCATAGAGCAGGAGCAGGGAAATGCACCCCTCCAGCCTTGCCCTGAGTAGTGCCAAGATACTTGACTCCTCTGTAAGGCTCTGAGGTTGGGGCATTCTGAGATTACTGATCAAAAGATGCATAAGGTTTGCATGCTTGTATAGTTTCAGTATGGATACTGAAGGCCACTCCAGACCGACAACCAGAGTGCAACTCCATAGTCTCCCAAGACTGATAGATGCCTACCACTACTACTACTACTACTACAGTTTCAGTTCATCTAGCAAGAGTCCCTAGTGCCTGAGTGCCCTGCATGATCTTTACCTTTAAACCTTGACAAGTCTTGCAGGTCTTTGGTATGGATTGTCATTTATCGGCCCACCGAGCCTATACTTGTTTCTTGCCAGTTAAAGAGATGTCCACCAGTTTTGTATAAAAATATTCATAATTTACACTGTCTTCCTCAGCAGCCTGTGAGATGGATATTACCCTCTATTACCCGAGGCAGGTAATGTTTGGGTTCACTAGGCCTTTATTTTTAGTTGGAGCCTCCATTTATTGATTTTCTTTTGTTTTTGTAGTAATGAGAACACATGCAGCAGCCATTTTGGTTTCACTTGCCTATTTTCGTTTACTGCTTGGTGCTTGAGTGTAGTTGCCTTGGAGATGGCTCTTTTTAAATTTTTAGGGATTTGGTTTTTAGGGATTAGGGATTTGGGGTGTATTCCATTTAGGACCAGTTGGTTTATTCTCTTTGGTTTAATGTTCACCACTGTCTGTCTGTCCGTCTGGCATGGTTCAATGGACTTCTTGTATCCCACCTTGCCTTTATTCTGGGCTCCAGGTCATCTAAGGGTTTTGAAGTCTAGGCTGCAATTTGTTGTGGGGTGGCTCGGCCTTCCGTGTGATTCACCCCTGCCTTGTTAGCACGGACGAGAGCTGAGCCATTGCTTCTGACCTGGGATCTGTAGCTTTCTAATTCTCTGGGGTGTATTATTTTGTTATTTTTTACTGTTATTTTCAAGTCAGGAGCTTCTGACTCTGGTCTATGACCATCTTCATGATACCTGAATGGCTGAGCTCTTGATCTATGTTTTTTGTTGCAGAGGCAGCATGAGGTTCCTTATTTTTTTTTGTTTCTCTTTGATGTCTGTCTCAATTTCAGTGGTCTTGTCCTTCTTGGACAAGAGTCGAGTTTCTTGGAAGTCAGTTTCTCTATGAGGCGCAGGGAGTTTGGGGAAACAACAAAACAAGAAAAAACCCATCCATAAGCATAGTGCGACAAAACAAGCCACTACTTTACAGAAAATTTGTTACCCTAGTTTAACAAGGCAAAACGATCATTTGAAGTATTATTTAAGAGCTAGCTGGAAAGTAACGATACATAGATTATATCCTCTGCAGCGAGCGAGCTGCAAGCAATAGCAATATTATTAGCACATTCACAAAATTAATGTTGACACCACATACCTCATGGTATGTGGTGCAAGAACAGCATGCATAATGGCTCAGTAAAAATGCCTAACCACAAGATAAACTAAAATATAACTTTAAACTTTATGCTACATACCTTCCACAATGCCAGCCCAAACTACAGGCTGAGCTAAATGACAAAGTGTGACCAGGTATCCCGGTAGTTTTGAGTGGGCAGCCATAACTGATCCAGAGGTACAAACTATTAATACAGCTGAAGGTGTCCTCCCACAGGATTCCCTGCTTCCACTGCTGACAGTCTTACCAAATATTGCCACCTCAGTCACCAAGTTCATGCAAACTGGATACAATTTCCCACCAGTCTGTAAAGTGTAATGGTAAAAATTAGCACTGAATGTAATGAAATGCTCTTTTCTTGTGAAGGCCCCAAGCTTATCTCTGGCAGCACCAAATCTTAGCCCAACACACGAGGACTTTAAAAACCCATCAATCACCTACTGGAAGCTAGGATCAGAACCTGGTTCACTCTACAAGACAAGGATCAGTGGCCAACAATAAAACTGCAAAACCCAGTAGAAAGCATAGAGGCTATAAAACAAGTGATTGCTTGAAGGAAAATAGGCCACTTAGCTAATTATATCAAAGGATCGTTGCCGCAGGGCAAATACTCTGACTGCCGATATGCTTGACAGTCACCAGATGGCAATCCAAGTCACATGAGGTCTCAGCCAGCCCCCTCCCCCCCCTCACTCAATATCTTTCCCCTTGATAGTGGTCAGCCTTTAAAAAAAAAAAAAGCCAGCACTGAGTGTAATGAAATGCCAATTTCTAGGTGAGCCCAATGGCTCCTTGTAGATAACATTTCCAATGTGTGTATTGTCTAACAGGTGCCATCAGTCATGGAGTTCTCTGGCCAACCGGGGAACAAGAGCCAGGTTCTGGCTTGTGGTCCATACTGTAAGCCATATGGTAAGCCACATGAGCATGCAGCTACCTCTCAGTCAACTGCCTCTAGATGACAGCAAAGCCATCACCAGCCCAAAGAAAACATAAAAGCCAGCAGTGAATGTAATGAAATGCCAGATTCTGGCCGAGCCCCAGTGGCTCCATGAAGCTACCATCTCTGATGTAGGTGAACCAATCGCAGAGTCTTGTGAGTACACCTATGCTGCTTGCAGTGCCAACACCACCACCACAAGCATGAATCCAACCTATAGCAAAGCTACACTGGCTGGGAGATATGCAAAGGGTGACACAAACAGTTGAACTTTAGGCCAACCTTCCCTCAATTTCCCTATGCAACATCACACAGAATCATTCAGCAGGATGAGATACTGACACAGCAGACCTCTGCCTAGTAACACCTAGTAAAGTATAGATCAATTTTAAACAAGCCAGGGCTTATATTTCTAGTATTATCATTATATCTAATTAACTTGATTTAATTAGATTTCTATCCATAAACAATCTGCTAAAAACTAGAATCTTTGCATTAGACCAGTCAAATGGATGTACAAAATTACAAAGATGACAGAACAATGCATTTAACGCCTATCCCGACCTCACACTATTGGTGTTGTCCAATCCATTTGATCAAGGACTTTCTAGAGTGACCAATGTACACTTTATTACAGTTTTGTAAGGTATTTGACAGACATGTCCACTAGTTAAATTAGGGGGAACTTTTTATTATCATATATTTTGCTGTTCTCACATTTTTAAAATCTACATTGATATTAAGAGGTAATAAGCCAGCCTCTGAATAGTAATAATAATAACTGGGAGTAAATAAAACATGATTTTCTGAAGAAAAAATATAAAATAATAAAAGTTTGAAATATTATATTTTTCAGTTTGATTTACTATGTGTACTATAATTAAATTATATACTGTACCTTATTTTTTGTCACTACAACTGCACCCAAAGATTCTATTTTGTTCTTGGTGTTATCTCTACTGGATATCCATTGCAGGCACAGTCCTAATGGTGTAATTACAAGTTTCAAATCGCATCCCACAAGCTGGCATTTCGACACAACTCTATCAGATAATGAAAGTGTGCTGACAGGCTGCATTCTGAATGGGTTCCTGGTGAATAAATAGCAAACAATTATGTAGTTTTTAACAAAGTCTATAGTAATGTGATACTGAAAGTTTCAATACAAAATCTATAATTCATAACAACAGAGGTAGAACTTACCAGATCACATCACTTTGAAGTTGACTAAGAGTTCCCCAGTTTAACAAAGTAAACACTTCTGATTATTTTTTTTTAAATCTATTTACTGTACAATGAAAACTGAGGCTATTCTTGCTGCCATTTTATATTAAAATCCACTGCTGAATATAATGAAACACCTTTCTGGTAAATCCTTTGGTGGCTCCTTGAATTACCCACCGTGATACCTCCAAGCCTTGGAGGTATCATGAACATCTGCCAATAGACCAGTATCAGAATCTGACTCCGATCAAAAGAGACAAGGGAAGGCCCATGGATAAGTAGATCAAACCAGAACAAAATATAACTCACCAGAAAGGTAGAGTACACCAAAACAAGCACCTGCATGGAAAACATTGGTAACCTTAAAACAAACTATCTGCACATTTGTTGCTCAGAACCAATCACTAGTTAGTAACACTCATCCCAATGGCAGCCTTGACAATTCCTAAACCCAACTGGCTGCCCCAGTCAGCAAATGACTGGGGACAAAAATCCAAGAAAGGAGAAGGGAGGACAAGACCAATCCTAGACAATGAAGAGAGAAAAAGATAAAAGTACCAATAATGCTGCTGAGGAGATCAACCACCGACCAGAAAAAAACAGAAGCATTAGGTGAAAGGAAATGTACCCAACCACTTCTTTTCCACCTAGGGATCAAACTCAGAATTCCTGATTGTGAGTTAAGATTGTAGCCACTGTACTACAGGACTGGCTACTGTATACCAAGAAACATGACTTGTCAATTTATTAAATCATTCACACTCTATAGGCATTAATTGCCCAGACTAACAATTAATCAGTCTTCATTGAGTAGGGTTCTTTTTGTTTGTATTACCCAGTTGTTTGTATGATGTCATCATACATTATCTATTTGTACCTGTTTCATCAGTGTACAGTATTAAGTAAAATCTTACCATCAGTGAGAGTGTAACACGATGTTCTTGTTGACTCGGGCAGAGAGGTATATGGTTAGAAGTGAAGACGAAGTAAGCCATACATGTCTTTGTCAGTCAGGCTTATGAAATGTAATCTGATCCCAAACTAGGCTAATTACCTATCATGAAAAAAGAACGAAAACTAATAGAAACTTCCCCTCCATACCACACACAGGCTACACTGGAAGATTCATCTTTTGACACTTTGCAGGTCATGGTAGTTCAGTCGGGTTCATTGTCGACTCACAGTCAAGAATTCCGGGTTCGAATCCTTGGCGGGACAGAAATGGTTGGGCACATTTCCTGTCACCTAATGCCCCTGTCAACCTAGCACTTATAGCATTTCGGATATAAGTCTAACATGTACTGTATGAACTGACTGCTTGTCCACCCGACACAATGAATTAATATTATTATTACTTGAAGACCCTAGACGGTAAGACGCCAGGATTTCTCCACACCCACGGGCAGCCAAATAAATTCATAACCTATCAACAGAACACCCTCATGCCTGCCCCGTTACGAAACTATAGGTTGGTAATTATTTTTATTATGATAATTATTATGACGTTACATCTTCCAGTGGAGCAAAGCCACTCGACCACAACGTCCTAAAAGCACCTTGAAGTCAGAATCTCCTCTTCCTTACAAAACTCATTTCGAAAAAAATGTAAAAATCCATCAATATTAGTATTGTGTGTTGGAGGAAGAGAGCACAGAGCCATATATACCCCGGTCCCAGTAGAAGCAAGTTGCCTTGGACCTAACTCTTGTTTACCTTCAGTTTGGCGGACTCTTTCAATCATGAGAACAAATCCTCAATCCGGATTCACATTCAGATTCCCGATGTTGCTGTAAGTATGAACAAATCCACAGTATTATGGATTTTAAGATATTAAGTATCTCTGGGAACTTTCATTACTTACTTGCTTAGCGGAATGAATTGTGAGGTTCAGTCCCTGAGCCCATTATGTGCCTGTGTGACCCTTCCACTGCCACCCACAAGATGAGTATGGGGTGCATAATAAATGATAAGATAAGATGTTTATTCAGGTAAAAGTACTTACATTGAAAATGAATTACATACATTGGAAATTAAAATTGTGTATCTTTATACCAACACAGTTCTTTAGTTGTTAAGTTGTTATATGTCCTTTATCATGACAAGTACTGGATCAACATATTTAAAGATCATATTGGAATAGAATAATAATAGTAATAATGCTTCCTACTAAGAAACATGTTTACAAATATATATTTGTACTTTTTCGTGTCATCATCAAAAATACAAACATTCATGAAAGGACAGTAGCAATTACTTCCACTGAAAAGAATGACTGAACATTAACAGTAAAAAGAGTAAACACTACAGGTGACTTAACACTAAGCACATTGAACACGTGAACAAAATATCAAGTCAGCGTAAGGTAAACAGGTAGTAATAACTCGAGTGACGCACAGAACTTGTCAGATGGCATTATAACGAGTGACAAACGCAGGCCGGGCGGCGTCAGACAATTATGAGTGGGAAAAGTACCATGCAGTTGCCGACACAACAGTACAGAGTATTTAATGAGGAGGCATTTCCACCTGGGGTTCCCACCAGAGACTCCGCGCAACACAAAGGCGTGCAGGGGAACGAGGAGGGCTTGTTCGTTGCGTACGTGAAGTGAACATTGTCTTTGGAAAAGCCTTCCCTTCCCTTGGGAAGGGAAGGGAAGGCTTTACCCTTTACCCTTCCCTTCACAAGGGAAGGGGAAAGCGCCAAGCCATTACGACTATATAGCATATATAGTTACCGGGCGTCTGTCGGCCTGGCACCGCTGATGTGGATGTTGGTTTGCCTTAACTAGAATTGAATCTGACTAGGAAAGTGTTGAGTGGATTACCGAAAACTTTCATGTTGGGGCTTACCTTTTTGTAACAAAATAGTTGAGAAAACCACAAATAATATCGTCACATTTGTAGTTGATACAAAGATTAAAACTTCTAAAGTCAAAAAGGATTGACTGGCCTTTCAGCAGTCACTGAAAGTTGTTTAACAAGTAGAAGCTGCGATAATAAAATGCAAATCGTACCTGAGGAATAATCAAATAACATTTGGTTTCAAAGAAATTAAAGTTGTTATTCAACTGTACAAGTCTCTAGTGCGCTCCAATCTGAATTACTGTATCCAAGAATGGATTCCTCATCTTCAGAAGGACATATCCGAAGGTGAATAACTTTGGAGAAAGTTAATCACAGAACGATTAACTAAGTCAACTCTCATACCAGGAACAGTTGAGGGCCACAAGACTAACACTATATTATTAAATTATAACACTGCAAACCAGACATGACAGGGCTGATCTCATCAAAATGTAAAAATATTAAACAAGTTTGAGGCTATTAATCCAGATATATAATACAATAATTATTTAGCTATTAAATGTGTTGCAGTTAACATTTAAAACGGTCAAATGTAACACATACAAAGGACAACAGCTTCAATCTCAACTCTCTCTCTCTCTCTCTCTCTCTCCGAGGCTCATAATAAATTTAATTCAGGATCCGGCGCACCAATACACTGCATTGTTCTCTGTGGTGTGTTTCTGCTCGAGCCCCACCCTCGGGCCTTCCGACACAAGCCTAAAGTATTTTCAAAGTCCAAAGTAAGACCTAATACATTTGTTTTATCATACGAGTAAGACAATATTTAGATACAGAAAAGGTCTGATGAATTACTTTTCGTTGTTTCTATCTTGCAGAGTTTTATTCTGATTCCTTTTGTTTAAATATATATGTTTGCATATTCATGTTCTCAAAACAACAAAAATTAGAATCTGTTGATTCCACAAGAGCATCTTGAAGATTGCTCGGTGGTCACACGTCCAGAGGAGCATGCAACGGCAGAATGTGTAAAAATGTAAACGACGGTTCAACATGAGATAATAAGTACTTCCAAAGGGTACCTTTGAGGGCACCTTGCACACGACTGTCAGGTCAAGCCTGTAGACAAAACAATTTCTAGCCATCCGTTCCCACCATGTCTCCCGGCCTGCCGATAATTATCTCCTCTGCATGAACCATGGCGTTAGGCGGGGCTTGACGGAACAAAAAAGCGTGCTGCGTCATAGCTCCTGTGAGGGGCCATCCCACCGGACGTGCCTTGTAGCTGGTCAAATCTGCTTTTGACCAGCTGTAGCCTGAAGTCCACCTGTACCAGGTGGACCACTTGGCCTTAACTCGCCTCCACATGAGCCGTTGGATCGCTATACGTATCAGCTGTACCGTATTATAACATCCAACACCATGACTCGCTATCCATTTGGTTATGAAGTGTTGTTCTTACTATTTTCCAACCCCGTTGAAAAAAAAATCCATTTCAGCGGTATTTCAAAAACAATTGAAGTGTACCCTTGAATTTCGTTTACAAAAAAACAAATTCTTCAGACCATTTCTAAGAAAATGTTTTCAGCATTCATTTTTTTATAATTTAAACCAACGATTTATAATACATTAAAATTATAACTTGAGAATACTCACTGTTTAGGACAAAGGTTCACTTGCCAGTTTACAAGTTAACTATTACTGGAACCTTAAAATGCTTTCAGACCATCACAAACATCTAGATAACTATCCAGGTGGTTTGACAGGGTGTTTGATTGCTCGTGGTAATAGATTTGCCCTGGGTACGAGCTCCTCTCAATTGGCTTCGATGAGGACAGAAAGTCAGCGGCTTGTCAAAGTTCACCCCATTTGTCCTGATGAGTCCTGATGATTTTATCTATTTGGATCGTAAAATTTAGCAGTGTTTTCGTAGTTACGGCTTCAGCAGGTAGGCGGTTCCGTGGTTTTATAATCATATGGATATAAAATAATCAGTTTTCTGTCCTACAGTGTGGGTTGTTGAGCTTGAAACAGTTGCTACTCATTTGTGATACATGATATTTAGACGTAATTGTCTGGACCAATATCCTCCAAATTGTTCAGTATTTTAAACGTCTCGATACGTTCAGCCCTGTTATGTCTGGTTTTCAGTCTTGTTAGCCTTGTGGCCCTCAACTGTCCCTGGCATGAGAGTACAATTATTTTATCCCCTTGTTTTGAACTTTCTCCAAAGCAAGATATGTCTTTCTGAAGATGCTTGAATACAATACTACAAGTGGGGCTGTACCAGAGATTTATACAGTTGAATAATTACCTTCTTTTCCCTGAAATCAAAGTTACGTCTGACTATTCCTAGATTTGGTTGACTTTTTTTTTTTTACTGCAGTTCCTACTTGTTGTGAAACTTTCAGTGATTTCTAGAGTTTGACTCTAAGGTTCTTTTCTTCATCAATTTGCTATAAAGTAATGTTGTAGATTTGTTTGTGACGTGGCTTGTTATGCCCCACATGCAAGGTCTTGCATTTTTCGATATTAAAAAGCATCTGATAATCTTCCAACCACTTGTGAAGCTCGTTGTAAGGCCTCAGTATCATTTTCACTACCAACTTTACCATAAATCTTAGTCTCATCTGCAAATTTGATGATGTGGTTTGTAATAATTTACTCTATGGCATTGATGTATATGACAAAAAGGGTTGGCCCCAATATGGAATCTTGCGGTACCCCACTCACCATATTTCTCCAGTCAGATTCATTTCAGTTTACGACGACCCTTTGCTTTCGTTGTTTTTTTAACAGTTGTTTTATCATTTTATTCATTCTTGTTATTCACCTGATTTTACATGAGGCCTCAATCTCTCTTGTGGCCTCGATGAGGACATGAAGCCGGCGGATTGTTAGCTTTGTACTTCTTGTTATATAGAACAGGTTGTGCTTGCCATGTACATTGTTATATAGACCTGGTTGAGCTTGCAAATACTCCTTGTTGTATAGAACAGGCTGCTTGCCATATACATTTTGTTATAAAGAACAGGTTGTGCTTGCCACATAGTTTGGCCGTCAGGGTCACGTGACACAAGATAACTCGCGATAATACAATATATATATTATAATTTAATATGATATACAAACTGTAATAAAAATTCTTGGACTCTGGGACCTCTGGGCCATAATTCATCGAACATTTACCCAAATATTTACAAAACCGATACATCGTTCCTTTGTTTACACTGATTAAGCAGTTTAAGAGCCTGGAAATTTCACAACATCCTAGCGCTTCGGAACGCATGCACTCATAAATACAAACTCACCATGACTGAGGAAAGATATACAGGTTTGGTCCGTTGCTGCGGTAAATGCTTGGCGATTCCTTGGCCTGTGGAGCGTTGGTAGTATGGCACATAACTCCACATTACAAGCATAACAGCTCCTGCTCTCCAAACATTGCATTTGTGCTTGGGTCACCGGGAAGAGCGAGACCAACGCCTCACACATACAACACCTCTTGGGCTAAATTGTGAGGAGGAATGGTTGAGGGGAGTGAGAATGTGTCTGTCTGTCTGTCTGTATGACTGACTCTTTGTTTAATGTGCGAGTAAGAGCGTAAGATATCCTTTTGGTGCAGTAAGGATGGTGTACTTAACATCGACACAGCCTTCCACGTCTAGCATATGCTCCAAGCCCGTACGCATACGCACTCGCAAGCACAGACACTCTCACAGCACACACTCTCACAAGCACACACTCTCACAAGCACACACTCTCACAAGCACACACTCTCACAAGCACACACTCTCACAAGCACACACTCTCACAAGCACACACTCTCACAAGCACACATACTAACAAGCACACACTAGTGGAGCCCCACAGGGTTCAGCCCTTGGACCTATCCTGATTCTGATATATGTAAACATGTGTGGTTCAGGACCCCCTGTGTGTTCCACACCTGCTGCAGTGCTCTCAAACACCAATTTACTACAACACTCCACACTGTGAAGAACAAGAACCTTCCACACTGTGAAAAACAAGAACCCTCCACATTGTGAAGAACAGGAACCTTCTACAATGTGAAGCACAAGAATTCTTCACCCTGTGAAGAACAAGAAGTGAGAAAGTCCAAAAAATTTATACAAAAAGATGATAAATAATTAAGCAATGAAGAGGAACAAATCCAACAACACTAAAAAGATAGCAGGATTAGGGTGGCATGATCACAACGTACAAGATTCTGAAGGTTGCAAACGATAGCAGGTTATGCTACATTAGGAAACCTAATGAGTGGACGAGTGGACACACAAATGCGTCAGACACAAAACAGATGTATTGAACTGGAAACAGGAAAGTCCATTTCCATTTACAGTTTTGTAAACAATTAGTATATACCAAAAGAGATGATGCATGAGTAATTGCACCAGGTATGCCCGTAGGGTACACACAGTGCAATATTAACACTTAAATGCAATATTTACTTTAGCACTTACTTAATATTGACTCGAGAATGATAGTATGAGGCTACAAGATGGCCTAGACAGACTGAATGAATGGTCCAACAAATGGCTACTAAAATTTGTTTTGTAAAGATATGTAACTTGGAATTACTGGAAGAGGTGTGTGTATAGGACCCACATGCGGGTTTCCGCTGACCATTTGCCACGGGACAGGCGCGGTTGTCCCCCCTCAACCCTATGATCTCCAGAAGGTAAACATTGCGTCAGCCAAATGCGCACCGGACCTCGGTGCGCCTCACCCCGCTCTCCGACAATTATTTCATGACCCAGACACCCGCACATTCCTCGTCCCTTACTGTACTCGTGCAAGTTTTTCTTCTCCCACACCAAACCTTGACGTCCCCCATAATCCCCCCCCCCCGCACCCCCCACAATAACATCTCTTATCCCCCATTAATTACCACAAGACATCATTCCTCGCCTTCTGCTGGGCGATGAGAAGATAATTATGTGGGGGTTAATGGGGTTATTACTCTCTCCCCACCGCGCTCTCTCTCTCACTCTTCCCCCTCTCACGCTCCCTTCCTCCCTCACACCTCACGTGGAAATATCTTCGGTTTTATTTCAGCGAAGTAAATCATTTTTATTACTAAAAAACATCGGCGGTTCGAGTCTACATTATCGTGGACTCGAACCGCCGACCCCCACAGTGTGAGGCGGGAGCTTTTCCACTTAGCTATCATGGGAAGCTCAATAGGAAAGATTTCAGAGGCAGGAAACCCCTACCCAACTGACATTTTATACTTTCCCCGCCTCCCTCTTAAGCACATCAAAATTAGTGATCCTCGCCCATGTCATATAAATGACACGGATCATTCATATGACAACGCGTCATATAAACATGTTAAATATTTACATATATACAACTGGTGAGATGTGGCGTTAGGTGACGGGCCTCTCATGACTGACTACGCCACTCATGTTGTTGTTATAGATTCAGCTACTGGGAACCAAAAGTTGCTAGTAGCACGGTCTATGGTGAGCCCGTAGTAGACTTGCGTAGCACAGGAGCGGGGCTGTAACTGTCACTCACGATAACACACACTAATGCTCGCTAAACTAGTGTTCACTCACACTATTGCGCGCTAAACTAATGTTCACTCACACTAGAGCAGCCCAACCACTTGGGCTGGACGGTAGAGCGACGGTCTCGCTTCCTGCAAGACGGCGTTCAATCCCCAACCGTCCTAGTGGTTGGGCACCATTCCTTCCCTCCGTCCCATCCCAAATCCTTATCCTAACCCCTTCCAAGTGCTATATAGTCGTAATGGCTTGGCGCTTTTCCCCTGATAATTCCTTCCTTCCTTCACACTAGGGCATGCTAAACTAACGTTCACTCACATTAGTACACATTAAACTAAAAGTCACTCAATAGTGCGCACTAAAATAATGATCATTCACACTAGTGCGCACTAAACCAATGCTCACTCACTAGTGCGCACTAAAATAATGATCTAATGCTCGCACTAGTGCGCGCTAAAATAATGCTCACTCACTCACACTAGTGTGCGCTAAACTATAAACTAATGCGCACTCACACCAGTGCGCACTAGAAATGCTCACTCGTATTAGTGTGTGCTAAATTCGCACCATAAACACTGAACTAGCTGGACACCCATATAGTATGTGATTAACTAGCCGCATACTTAGGTTAGTGCACACATGAAATATCTACAGACTCAACTACTCCGCGAACTCCACATACACTAGTACACACTACTCATTCCACATGAGAGCGGAACCAAAGAGCCAGAGCTCAACCCCCGCAAGCACAATTAGGTGAGTACATACACTAGTTCACACTGAAATAGCCCCCACCCCCCCAACACTCACACTAATACACGCTGATCTAGCTCCACAAGCACACTAATACGGATTGAACTAGCCCCACACGCGCACTAGTACCCACTGAACTAAATACACACTCACGCAAGTTCACATTGACCCTGAGAAGGAGACAAAAAAAAACAGGACAGCTCGACAAGGTCACCAATTCACAGATTTTTTTCCTAAAGATCCGTCACGCGATGAGTAAGGTCGTAGTGGTCAAGCCTATCCCGGCACGACTAAAACGCCACTCGCCTTGTAACTCAACACACAGAAAATAGTGTTAGGTTAGGTTAGGATAGGCTGTGAAAAATTATGATGGGTTATGATAGGTTGGGATAGATTAGGATATGTTTGGGTGAGGATAAGTAGGTTTTAGGTTAAGGTAGATTAGTTGTGTGTGTGTAAAAGTCATTCATCCGTGTCAGGCGCTTCGGTGACGACATTCCTGTCCATAATTTGTGCTACCTGAGTCGTCAGGAACACCTGCACACGACACATGCTACCCAGGAGCCTCAGGAACACCTGCACACGACCCATGCTACCCAGGAGCCTCAGAAACACCTGCACACGACACATGCTACCCAGGAGCCTCAGGAACACCTGCACATGACACATGCTACCCAGGAGCCTCAGGAACACCTGCACACGACACATGCTACCCAGGAGCCTCAGGAACACCTGCACACGACACATGCTACCCAGGAGCCTCAGGAATACCTGTCACGCTACCCAGGAACACCTGGCACGCTACCCAGGAGCCTCAGGAACACCTGTCACGCTACCCAGGAGCCTCAGGAACACCTGTCACGCTACCCAGGAGCCTCAGGAACACCTGTCATGCTACCCAGAAACCTCAGGAACACCTGTCATGCTACCCAGGAGCCTCAGAAACACCTGCCATGCTACCCAGAAGCCTCAGAAACACCTGTCATACTACCCAGGAGCCTCAGAAACACCTGTCACGCTAGGAGCATTCCGGAACGAGTCAAGTTTCACCAGTGTGAGAGAGTGAGACAAGGAGGTGCAGCCTCACCTCTCAGTTTGCCACTCTGTGAAGAATGTAACGTTTTGGCCTAACCTGGAGATACGTTCCAACCGCTCCCAGCAAACCCACTTAATTAGCCAATCGACGCCGACGTGTTTACGAAACGTCAATATAACGATGCTTGAAATGTCACTAATACGCCGTATTTTAAGCGGATTATTAGATTCCGCAATATATTTGGACATATTAGGAGGGGGGAGGAATGTGGTGCCGGGTGCGGAGGAGATGTGCGGCGTTAACCCCTTGCGTAAATATTTGTATACAATGCGTAAAAGTGCGCATTAGCCTCTCATCTTACGCGGTCACACCAATGACCTCATCCACTTTCGCATTTTGGGGTTTGTTTGTTGAGTAGTGTTTCTCTCACTATATTAAGCTGGCCAATGTGGAGAGCGCCACACCCCTTTTTCCCGGCTGGCTATTGGTGGAGGAGCGCCCCGTGGCTCCGCCCCCAGCCCCAGGCGGCGCAACCCTCACGTGGAGTCCACGCCAGTGTTGCCACCTTGGGAATATACCTCCACTCTCTCTCTTGCTTTTCCTACCTTTCCTTTTATCGTAAAATGGTATAATTATAAAAGTAGAATTCAGGATCTGCTTCCGATGTTAATTAACAATGCGGCTCCGGGAGATATGTGGTGAGCAGCGGATGGGTTGTGATGGGGCCATGGAGGAAAGTGTGACATTTGCAATCCGCGCCGATGTGTCGTCATGGAGTTCTTGGGTTAGTACTTAAGGAAGCGGCCACTGGCTGCAGAATCAGTCAGCTGGCGGCCTCCCTAAGATTCACTTAGTGATACCTCACGCAAGCAGTGTACATTCATTTTCTTGTGGACAGGCCGAATAATTTTATAATCAAGGTTGGTACGAGTGGAGTGGTCCTGCTCTATTCACCCTTTACACATTGTATATCAGTGGCTAAATGGAAGTTTCTGTTGAACATTTACCAACAGAAGCCAGTGTATGTTAGTCTCTGGGAATGTAGTCCTTTCGGGACGTGTTGCTGAGCAGCTCTGATAACGAGCCATGTGTGTGTACTTGTATACATGTTAACGAAACTACTAAAGTGTTGATAAATGTGTAGTGTGACAGAGAACATGGGATTCTCGCTTGTAAAATCCAGTTTTTTTGTTAAATGCAAGATTTTTCCTTGGTATAAGCGAGGTCGCCCTCCCTGGGGAATTTTCCCGTCAGTTCTGAGTTAACACCAAATGATCCTGACTTCTTTTCCGGCACCTGTAACTGATTGTCTCCCATTGGTAAATTAGTGCAGTGAATCAAGATAGGTTTAAATGTGAATAATATAAAGTGTTGTTTAAATGTGAATAATATAGTGTTCATGTGCTTAACTTTGCTGTTATTTCACCAGGAGGATGAAGGAGACACAGGGCGAGGTGCCCCTCTACATGCTGCCTACCAAGGCAATCATCAGCTTCACAGCTCAGGCCTTTGAGCTAGCCAGCCAGAGCTTGGGTTACCGGGATCCTTGTGCTCCTGTCGACGCCTCGCACGGCCTTCAAGACCTTAAAGATGAGGAATCTGGTCTTGATGTATTCTCCCTGAGTCAAGTTGCCAATCACGACACCTGCAATGATTGTTGGATCATCCTTTACGATAAGGTGCGTACTATTGCTTAATTAAAGTTGACCTTCGTGCATATGTATACAAATCTGATAATAACTAAATAAAATAATTATGTAAACAAATATATTCGTGCTGATTTTTAACTGGGATTGATATTGTGGTGAACAGGTGTACGACGTGACGAGGTTCCTGTTAGAGCACCCTGGGGGTGAAGACGTCATCATGGACTATGCTGGTCGGGACGCTACCATTGCTTTCCGCGGGGTTGGCCACTCTGTTCCGGCGCTGCAGGCCCTCGACGACTACCTGGTGGGGATCCTGCCGGGGCACGAGCGTATTTACACCGGTGACGGTCCGTGTCAGTGGAGCACTCTATAGCCGCTGGTGTGAGCGGCTGCGGCTTGCCACATTAGGCTATAACAGCCAGGTGTGGAGTCGACAGCTGTTCTTGTTGTGTCCTCTTGAGAGAATGTCAACACGCGCGGTCCTCGTCGCTGCGCCCTCGCATCTCCAATCCTTGTCTCATGTTCATCTGATTCTCGTTCATGAATGTCACGTCATTATCATCTTCACCGTCATGCATCGTCTTGCCTCCGTCTCCAGGGTGTGTGGAGACGCGGCTCACAGCCATCACAGACTCGAGCTTCCACGAAGCTTCAGTACCTGAGTCATTAAATTATTCCTAAATCATCATCACTCTCGCTTATGCCATATTTCTATTCTAATTATTCATGCTGTTCATGTTATATCAATGTACATATTAATATATTATTATTTTTGTAATTACACTGTAAGAGTATTCTGCTTTTCATTTATCAGCATTTATATTAGTATATAATTGTGAACATACTAGAGCCCCACACGAGCATGGAACCCAGACCCACGCGCCAGGTGGCACGGGGCTACATTCACAGGTGTTCTCACCTGGTTTACTTCATATATAGCGGTGGGCATATTACAGACACACACGAAATGGGTGTGCGAACTATACCTTGATATTCTGTTAGCTGAAAATATTCCTGAACTAGTTAAAGAGCTTGTTAGGATATACACCAACTGTCCAATTACACTGGATTCCATTTCTCGGTGTACATCCAGAGAAATGTACACGGCGGCGTGTACATTTCTATGCGTGTACATGTTTCCAGAACATGTTATAGGCCTAGTTTCCTATAAAGTTTCCTAGTTTCCTGGAAACTATAAAGATTGATAGGCCTAAAACCCAACACCAAAGTGACCAACCATTTCAATCTTTACGGCTGTTTTCACAATTTAGAATTCTAAGTCACAACCACATGTACACACACACGTACTTTCCTTTAGAAACGTGTGTAAGGAATCATTCAGAACCTTGTATACCACTTGTGTAAGACTAATCCTGGAGTATGCGGCCCCCAGCATGGAGCCCGTACCTTGTCAAGCACAAGACGAAGCTGGAGAAAGTTGAGGTATGCCACTAGACTAGTTCCAGAACTAAGAAGCATGAGTAACGTGAGAAAAAGCTGCGTAAACCGCGCCTCACGTCGCTGAAAGACAGAGCTCAGGGAGACCTGATCACCACATACAAAATTCTCATGGCAATTAACAGGGGTACATAAGGACGGATCACATAGCAAGGGTGGTATTCTTACACAGGTGGAAGCAGAGTACCCTAATGAGCCACAGAGACATTAGAAAGAACTATTTCAGTGTCAGTAGTTAATAAATAGAATGGATTAGGAAGTGATGTGGTAGAGGCTGACTCCATACAGTTTCAAATGTTGTTGTGATGGGGGTGTGAAAAAAATAGTAGTAACAGTTGATTGATTGACAGTTGAGAGGCGGGCCGAAAGAGCAGAGCTCAACCCCCGCAAGCTCAACTAGGTGAATACACACACCCCCAGGAAGCAACCCGTAGCAGCTGTCTAACTCCCGGGTACCTATTTACTGTTACGTGAACAGGGCACCAGGGGTGAAAGAAATTCTGACCATTTGTTTCTGCCTATGCCGGGGATGGTCCCGGGCCCTTAGGACTACGACCTCAGAGCGCTGTCCACTCAGCCGCGAGGCCCCACAGTGTGTGTGTGTGGGTGTGAGCGATAAATATGTAGTAGATATGATAGGGAAAAAAATAGGTCGGAAGTCAGTAAATTACACAATCGACGGTTACAAAGTCGGGGTCCAAGAGCTAACAACTCGATCCTGCAGGCATAAATAGTAAACACACATACAGATATAACGAATATGTTGAGCTCTAAGACTCTGAACATTTCAGTTATGAATAACTTCAAATGTAGAGGTGTGAAGAACATATCAACCTGCTTCCTCAGTTTGAAACTAAATAAGGAATATTTTGGAGATGTGAGTGAATGGCATGAGTGGAGAGTGAACCAGGCGAGATGTGGTGCCCAGACCCACCCAGGACACGATGCTCAGACTCCACCATACATCACACTGTAACCACAGGTCATAATAAGTCACACACACACACATTATACCTCCGGTGGAACATGAGACCACCAGACAGAAGCCATTGTAATTCCTTGTGCAACACCCCCTTCAACACCCCCCCCCTCTCTGTCTCTGTCTGTCTGTCTGTCTCTCTCTGTCTCTCTCTCTCTCTCTCCTTCCTAGATCCAACAATTGACTCAACGATTCTTCATCCCCTACCCTAAGAAGTCAATTTTGTCACCAATCACCATATTTTTTCAACCCATCTGTATGCCTGGCTCAGGTTCATTGTCGTGTGGTGTGGTCACCATACGACTGTGTTCTGCTGCACATGAAAACCTACAATTGTTTCTTGAAACTACCTTGAAACTACCCCTTGAAAAAGGTGCTCCAATTGTTATTAATGAGCCTTGTAGCAGTCAGCATTTCTTCTTGAGGGCTTATGCAGTTTGCATGAAGGGTTTATCATCCAGAGTGGTAATGGTTATCATCCAGACGTGCCGCCGTGGTACGTCAGCGTTGAAACTGGCAAGGCTTGAAAAAAAGTGTTGCTATTGTTTTCGGTAGATACATGGGCGGCAACTAAAAAAGTAATCGTGCTTTAGGGCGAGACTTGATGTGCTTTAGGGTGAAGGTTGGATGCTGTTTATGGCGTCAGGTGATCCTTGTTGCTTTTGTAGTGAGGAATTTGTTTTCAATGTTTAGCTGTCGGTGGTGTGATGTATACGCACAGGTCAAGGGTGACCCAGTTTCTTGGTTGACTGGAGATTATGAGCTAATGTTGTGGCTATTTTATATGTAATAAGAGATCTCCTTACCCCTAATAGGTACTCGATATTGAAAGGTATTTTAGGGTTAATAATTACGTGTTTGACATTAATTCTGGCACTTTGATGTCCAAGCAAGTGTGTGTGTGTGTGTGAGTGCATGTATTTGCGCAGTGAAGGACGTATTATTATTTATGTCTATCCTGTATACAGAGCTGTGTGTTGTTAGTTTGCTGTGTCCCCAACCCAAGCCTCGGTCTGATCATTGTTATATATATTTTCAGTTTTTATATCTGACATGTTTTCAAGTTTCTAAGGACTTCTTCATGATTCCATATTATAAAGAAGAACGGACGTTTTCCAATTCGCTACAAAATCTTGGGTGCTGGTGACTTTAAAAGCTCCTTTTCGTGCAAATGAGGAATTGGATGATGTGTAATGTCAGTTGCAACGAGCAATGCTTTTGCCTCTTGTTCTACAAGTTCATGTGGGGCATTCCACAATGTGCTGGAACCCTCTGGATGGAAATGTCACATCCTTTTGAATTATGTTTATGAAGAACATGAACGCATGAGTTAACGAGCTCTTTGCACATTTTGGTATAATATATAATTGTTCGAATTGCACTTTTGGAGTCACTACAGAGTATATATGTAACCCCAACTGGTAATGTTGCGACTATTTGAAGAGCTTGATACAAGGCATATAATTCAACTGTGAGTATAGATAAACAAATCCACAAGGGCCGTGACGAGGATTCGAACCTGCGTCCGGGAGCATTCCAGACACTGCCTTAATCTTATAGTTGGCATCTTATAGTTCTATAAGACAATGCCTTATAGATAGTTGCTTTGATGACCGCCATCGCTCTGAGGTGGTAACTGCGGGGGTCCAGACAACTCTGGAGACTGTTCATTGTTTTGTAGGATGGGAGATCTGTGTAAATTGTTGTAGTACTGCTACCCAAATCCTTCACTTTAGTAGATCATTTAAGTAGACATTCTACAAGAAGCAGTCAAGCACACTGGCCCCAATTGCCAGTGTTTGTGGCTTTGGAAGAATGTAAAAATATCACTAATGTTATCTCACCAACCCATTGTACCTTCTTGTAAATATTATTATTATTATTATTATTATTATTAATTGAGCGGTTTTCAGTCTGTACCCTGCATGGGCGTAAGGTAGATCTTGGGATACCCAGTGCTTGAAGTTTTGCAAGTAGAGGTTATCTTGAGGTAATCAAGATCAGTAGTTATTAAGACCGAGTAGTCCAAATGCCTTTACCCAGTCAAAGACACCTGTACCGTCCAGTGTAACTATACAGCTGATCTTGGAATCGTCCCGTAACTGGTGCCACTTAGTGGAGAGGTTGATCAAAAGGCCAGCGGTAGAACCTTTCCTGAAACCATGTTGTCGACCACACAACCGATAATGGTCAAAAAATCCTGGCATGTCTTGAGACTCAAGAGCTTTGCCAGTAATTGAAAGCAGTGACACTGGTCTTTTGTTGCCGACAAACGAATGACTTTTGTACACTGGAACTCCTTCTGCCTTCCTCTATAGGGAAGTCCACATTCCTTGGGGTAGGCAGAGTTGGTAAAGACAAAGCCAGCAGGTCAGCACCCTCCCGTAAGACACGGGCTGACATCCGGCCGCATTGTCTGACCTGTGTCGAGTGATCTAAGAATGTGGTGGGTTCATTGCATTTAATAACCTCTGCAGGCAACTTTGACACAGTGCTTATATCAAGCTATGGAGGTTATCGGTCAAGATAAAATGTTACTCTCAGTTTGATAGGTGATACCAAGTATATTCCTTCACTCTGTTGGCAGACAAGTGAACTACGACCCAAGGCAATCTTTCAGTCAGTCTTCGGCTATGCAAAGAATCTATCGAAACTGATACGTGATGTGAAGATTTGATCCCAGATCTCACAGACTTTTGAGCCATCGTGTCAAAAACACTTAGGAGTTCAACCCATGATGGTTAGTGAATCCATGTGCGGGGTTTCAGCCCTGTGTTGTGCAGTACCACTGAACACCGCTCCTTAACGGTTCGCCCAGGTTCACCCAGCAGTAATTTTGGACCTGGTTGTAAACCAAGAGGAGTATCGTATTCCAGGGACAGCTAGCAGGGCGAGACTTCAGAAGAACGTGGGAAGGGAGAGCTCTTTGTATTTGACCAGAGTAGGCGTAACACTACACACATCTTACCGCTTGGCCAATCACTTCAGCTATGGGAAAAGCGATCAATCCCGCGAGTTTGGTCAGCTGGTTTTTTGTTTTTAAACACTGTGGTTGCAGGCTACACTGCGCGCGCCGCGAGTCTTCGTCTCTTCCAACCGAACAAAAACCAAAAACAAAGCTGTATATTCTTAGTAATAACACTATACAAAATAATACGACACTGAAGGAAACACAACGGAAAGCCAGCTTAGGTGAGGTCGAGATGACAGCGCTGATTCCCAAAATACAAAAATTAGGTGACAAACTAACAAATGAAGCAAGAGCACAACCCAAGAACAGTGTTCAAGGATCAGGTTGCTCTCGCTATGAGTGGTGTTGCTGTTTGTAAATGGACCCAGATGATGCCTTGCACGATATCTGCTGGCCTTAAACCTATAGGCAAGAAGAAACTAGCAGAAATTAGATATCATGAAACCTGGTGAGTTAAGGACATATGTGTTAAATTGAGACCTTCGCCTGGTTACAAATGTTCAAGAAATATGTAAGAATTTAATTCAAAATGATGTGCTACTAGAGATCTTAGGCATATATCCAAAGTTTACTGTAGGTGATATACAGCACGTGATTGTGAAGTTCCACCGCCGCCCGGAGCATGATGATGATGAGGATGATATATTATTAAGAATATGCGTACAAAGAACATACGACAGAGGGATAATTGTTGGTACGCGTGTTAGACATAAAATGAATCCATTACTACCCAAATCATTTTGCTCAAAACTTAGAATAATTTAGATAAGGAATAATGTTTATATATAATGGGGAAACCAATACTGAGAAGTAGGCTAACATATGAGATGTTAAGGAGATATAACAATGATAAATCAATAAAAAACAGATTTTTTCCGATGACATAGTTTTAGATACATAATGTAAAACATTAGAATAAGAAAACGTTTTTACTATTTTTAATAGCAACAAGCATGTACAAAGGTTCATTATAGTAAAGCCACTAGAATAAAACTTTTGTAAGTGTTTAACTTGCTCACCACTGATGTAAACAGCTCGATTTAAACACTCTTATCGTTCAGTTCTTGAACCAATTTTGCTTAAAATCCGTATTGGTAGATGCAATAAAAGGTGTAAGACAAAGTTATCAAGATTATTTAGGTAAATCTCTTTGAGGATCAATTCCTGAGCATTTCTTCTGCCTCTAATGTTTTCCACTACCTCCCACGGAATGGGTATGGGGTTCACTACCTCCCACGGGATGGGTATGGTGTCCACTACCACCCACAGGATGGGTATGGGGTCCACTGCCACCCACAGGGTGGGTATGGGGTCTTTTGAGTCTTACAGTTAGGTTCCTGCTGTTATGTGTTCGTCTGTGCTCGCCTTACCTAGGCTAGGACTCATCTCGTATGGGTCTTTTCACTTGGTTGTCCTCCTGGGGGCCTTATGATTACATTAGCCTGTTGTTAAGGGTCCAGGGCAACCCGCAAAGAAGCACAGAAACCCCCTAGGTTGCGTAAGTTAGAATATACATTTACAAAGAAAGATAAACATATAATTAATCACTAGGTAAGCTCCCACACCTCACTTTTGTAACTTTAAGCATGTGCAATAACAAGTATTATCATGCTGACCAAACCACACACTAGAAAGTGAAGGGAATACGACGTTTCGGTCCGTCCTGGATCATTCTCAAGTCGATTGAAGACCATTCTCACAATGGACTTGAGAATGGTCCAGGACGGACCGAAACGTCGTCGTACCTTCACTTTCTAGTGTGTGGTTTCGTCAACATATTTCAGCCACGTTATTGTGACTCCTCGTTTGCACAAGAATTATCATGATAAGCAAAATATGAAATCTCTCTCATATAAGTACTCCGTATTCTCCATATAAATTCTCCGAATTTACTCAAATAACATTACGATATCCTACAAGTTTAATTAATGTGAATTGTGACTTATCTGACTCTCTGGTGTGGTGAAAACTTGCTAGAACCGAGAGTAATTATCCAACCATACTTCACCTTCCACCATCTTCTGGTCTAGTCCACAGAGGACGCTCTCTGAGGTTCCCTCCTCAATACCAGGCGTCCAATCACCACCGAATATTCCCATTTAATAATTCTCTAGTAGTAACACATATAAGAGTCCACTTTTCACTGACGGGTATACATTCAGTTATCCATACTCGCTAAATATATCAAGGTACTACTTTGCTGGGCGGAGGGATATTGACGATTTGCGGTCTTGCAGCAGACGGCTCCATTACCCCCTTGAACAGGTATTTACACCCCCCTTGTTTTATATAATGTCGCTCTCTTTCTACACACACACACACGAAATATTACATAGCTTCTCTCTACCCAAAATAGTAGATAAGGTTCGTGACTGTCCTCGACTCAAGTCCATTCTATCCAGAGGTCGACCCCACAGACGCATTCATAAACTTATACATGCTGTTCATTCAAAACAGGAATTTTCTCAAAATATGAATTAATATTATAATATATTAGCATATTATGCATATATGGGCATAGGCTAGGTTAGGTTAGGCGTTGGTGATTATTTGTATTTGTAGTACGTGGGTGAAGCATTTACAGCGTTGTGGTTCGAACAAAATTCACCAGTGAAGCACTTGTTCCGGAAGTTTTCGAACGTCAACAGTTGTGAGTCGTGTGTAAGTCGTTTTTCATTCATAAACAGGGGGTTTGGCGGGTGCATGGAATCACTTTTGGGTCTTTGTTTGTAGGACGGGTTGCCCAGTGTGGGAAGGGAGTCCACTACTACCCACAGGATGGGAAGGGAGTCCACAACCACCCACAGGATTGGTATAGGGATACATATATAAGGAATAAAATAAAATCAAAGTATCAGGCAACGAAATTTCTGGGCTTACCAAAGAATCAACATAAAAGAATATTTTTTTAATACAGAATTATTATATATATTGTTCAGTTTAAATATTAACCACATTTCTCACGTAAATTGGTACAAATTGATGATTATCATTGCTTAAATGTTGAGTGGTGAGGAATTTAAATGACCACAGTTATAAGTTGATAATTCGATTTATTACAAATATTAAATTTTAAATGTCATAGTTAACCCAACTTTGGGAGCTTATGGTAGTCCCGGACTATTGAACATATGTATCCAAGCGATTTGTATCACATATCGATAGTGCTGGGCTATCGAACAATATGTATCACATACGACTTGATAATGGTTCAAGACGGACTGAAACGTCGTCGTTTCTTCATCTTCAGGTGGGTGGTTTGGTCATCATATGTATCTAAGAGTAGGCTGCCGAGCATGATGAGCTGAAGTAACTCTGGGCTGGCGAACGTGATTAACGGTAACTCTGGGCTGGCGAACATGATGATTAACGGTAACTCTGGGCTGGCGAACATGATGATTAACGGCATCTCTGGGCTGGCGAACATGATGATTAACGGTAACTGGGCTGGCGAACATGATTAACGGTAACTCTGGGCTGGCGAACATGATTAACGGTAACTCTGGGCTGGCGAACATGATGATTAACCGTAACTCTGGGCTGGCGAACATGATGATTAACGGTAACTCTGGGCTGGCGAACATGATGATTAACGGTATCTCTGGGCTGGCGAACATGGTTCTTGATATCCATTTACCAGATCTTCCTTCCTAGTCTTCCCCTTTCTCCTCCTCCTCACTCTTCTATTCTTCCGTCACAAAGGGAGGAAATACACATAATCTAGCTCAAGAGAGTTAAGTGGGCTGAGGTGGACTGGTCTATACACGTGTGTACTTGGGGGCAGGGGGAGGGGTGTGTATGGCTTCACACACGCATACACTAGTTAATCTCATCTGGTTAGAGGGTCTGGTAGCTAAGTGAACAGCGCGCTGGACTCGTAATTCTGTAGCCCGGGTTCGATTCCCGGACCAGGAAGAAACAAATGGGCAATTTCTTTTACCTGATACATCAGTTCACCTAGTAGTAAATAGATAGCTGGGAGTTAGACAGCTGCTATGGGCTGCATCTTGGGAGAGAGAGTGAAAGAGATGTAGTAGACAGGAAAATAGGTCGGGAGTCAGCACATTAGAGACATTCTTCCACCTCAAGGTTGTGACCCGTTACTGGGCTACAAGGACGTGCTGACTGTGTCGCAAGGTCACAAAAAAGTGAATAAATAAGGAGTAAGTGAAAAAAATTATTGGTGTCATTGAAATAATTAATTGGAAATCTGAAATATATATATATATATATATATATATATATATATATATATATATATATATATATATATATATATGACAGTGTCAGACCACGTACGTATACAGTGTCCACGTATTGTACCTCACCTCTCTCCACCATTCTCTCTTGTCTATTTATGTCCAGTACTCGACCTGTAAAACCACTCCTTCTGAAGATGTATTAATATACGAAAGTACTTAAGGAAATTCCTGTTTCAATTTTCCTCTGTGGTCTGACACTATCACATTTTTAATCACGTGTTTATTTTCGTGACACACACACACACACACACACACACACACACACACATATATATATATATATATATATATATATATATATATATATATATATATATATATATATATATATATATATATATATATATATATATATATATATATATATATATATGTGTGTGTGTGTGTGTGTGTGTCACGAAAATAAACACGTGATTAAAAATGTGATAGTGTCAGACCACAGAGGAAAATTGAAACAGGAATTTCCTTAAGTACTTTCGTATATTAATACATCTTCAGAAGGAGTGGTTTTACAGGTCGAGTACTGGACATAAATAGACAAGAGAGAATGGTGGAGAGAGGTGAGGTACAATACGTGGACACTGTATACGTACGTGGTCTGACACTGTCTGATATATATATATATATATATATATATATATATATATATATATATATATATATATATATATATATATATATATATATATATATATATATATATCTCCAACTGGACGAAAATACTGACATATCTAAAGGTGCAACATTCTTGGTGTATGTAAGATCCACGGAAAGAGTACTTCCTACTAGATTTACTGTGCTACTTGACCTTTCCCGTACACACGACCGAGTCAGAGATATTCAGAGTGTTGAAAAACTGTGTAGTTGTAAAAATGCAAACCGAGCTGGGCTAATTGCAAGGGAGTTACAACTGGTAAAACATTGGGGTTATGAGAAAAATTCGAGAGGCAGCAGGTAATGCCAGACCTCGGCGTCATTGCTATAGTCCCCGTGAAGTTCTGGCTGCTAAAGATATACCCTCAGTGTTTGAGAACTGTTCTAAATGAGGCAGTTAAAGTTGTTAATTTGACCAAAGAAAGTTCTGGGAATAGCTGTTTGTTTGAACAACTTTGCTTGGAAATGGGATCTGATCAATTACACCTATTGTATCATACAAACGTTCTAAGAATCATACAGTGTATCATACATTTTTTCTTCCAGAAAAAATCACCAATCTTCAGTCTATGTCCGTGAGTTTTGAACAGTATTTTTTCAGAAGAGAAAATGGTATTGAAAGAAAAACACTGGATGAAAGACCCACTTGCACTGGAAACCCCAGATTGTGTTGTTAGGTTAAACTTATACCTACCTGATCAGGAAGAAAAGTTAATCCGTCTCACAAGGAATAAATCATTAAGAACCAGGCTCAAGCCATCCCTTACTCCCATCATCCTGGATCAGTGTATGTAAGAAATATCCCGACTTAAGTAAAAAGAGTGTCTTGTTTTTACTGACCTTTTTTCGACCATTCACTGGTGCGAGACTGGCACCTCAGCCTTGACAAAGCTAAAGTCCAAGGAGAGAAAACACCTCAATGCTACTCCAGACATGCCTGGGTTCTTATCCTCCTGCAAGCCAGACCGGACCAAGGTAACAAGCAACAAATAAGCCCACCAATCACCCTGAATAGATAAGCCTATTTTTAAATTACTCCACTACTTTGCTTGCTGCATTTTATTGTGAGTATATATTTTTGTGTTATCTTACAAGTAAGAATTAAGTCAGGTTTCACCAAAATGCACAAGTGAGCATGTCGATGTTGCTTGCAGACGATGCAAACGTAAATAGATGAATCGAGACACATGAGGATTTTAAAATACATTTACCGAGATGACGTAAACAAGCTGCAGAGTTGTGCTTGGAAATGGCTGCTGCATTTCAACAGAAGCATGTGTAATGTGATATAATTGGGAGTAGGTGACAGGAGACCAAATGGACGGCACACATTGAAGGGAAACTACATCCCTGAAATGTCTAGAGAAAAAAGACCTGGGATTAGCTATTTAAAAAGCCTAATTCTGGAACCACATATAAACGTGATAACATTAGCAGCATATTCTATACAAACAAATGTCAGAACATCCGTTGGTAACCTAAATAAGGAAGCATTCAGGTCACTGTACAATGCCTACATGAGACCAGCCTTAGTATGCAGTCCCCATCATGGAATCCTCACCTCAAAAAGCACATGGGGAAACTAGAAAAGATCCAGAGGTTTACAATTAGGCTCGTCCCAGAATTACGAGGGATGGAGTATGAAGAAAGCAGGGCCTACCACCTCCTGAAAAGAAAGAGAGGGTAGAGATACCAAATCATTAGGAGGCTGATAGAGTGGAAAAAGTGATATTAACAATGAATATCAATAGAATAAAACACATGAATGGATGCTTAAGAAACAAGTGAGCCTTAGAAATGTCAGAATGTTTTGTTAACATAAGAGTAATTGGGAAATGAACAAACGAGCAGGTTGAAAAAGCGAACTTCATTAAAAATAGAAATTATAGAAATACTGACTACGGGTCATTACATTAGACAACGGGTGACTGCAAAGGCAGGTTCCAAGAGCTCGATCCTACAGGAATAAATAAATAAATATTATTCATGCTCATCACAGTTTCTTCTTACATCAGGACTAGACGTCACATAAAGCTCCAGTAAAACATTGCAAAAACTACGTAAGCATCCGTTTATACAATAAACATGTATCACCTGTTTGGTAACTAGTTTGGTGAAAACTGGTCTTTAGGTAAACACTTAGATAGTGATATCTTGCTTTGTAAGCCTTATCCATAGCTATCAAACAGCAGTCCACGACAAGTACAACCGGCGACGGAAACCGGCTAAGGCACCGAAAAAAAAGGTGCGACTTGCCCAAGCTTTGGGAAAAAAAATCTGGTTCCAGTCGTAATTTACACTACTACAGTAGTACACAACAATTACCACAGAATAATCCAAAACAGATTCATGCATTAATCCACGACAGTTATTATCCAGTAATCCAAGGTAGTTGTTGGATTTTTTTACCTCTACTTTCTTCCGTGAATCAATTTTTGATGCTGAATATAAATTAAATTTACACTAAGAATATTCTATTTGAGTGTAAATTCAAAACAACTGCAGAATTTGATTTAAACAGCAAATTACACTCAACGCTAGAAATCTATTATAAAACAACTACACTCATTACTCTAGAAAACTACTGTGAAACAACCACACTCATTACTCTAGAAAACTACTGTGAAACAACTAACAACGCTTGAACACATAGTTAGCTTTGCTAGTGTAGAAGCGTTCATGGTGTTAGGAAGGAAGTAATCAGTGCAAGTATCAAATCGCGGTCATTGGATATCTGCCGAGAAGCTCCACATTAATATTTATAATAAAACAATTAAATAGACCACAGAGAAACACTAGCTTCACATCAGGTACGCCATCCAACCCACAAGCAAGAAATAATTATAGCCTAGTATGCATGGAGCATACTAGGCTATAATAGAGAATATTTCTATTCTCGACTATTAATCGAGAATATTACTGGTATTAAATATTATTGAGAACAAATTCTAAATTATTAAATTGAATTTAATATCTCTTTAATTAAATGATATCAAAGATTTATTTACTCAATTTGTGGTAAAAATAGTAATTGACATAGGCTGATTGACGTCTTTGTCAATCATAATGACTTGACGTCAATTCACATTATGCTAAACGGTCACAACTATCCTTCTTAAATAGGTTTCAGGGAGCTCTGGCTGACGTCTCGACCACTTCTCGTTAACTGGGAGTGAGCACAATATTTTGTGGTAGGGACAGGAATATGTGGCGATTGACTCTATTTAGAGCAATTTGCAGCACTGTTTATTGTCTATGTTACACTGTAGCACTTCTTAATTGATTTGTTTAGTCTCTGGAACATCACTGGTTAATCCTGAAAGGGAATTAAAGCTAACAGTTCCGGAGGATAAGATATAATACTGTGAGTTTAATAACATGTGCAGCAACAAGCGTGTTAGGTGATTGAATCAAGTTAATGGTGACTTCCCCACTATTCATGTGTTCAGGGATATATATATATATATATATATATATATATATATATATATATATATATATATATATATATATATATATATATATATATATATATGTATATATATATGCAAACAAGCCTGAATGGTCCCCAGGACTATTTGCGACTGAGTCATATATATATATATATATATATATATATATATATATATATATATATATATATATATATATATATATATATATATATATATATATATATATATATATTGACAGATACCTGTAGGGAGAAGGCCCGTGGGGGGTGTGGGAGGCGGCCGGCCGGCTGGAGGTTGGCCAAGCCTCATGACGCGGGTTTACGCTCACAGACTACAACACCAAACTTGATGCCCTTGTGGCAGCCCGTTTTTATTTATAGTCCGCTGCTTCACTTAAACGTACTGTACGCTCTTTATTTTGTCTTTTATTTCGACATGGGTTGAGATTCTTTAACCACAGAAGGATAAAATAACTTGATGGTATGAGCGTTGGTGTGCCTGGGGTTGCACGGAACTTGAGGCTAGAGGGGGAAAGCAGGCCGGAATGGGGACCGGTCTTTTCCTTCGTTTTCCTATCCCAGCTCCTTGTCCTCAGGTCCCATCCAAGTACTGTATGGTTATACTGGCTTAGCGATTTCTCTTGAAAACTTTCCTTGAATGAGAAACATCTTTGGAGCAAGATGGGGATTGAACCAGCGTCCTTGGTAACCCCAGACACGCACCTTAACCCCATGAACCATGATATGCTAACGATTTTATATAACCTGAGATCGGGCCGGATCCACTAGAAGTCTGGAGGCACCGAGCTGATAGTCATACCAAAGTTTTACACACAATCAACATGCATTCTGTTGTAGGTAACAGAGTTCTCCACCAAGCCGCGCATCTGGGGTTAAATAGGACACCGGTTCGATCCCCGTCCTGCTCCAATGATTTTCATCGTTAATATATATAATATATATAACATTGTTGTGATTTTATTTTGTGTTACCTAGAATGATTGGAGCCTCAACCCAGCATATCCGTATTTCATTATCGATTCAATCCCCTTCTTGCTCCAAAGATGTTTCTCATTCCACGAAAGTTATCTCTCAACCCATCATAGGTTCCCTTTGCATACGGTGTACAATGTGGCACCGAAGATAAAGGTACTATAGGATAATCCAACGCACGTAGGTCAAAACATGTCTGAGGACAACGCGAAACGTAATTTCTAATTTTAAAGTTTCCTAGTGCGTGAAGGCTCACTCATTATAAGAAAGTCTTACTGGGCGGTAATTCCTCGAACACGATTAAAATAGCTTCATCATAGAGGAAGGGACACTCCCTCCAGTATGGTTTTGTAAGTCACTATGTAAACTGGTTTCGGGGAGTTGTATATCACTGGTTTCTTCTCCAGATGCGGATTGCTTCATACGGTCCAGGTGCGCTTCACAATGTTGCAGAAGGATTTCCCTGGCTACTGAGGAGGAGAAAGACAAGATTGAAACATATGTGAGACACATGTTGCAATGTATCAATCAGAGCAAGTAATGTCATCTTAAAGATGACACTGCTTGCTTTCTCTCTTCTTTCTTTCTCTTCTCTTGCTCTCTCTCTCTCTCTCTCTCTCTCTCTCTCTCTCTCTCTCTCTCTCTCTCTCTCTCTCTCTCTCTCTCTCTCTCTCTCTCTCTCTCTCTCTCTCTCTCTTTTCTTTTTTCCTTTCCTTTCTTTTCACTCAACAGAGGGCAACAGAATACCAGACATGATCACAGAGAGCAACAGTGTGCCGGATATGATCACAGAGGGCAACAGCGTGCCGCCGGATATCATCACAGAGGGCAACAGCGTGCCGCCGGATATCATCACAGAGGGGCAACAATATGCCAGAATCATCGCTTATCTGTTGCCAGCAGGTCTGGGGTCCCACCGGACGTGCCTGAGTGGCAATACGTACAGGAATGGTCAAGCAGAGCTCCAAGGATCATCAGGAAATAATGCACGCGAGTCATTGTCAAATCGTAAATAAGATTCTTCGACAATGCTCGTTTTCTGTGTTCTGTCTTTTCCTCATATAGTATTTGGTTAAGCTGGGCTGTGTTAGGCTACGTTGGATTAGGTTAAATTGATTCAGTTTAGGGGAAGTTAGGTTGGGTAAGGTTATGGGTTTGTTGAGTTAGGTTTGGATGTATTTGGTAATGTTAAAACTTCATATAGTATGAGGTAATGTTAAGAAGATTTTCATATCTGTTGTTGAACCTTCTTGTGTGCAAAGTGACTTGTATCCTTACAAGCTGCTTGTTCAGGTCATCTGCGTTCAGTGACGAGGCACTTCCTCAGCACAGATTAGATCAGCATTCCCTAATCTTATCCGACCTCAGCCCTCCCTGTAGTATGGTGTTACATTCCAGCACACCAGGGTGCTGTGGACTATTTTGGTTTGCATGTTCCTCATATCCATGTGGTTCATCTGAGCTGTCTTCATATCCTTGTTGCAGACATGGATATGAGGAAAACACCCCACGGACGCCTGCCTATAGCCTCATAGGTAAGATAATGAGTTGTGTTCACAGATCACATTAGCAGTCTGAGAGCGCTACTTTCTCACAGCTCATCTGAAGCCTTCCCTTTCTAGACTTCTTGGAACACGACCCGACAATCGGTTTACAACCAGGTTACCAATAAGTATAGAGTATAAGGAATCGTGCCCTAGCATCTTCCCCTATCCAAGGCTCGAACCAGCAGTAATGGCAGGCGAGGCACAAGGAAAGTGTGCTACCACTGAATGGAATTCACTTCCATTCACCACATTCCATAATTGCACTTATATTGGCTTACTAATTATTTAGATTGCTAAAAACTATTCTTACATGGCGTAGTGAGGTGAGGTGAGGTGCCCACCTGTAGATCCGGTTCCCATCAACGTTCTTCCTTGAGAAGTCATGCCGTGTTTGAAGAAGTTCCTGAGTGTCATCCAAAAATGTTTGCAGTCTCTCCCATTTTTTTTACTTTTTATTTTTAGTATTTACCCAGGTGGGAGTAGGGGTTATACGACTTTTGACCCTTGTTAGCATGCTGTCGGTTTTCTGATAGACAGTAACTCCTGGAATATTTCCTTATCATGTCTACTTTTAAAAATTATTAATGGCGTTTGCTTCAACATCCTGCTCCTTTAGTTAATTCCTATTATTACGCTAAATGAAAACTTTCTAATATCTCTATGACTCATCTGAATCCCAAGCTTCCACTCATGCCCCCTTGTTCCATTGGCATTAAAATGATAACAAATTTGTTAAACGTGACAACAAATTGTTGCAGTACCCAGGCTCTCTGCAGCAGCTCGGTGTACACATCAGACTACGGCTATGAACAAATCCACAAGGGCCGCGATGAGGGTTCGAACCTACGTCCAGGATGATCCCAGACGCGCCTTAGTCGACTCCGCCACGACATGGTTAAAAGTATTGTCGATTAAGGCGCATTTGTGATCATCCCGGACGTAGGTTCGAACTCTCATCACGGCTCTTGTGGATTTGTTCATTTGATGCATCACGCTATTGTGATTTATTTGTGTACTACGCCTGTGTGAGTGGGGGCTGCATGCCAAAGACTAACACGATACGTTCCAAGATACGTTTCGACAGCAAAACCATTGGGAAAGTACGTCGACCCCAGTCATCCGCCCCTCTCCCCCCCCCAACAGTCACTTCCACCAGTTTCCAGTATGGAAGGGGAAGCCCCGGAGGCACCAAGATGTGGATGGGGCTTACCCGGGTTTCCACCACCCGGCACCACCCGGGTCTCCACCACCCGGCACCACCCGGGTCTCCACCACCCGGCACCACCCGGGTCTCCACCACCCGGCACCACCCTGGTCTCCACCACCCGGCACCACCCGGGTCTCCACCACCCGGCACCACCCGGGTCCCCACCACCAGTCACCAGTGGTTCAGAATCAACGGTTTTCAAACTCATTAAAAAAAATCTTTACTAAGCCCAGAAACGTAGTATACCAAAGAAATTGATTTCATCGAATAATAATGACCCCAAATGGTTAACCATGGGCCTGAAGAACCTTATACAGTATGTAAAAAGAAAGCTTTCAACAAAAGGATTAATACTGGGAGTCATTTAATAATGGATTAATAATAAAGTCAATCTAGAGCAAGATTTTTAGAACATAAGAAATTAAAGAAACTACACGAGGCTTATTGGCCCATATGTGGCTGCTCCTGTTTATATCCACCCAAACTCATTCATATGTATGTCTAACCTACGCTTGAAACAATCAAAGGATCCTACGTATATTATGTTACGCAGTAATTTAGAAAAAGGTTTCTGAATTGCGGAAGAACTAAATATTGGCCATCTGCCAAATCTGCCAGGGGTCTAACGGCTGAGTGGACAGCGTTCGGTGTTCATAGTCCTAAGGGTCCGGATTCGATCCCCTGCTGAGGTAGAAACAAATGGGTAGAGTCTTTCACCCTGCTGACCCTGTTCACCTAGCAGTAAATAGGTACCTGGGAGTTAGACAGCTGCTACAGACTACTTCCTGGGGATGTGTGCGTGAAAAATAGGATTAAGGACTTGCCCGAAACGCTATGCGTGCTGGTGGCTGTACAAGAATGTAAGAACTCTTGTATACAAAAAATAGTGGCAGGCCAATTAGCCTTCTGCAGTAACCTTATTTCTAATGTTCATTAAGTCTTATCTTGTTATGTTCTTGGAGGATCACTGAGCACCTGAGGCTCTCGGCCTTGTAGGATCCCACGGCACCTGAGCGCTTCCAAAAGCTAGACATCCAAGACATAAATCTGATAGGATGGTGGGAGTAAAAGTTGTCCTTGACCAGATCAGCCACACACACACCGCGGCTCGTCAGCGTGATCACTAAATGTTAGTTACATCCATCCAACCCCGTAAGTCAATCCCATCAGGTCCAGTCTTGCAGCAACCATTGCACATCTTCAATATTCGTTTTTTTATATGTGGAGGGCTTCCAGGCTGGTACTCCATACTGTAGCATCAATCGGGTATATAAGAACATAAGAATGAAGGTAACTTCAGAAAGCCTATTGGCTCATACGAGGCAGTTCCTATTTATAACACAAGAACATATGTTATAAATAGGATGTATATGATGAATATAGTATTTTGCAAGCATAATTATATGCTCCAGAGACAGGCTCAGTGGTTTGTCGAGTCCCTGATCCTTTTCTCTCACTACTTCCCTTTGTACGATGGAATATGGATTTATACGGTCTTTCCATTCCTTTATAGGATCTTTAGGATAGTGTGTTGGTGGTCGTCTAGTTTCCTTACATGTATTTGTATTGTAAACGTATTAATTAAACATTTTAGCGTTACGACGACACTAAAATGCATTATCCTACCTCGAAATTAAAATAGAATTTATTAGGAAAGTCATTGATGTCTCTAATTCATATTTTCCGTTTGGTAATTTTCAAAGCAGAGAGAAAATATTGCTCAGGCAGATCATGTGCTGATTGCTTAGGGATTGGTCAAGTTAATCTCTGGTTGGTCCCCAGATACTTTAGTTGGTCCCCCTGATACTTTGGTTGGTCCCCTGATACTTTGGTTGGTCCCCCTGATACTTTGGTTGGTCCCCTGATACTTTGGTTGGTCCCCCTGATACTTTGGTTGGTCCCCTGATACTTTGGTTGGTCCCCCTGATACTTTGGTTGGTCCCCTGATACTTTGGTTGGTCCCCCTGATACTTTG